ATTATCTAACAAAATTATAAAATTCATGAATATAATAAAACAACACTCTAATAACATCTATCTTTTCATAGCTAGCTCACGTTATATTATTTACTTTTTTGGTAAAAAACATTATATTATTTACATATACATATATTTTTTAGGTGACAAGATTTGCTTTCATTCATCAATTTTACACTTAGATATCTCGAGCATGTGCTAGTCTGCAGAATATATGATATGAAAGTTGTTCAAAAAATATTAAGTTTTACACTTAAATAGAAACAAAACAACAATGATTAAGTGGGAATAGCCGGCGAACGCAAGGTAACAAATGGACAGAGAAACGTTTATGCTTCCGAAATCTCTCCAGTGCTAAAGTAAGAATGGCTCACCGAAAATTCTCAATCTGTTTCCAGGAAGAAAATGTGGGTTGTAATTATGAATCTTAAGCAAGAGCGATACAAACAAGATTTAATTTGTTGTTTGTGAAAAAAGCTTAACGAAGGAAGATTGCCCATCAAATTGGGGTTGGAGACAGACAAATCGGATCATTAGGTATCTTTTTAATCTATGAGAGAAGAAGCCATTTATCTAAAGATAATAAGTTAGGCAAGTTTGATCTCTTCCTTTATATATGTATTGTGTTTTACTCAATTGCAAAAAATAATATACGATGCGAAAATTGTGTTGACAAAAAATATATATATATACGATGCTTCATTGTGTTTTACTGAGTTGCAAAAAATTGGTTCCAAATGGACCAAAAGGCAAAACAAAACTCAGAAAAGAAAAAAACAACGAGAAGAGATATGATAGCGTTACGGTGACAGCTTTTTATTAAGGAAAGAAATGAGATCGTGTTTGTAATCATTTGCTAAGATGAGATTATTCTCCCAAATCTCACTTAACCACTTGCTTCACTCCAACGACCACTACAAAAAATTAGGTAGATAGTATCACTTATATAGTGTCAAAAATTTAAGTGACTCTAATTAGAATAATTTATTAAAGATTGATATTAAATTTATGATTTTACATCACTTAAAATAATTGATATCTACACTAGCTTGATTAACATCACTTAAAATAAAAATGATACAATTGAATAATGATTTACATCAATTTTAGAAAACTGACACAAATATATGTGTTTACATCCTTTACATAACTGAAACATTACATAACTGAAGCATTGTCTCAATTTTATTAGTATCAATAATAAATAATGTTAATATTTATTTCAATTATAAAAAGTGATGCAAACAAAATTTTGAGTAAACAACTATTTATCCCACATCGCTAATGAAAGATGAAGTGTAGTAGTTTGCTCATCTATATAATAACTTCATCCAATTTTTTTTAATCTTTTATATATAATTTAAATCATCAATATAAATATATTATTTAGAATAATAATTACAGAAATATTAATAATTTCGAATTTAGTATTGAAAATTAATTCAAAATTTTAAATTTACATAATTTTAAATGTCACTTATTTATAGCTAATATAATAATATTATCAACTAAAATATATGATATAATAAAATTTATATGATATTAGTTTTTATAACCAAGACAAATAGTAACATCATTTATATTAACTGATACAATTATTTACTTCATTTATATTAATTGATGCAAATTTTTATTTCATTTGTTATAAATGATATTATGTATTAACATCACTTCCAAAATGATAAAACTAATAGCATCACTTATTTTTAGCATCATAAGCTATTAGCATAAACTACTTTTTTTTCCAGGTTAGTCGAAAGACCAATATCAGCAAGAATCATTCCGGTAAACCTATTGGAAGTGAGATCAATCAACTTTGCTTTCGGCATCACCGAAAATCCTTCTGAAACTTCACCACTAAAACTGTTTCCGCTGACCCTGAATCTCCACAGAGACTTGCAGTTGGCGTATGCTCACCGGAAAACTTATTGTCCAGGGCATCCCAGATTCACAGTTTTTTGTTTAGACAAAGCAAACTCGGAAAGGCACCTGTAAAACTGTTTTCGGATATGTCGACCGTTTCCAAAGGCGAAAACATTCCAATGCTGGCCAATTGTTCTCATGGCAATGAAAGATTCTTAGATGATTGAGCTTTTCCATTCCTCGAGGCCATTCACCAACGAATTGGTTCTTATATATATCTCTTGTGGGATAGAGTTTAGTGAATTCAAAGTTAACAATGTAAGACACGAATATCTAATTTATTAACTAACAGAGTTTAGTGACACATTTAAACAATCTTAACAAAAGTTCATGAAACGAACAGAGTTTAGTGATCCCTATAGATTTTATAATCCATTTTTAAAAAAAAATTTACGTACGTAATATATCAAGAACTGCAATTTTCATCAAAATAAAAATAAGTAAAAATTAAGCAACTTATAAGCAAAATTTATGCAAATCATCAGTAAAACATAAGAAATATATAAAAGACAATTTTATTATGTTTATCAAGAAAAAAATTGCAATTTCCATCAAGCAAAGCCATTGTTGGAAGGTAAAATTTCACTAAACTGTTGATATTTTTATCAAACAGAACATTGAATAGAGATGAGTCCCGAGGTTAGCTAATAATTTAAAATATATTCAAAAATGTAGATGTGTATCTATAATTTCACTACAAGAAATAAGGTAGATAGCATCACTTATTTAGTGTCAAAAATTTAAATGATTCTAATTAGCATCATTTATTAAAGATTGACATTAAATTTATGATTTTGCATCACTTAAAATAATTGATATCGATATTAACTTAATTAACATCAATTAAATTAAAAATGATACAAGTGAATATTGATTTACATCATTTTTTAAAAACTGACACAAATATATGTGTTTACATCATTTACATAACTGAAGCATTTTCTCAGTATTACTAGCATCAATAATAAATGATGTTAATATTTACTTCAGTTATAAAAAGTGATGCAAACAAAATTTTGAGTAAACAACTATTTGTCCCACATCGCTAAACAAAGATGAAGGATAGTAGTTTGCTCATCTATATAATAACTTCACCCATATAATTTTTATTTTTATATAAGTTAAATCATAAATATGTATTTACATATATTATTTATAATAATAATTACAAAAATATTAATAATTTCGAATTTAGTATTTTATTGAAAATAATACGAAATTTAAAATTTACATAATTTTTAGTGTCACTTATTTTTAATTGATATAATAATATTATCAACTAAAATATATGATATAATTAAATATATATAATATCAATTGTTATAACCGACATATATTAACATCATTTATATTAAATGATTCAATTGTTTATTTCATTTATATTAAGTGATACAAATGTTTACCTCATTTACTATAAATGATACTATACATTAACATCATTTGCAAAAATGATGAAACTATCATTTGTTTTTAGCATCACAAAGCATTAGAGTCACCACTTTCAGAATCATTTATATAAATGATGCAAATTCATTTATATCAATCAATAAATGATATAAACTAAGAAAATAAATGACATTACACACCTAATTTCTTGTAGTGGACGTCTACTATATATTGTCATCAATTGATTTTACTAATACATTGATATAGTAATAAGTCTAATATGGTCATTGTGTTAAATGGAATACAACTAGTCTCACCTTGAACTTGAAAATGAAATTTGGAAAAGGGAGAATATCGTGAATTTGCAGTAAAAAAAAAAATAAAATTGAATACATATATATTTGGTTGTTGTTCTACCGAATAAGAGTTCTCGAAAACAAAAATAGAAGTTGTAATAGACGTAACAGAGATCTATATATGTTGGTTGTGACTAAAACATATTATCATTGATCAATGTCCGCAACTAAACTTTAGAGTGAGGCTGTCTTTTATTTTTACTTAACATTTAACCCTAAAAAAAATCTGTATAGCTATAAGTCTATAACAATCTCAAAAGATATTGTAACAAGGGAAGGAATAAAAGAAGAATATTAAAAATGAATATGAGATTTGAGATTTGTGTTGGAAAGAAGGATCAAGTCACATGCTCCAAATTTACAAAGCAAAGAAATGCCATCATCTCCCCCAACTCCCCCCTTCGATTCTCTTTATCTTTTCAATTTATCTCCATTTTATAATTTTAAAAATAAATAAAAATAGTTTAATTATTCATATGAAAAAGAACATTCTCAATACATCATTGCTCATTTGATTCGGATATTTTGGTCTCATGCCTTCATTCTCAAGTTTGGCATACATCCATAAATTCTAAAATGGTGCCAAAAAGAAAACTCAAAATCTATAATACGTATGTATATATGTGTAGACTGTGTAGTATATACATTAAATTATACAGTAGTTTAGTACTTTAGGTATAGTAGTGTTGCTGTGTTGGTATCGGATTTTTACCTGGATTTAAAACCTACATATATTACAACAACAGCAACAAAAAGGTTTGGTGCACAAATACACAATACATACAAATCAAATTAGGATAAAATATTTGGACAATGAAATATACTTCCAGCAAACAAAGAAAGCTTTGTTAAAATGTGATTGACTGAATATCGACCGGAAAGAGTATTGAGCCATGAATATCATCAGTCCACTGCCGATGGACGTGTTTTCTAAGTAAGAGTTTCAATGTAGTGTGCGTTTTGGGCCACTATACGATAAATGGGTCACATATGGGCTTGTCTAAATTATGAAACAGTAAAGATGGATCCAAACTCCAAAGTCAATAGAACTAAGCACTTTTATATGAACATATTTTTGAATTTTTCGCTCGCATAATGTCTAAAACAAAATTAGTAGTACCACACTTAGCCATAGTTCTTTCATAGAGCTGACAGATTTAATAATACATAGCTTCTGTTTTAGTTTTAAAGAATAGTCGCTACAAATTTATTACAAAAACTGAAAATAAATCTAAAAGTCTTGGTTAGCAGCTAAAGTCTACAGTTGACCGGGACATTAAACCGTTTTTACCCGGTCGTGAACCGAATCTAATGATCAGCCAAAACGGTTCGACCTCAATAGCTGGATAAACCAACGAGAAGCGGTTTTTGATCTTCACTAGCTACCAAATCCGTCTCCGCCGTTAACGGCGTTATTTTCACCGTCCGATCTATCATGTCACAACCGGAGATTGGTACGAAATCGGGAATCTCTCTGGCGTTCGCGACGCCGAAACCTCTGCAGAAATCGAAATACTTTACGAGTTCTTCTCCCTGAGACAACGATTTCGCGACGATCTTCATCGCCAACTCCGCCTCCGACTTCTCGGAATTCGATTCAACATCCGATAAGAAATCGGCGAATCCGCGGCAGATTTGACCGTGAATCTCCAGAATCTCGCTGATTACATATTCCATAGCTTCGATCACGAGAGGCGTTTCCATCGTCTCACCAATCGGTTTGATTCTCATCAACGAGTCGACGACTCGTTGCATTTCAACGATGATCTCGAGTCGACTCGTGAACTCGCTCCGGTTCCGATCGTTGAAATAGAGAATCGATCTTCCGTCGAGAAACGAGAAATAAGCGCGAACGAAAATACTAAACCGACCGGTTCCGGTTCTGCTAAACCGGGATTTTGTTTTCCCGAATCCGGAAAGATCAAACGGTAACCGTCCGATCGACTCGGCCGGCGGGCTACCGCCGAGGAACAAGCCGTGGATCAGCATCAAGCTTTTCAAAGCCACCGTCCAGCTGTGCGTGTGTTCCACGCGCAACGAGATGGCGCGTATGATTGGTTTGAAACTCGCGGGGTTGTATGTGTCTGTGTATGAACTGAACGTTTTCGAGATCCATTGAGAGATCGTTGTGGCTCGTCGCTTTGATGATCGCCGCCGTGAAACTGTCATCCGCCGCCGCGAATAGACTGAGTCTGTCCTTTATAGCTCCGGTGGCGCGTCGCCACATCTTCATTTCGAATTTATTTCCCGTTTTCGACGCCAAAGAGTTTTCGAAATTATTTTCTCATGCCAAATGTTTTCACCGGATTAGAACTCGTTTTTACCTTTAACAAGAAAAAAAGAAGTTCGTTTTGACTTTAGTTTTATTTTTCTGTTGATTTCTGTTATCATGAATTTGAACTTTTTAAAAACAGAATGTGCTGCGCACATTTTCTTGACTAGGAAAATGCTTACGGAAGAAATGAGTCTTCTGTGATGGGAACATTTGGGTTTAACCAAATGTTTCTCGTTATGTTTTAAACATTTGGGTTTAACAAAAAACAAGAAGAAGGAGAGGGAGAAGGAGAAGTTCTTTAACCAAAAGGAAGAGAAAAAGAAGTTAGCTGTCAAAGAAGAACAATAACAAGAAGTTATTAATGAATAAACGAGAAAAACAATAAGATGTTTTGTTCTTTTTAAGAAACAAACCACCCTTTTCTCGTTAAGATTTGTTCGTTTTATATTCGAATTTTATTCTAATGATCACATTAGCACCCAAAAAAAAGAATTTCATTCTAATGAACCCTATTACAAATAACTGAGTTCTACAAATATATACAGTTATTAACACTATGTAATATTTTAATGGACTCCTTGTTCAAAAAAAAAAAAAAAAAAAAGGTCTAATGAATCCTACGTACGTGCATTATATAACACCCTTGTGATGCTAAATCACATATTGTTATATAAATGCTTGCTTGTACATATACTAGTAGCTTGCATGCGTAGTAGTAGTAGCGCGAAATTATGGTTTTTTAGTTTTGTTTTGATATCCAACTCGAATATACCCGAATTTGAATGGACTCGATCCAATCTCGAACTCAAATTCATTCGGTACTGTATGGGTACAGAGACCAACTACTCCATTAATATCTATTTAAACCCGATCTGATTACCCGCAAGAGAGAGCATGTGAACCGATCAATTAACATATTTGATTTCTGGTTTGATGAAACTATCCTCCGGTTTGTTTCAAGTTATTGTTGATGACCCGTATCCATTATCTAATCAATTGGGTTCAGGTTTTTTGTTTTCTAAACCATCGATTTAATTTAAGTTATTATTTTTGTATCCAAATAGTTTTTCTTATTTCTTTTTGTATCCAAATAGTTTTTTCTCTTATTCTTTTATTTAAACATTGCAATGTAATTCTCGATTAATAATATAAAAATAATTATGAGGTTTGATGTTACTCTGCTAGTAGTTACTCAAATAAGAAAGTGTCTTAACCATATAAGAATATATTTATAAATTTCTAACTTTCTAAACTGTTTGGTAAAATCAAAATCATTATAAATAAGTTCAACAAATTCCTGTCGACAAGTTACATTATATTGTACGTAATTACAAGGCTGATTATACTACTCCGCTAATACTTTACCGTATACATATCGTTGTATTACATACACTGAATTTGTGTATTTATAGTAAGATTGCTTTTCTATCTCTATACAAAAAACGGCTTGTTGAGTAAAGCAAAGTGGTCGACCTCATGCTTTCCCCTTAACGCCGGCTTTATTTATTTCGCAATTTTATATAATTTGTAATCTAACGGAATACGAGTGATAGCTTTCTCTACATCACCAATCTTCTTCATACCCTAAAAGGGAAAGAAGAAAGAAGAAAAACAAGACATGAAACAAAGCGAAAGATTGTTCGGATTTTCAAAGAAAGATAGCATCTCCTTTTGTTAAAAGCAAGAAAGTGTATATAATATAGTAGTTCTTTAAATCCTCTGTTTAGACCCTGCAACAAAAAAATAGTGATACAACTCCGTAAATTCAGAAAATAACATTTATTTTGATTTTTAATTATTGTTTTTTTTTTGGTAGTTGATTTTTAATTATTATTTGACTGATTCATAAACGAGACATATATCAGATGTTATTGGGTTTACTCTTCATTTTGATATATTGTAACGAAAAAAAATATATATATATGAATATATTGTGATTTTCGTTTTGTAAATATCAATGGGTACTTTTCATTCTTTTTTTTTTTTTTATAAAAGTTTTAGTTTTGATTATTTTATAAAACAATATTACCTCTTATACACTCTCCATCTACACATTTCATGTCTTGGAGTTTGGCACCGATTGCTAAACCTTTATAACAAAACAAAACTACAAAAAGTTATATTACCCATACACCATTTGAATTTATCTGAAACTGGACCTAAGAAAAAGCAATGAAAAATAGTGGGAGGTTAAGGAATCTTTGTCTGCCTCACATCTTTTTTCACTGTGGGGTTAAAAATCCCTCCTTTTCATGCAAAACCGACTTTTATTTATTTATTTTTACCTCCTCTCTTTCTCTCTCCATCTTTCTTAACCCTTTTATACACACAAACTCTCCCACATTCACATTCACATCTCCATCATCTTCACGAAGCTCATGGACTTCGACTCCTCGGTGAGTTTCTTTCTCCTAATCTAAGCTCTTTCTTAATTCTGAAAACTGCTCAGGTTTTCTTGAAAATTGCAAACTGTTTTAATCTTGTCTCTGTGATTTCTTTGATTTCTTTAGGGCAAGACAGAGAGTGTAGTGGAGGAGACAGTGATGATGGAGTACGATGATGAAAAAAATCATTTCGACGTTGAATTTTGTCCGGTTGAGCACCCTGTTGAACCAGAAGAAGAAGATCGTCCGGTTAGATGTCCGGTACCAGTCTCATCTTCTCTCATCCATGTAAGTTTTGGTTTGATTATCGAAATTACACCAAAATTTCTCGTTTATATAAAAAAACAATTGGTTAAATAAATATTAATCTTGAAGAATTCAAAGAAGAAATCAAAACCGGACTGGGTTAAACACAGAGCCAGCTGCGATACTCCGGTTTATCCGCCACCACGTCATCATGTCCGTAACGTACGGAAGAGACACAACTCGTTCGTTGAAGGGAACAACAGTTTCTTCACGAGATCTATGCTCTCGACATCATCGACTCATGAAGAAACCACACCTCGAAGATCCAATGTAACAATCTACCGAGTTCTTCAACAAGTTCATCATGAGTTTGAGCCATAAAAGATCAAACCTATGAATGTGTGGTGAGATTTTAGTCGATCGGAGAGTGCTTGTCGTCGGCGGTTTTATTTTAGTCTATGTTTGGTTTTAACGGAGTAACGTAGATCTTATGTTGTAGTACCAAAGTTTCGGTATACTTGGTTATATTATTATCCGGTGATAACCGGACGGTCAGATTCGGTTAATAGCTTCTAAAATGTTATAATTTCTAGTTTCATTATGAGTGTGCATGTCCGATTGTTAATATTGGGCGGATGTATTTTCACTTTACATAACATGGACCAATCTAAAGTAGGATCATAATGAAAAACGTTACAAACATATTTGGGGAAGCCCAATATTAACATTCGACTATTTTTCTTGTTTTTTATAGAATTTATGTTAACCAAATGACATGTTTTGGGAGATATTAAACCCAAATTACCCAATATCTACTTTCAAGTGAAGTGGAAATTTAGTTTTTTTCTTTCTCCCATGCATGATGTATATTAAACAATATATTATAACTATTATGATATTAGTCTTATCTATATGAAGTTAGGATTTAAAAAATTTACATGCGATGAATATTAGAAACCCAATACCTATAATCCAACTGATTTGTGAAATGATCCAAAAGTTTGAAAAGCACTTCTAAAAGAAAACACAGCTTCACAGCTCAAATCAAATACGTATATATACACAAATACGTACACACATGCACACTTTCACACGACCATTACACAAAAAGTAGTATTTCTCACTGAAAGATGGTAAAAAAAAGAAAAAAACTTTGTAGGCTCTAATGAATAATAACAGATTCAGTTTTATTTTATACTCCTCTCTCTCTCCCTCTCCATATCTCCTAAAAGTCAAGTCACCTTCTGTATTCACAAGTCTGCAGTCTTCATCACTTCCTTCTTCTTTTACCATAACATCATTATTAAGATTACTCCACATATCTCTGCTTAAACAAAGTTGAAAATCAACACAAGAACAAACAAAAAACGCTGTAATTTGAGGATTCCACAATAAGCGAATCAACTGATGTATAAAGTTTCGGTCTTTTCTCCTACCGGTGTAAAAGAGAGTTGAAGTCAGCCTTGGAGAGGAGAGTCCGGCTCAGAGCTGTAAATGGATGTGTAGGTAGTAGAAACTGTGTCTTCCTTTTGTATAGCCACAAAGTTCAAAGGAGTAGAAGTGAGTCTCCTAACTTCTTTAAAATACCCGTTTTGGCGGTGATGATGACCAGAGTAGGATCTCGGTGTCAGAAGAACGTCAGGAGTTGAGCTTCTACGAGGCGTGGGAGGCACTGAGCCATTCCCATTGCTAATGCTGAAACCATTAGGCTTCCTGAAGCTGCTGCTTCTTCTTGGACTCGGTTTCGATCCGTAAATGGATTCCCTTTGAGTTAGCAGGAGATCCTGTCTCTTCTTTTGATCCTGCACAAAGTGTATATTATTACACAAGAAAGCGAGTTTTGTGTTTTAAAAGAGAAGATTTTTGGACAAACCCTGTATCTTTTCTTTTCCTCTTCCTGTTGTTTCCTTGTCAGTTTATAGTCTTCTAGTATGTTAACCAATCGAACCTATAGAAAGTAAGTCTCAAGAAATCAGAGGGAAAAACTTTTGACTGTGCTTATGTCTCTCTCTCTCTCTCTCTCTGCATTAGTGTTTAACTTACACCATCATATAGAAATGACTTGTGTGTTTCGTCTTCCCAAACTTGTGTTTTCTTAATAAGATTGTCAACCATTGCTGCAAAACAACAAACAAAGGAATAAGATCATATGATTATATTATTTAGTAGATTCAACCTTGTAAAAAGGAGTACAAAATGGAGAGTACCAGGGATCTTATTGATTGTAACACGAGCTCTTTCTGCACGCTTGAGGTTTACATGTCCACCTCTCCCAGCGCTATACCGGTTCTCATCCTGAAACCAAAGAACCAAAGAAAGTTTCATAAAATATCCATTTTTGTTTTGTGAGTTTCAAAAAGCTTCTCATTTCCTCATACCAGATTATATTCTTCCAACCAGTTTTCTTCTTCACATGCGGAAAGCCAACGGTCAATCCTGTCCATGATATCTTTCCGGCTCTGTGCTTCGTCTTTGATTTTGTTTATCTGCGCTTCGATGTTTGCAAGAAGCTCTGAAGGGTCCACTAACCCTGAAGAAGCATTGGAAATCTTGGCTTTTAAGTAAATGGATTTGGCAAGTATTCATAACCAAAAAAAAAGATCAATCACATTTACCAGAATCTATCAATGCACTTGACTTCTCGGCTGAAGTGCTTGTGTCAGGTTGAATGTGAGTTAGTCTGCAGAGATCCTCTAACTCTGACCTTCGTTTCATCACAAGCTCCTTCATTTTGCTAGCTTTCAGCTTACTGAGACTGTCCACTTCCGCAGACACCTATTAATAATAAAGGCAAAAACACAAAACTCTCAGAACTGGGATGAGTTTAAAGACATGAATGTGGAATGATTTATACAAGACCTGTTCAATTGTCTCAGTGGAAAGGATCTCCGGCTCAGTGATAGTAGAATCAGATGATCTTACGAAATAAGTAACTCTTCCAAACTTAGTTCTCTCTTCTTGTGGTGTGTCCATTAGATTCCATAGCTCGAAAAGTGAGGCCACTACATCCTTCAGCTGCACAAATCATTTGCTCTTCTTTCAGTAATGAGATAACAGAAGAATAATAATAATAATAATATTGAGCAAGTTTCAGGCTACCTTTTGAAATCTGGCTCTTCTTTCAGTTTTAAGCTTTTGAATCATTTGCTCTAGCCCCTCCAATGTGTTATCACTAATGTTTGTAGACTGCTCCTTGTCTGTCCTATGCAAGCTTGGATGAATCTCACAAACTGTTTGACTAAAGTCAACCCCCAAAACACCGCAGAGTGTGTGCACCTCGTTGACATAACCCAATACTTTGTTGAGGCGATCAGACTGCATGAAAAAGAACACCAAGCAGGTCTTGTAAGAAAACTTGAACGAAGAATTTGTTGTTCATTTTTGATAAAAAAAGCTTCACCTTATCCTTTTGAAGCGTGCGGAGATGTGTTTGGTACTCGTTAAGTTTCCTTAGCGTCAAGTCTTGTTCTTGGAGAGTTAAGTTAAGATTCTCACTGTATCCTGAGATTTCACCACTAATCTTCTCAATTTGGGCCTTTATGTCGGAAAACTGTTTCACTCTCTCTTCTCTTTGGATTCTCAAGTCCTCAACTAGAGGAGTCACAGCTGCAAGCTTCTCTTTCAATGATTTTGATCCTCTATCCACTTTTATCTAAGCACCAAAATGCAAGAAAACATACACTAAGCATCAATATGCAAGAAAGCATACACAATTTTGGGAAAGATCAATTAGTTGGAAGCTCGTACCGGTGAGTTGATGTTTAAGACTCCAAGAGCAGCCATTAGAGAAGCAACTTCAGCTTCTATAGATGCAACAGACTGATGAAGCCGTGCCTTGGAATTTGCAGCCTCGTCGACTTTTCTTTGATAGATTTGAAGACATTCTCTCTCCAATTCCATCAGCATCTTGTCTTTCTCAGCTTCACTCTCGCCAATTTCAACCCATATTTGCTGTTTCATACACCAAAAATTCCATTAATTCGAGTACAAGAAGCTCGTGCATGAAATTGTTACCAAAGAACATCAACAGTTACATCATATTACATGTCGACAAAGTAAAGAAATTACCAGAAATTGAAACAAAAAATAAAGAAATCCAGAGGCATGTTTAGTTAAAATCACAGGAAACCCTTTGACTTAAAGAGGAAAAGATAATGAAAACAAAAGACTAATTCAGCTTAAATTGTCTCAACTTAGAACTCATGATGACCAAAACAATCATCCTTTAACTCTTGAAAGTGAAAAAAAAAACAAATACTGACTTTTTTTTTCATCGTCAAGAAAACTCAAAATTCTCAAGAAGAATTCAAAGAAAAGAAAGAAAGAGGAAGAAGAACAAACCTGAAGCTCTCGGAGAAGGTTATTACAAGTAGTGTTCGTACGAAAGAAGAGAGAATTTGACCTTCCAATTTCCAGCATTTTTTTCCTCACTCTTATTTACTCTCAAGCTCCAAAATTAGGACCTTGAAGCAAGCAAAAATGGTGCTTAATTGAAAAAAAACAAGAACAGTAACACAAGTACTTGCAGAAACAAGAATCAGATCTGAAGCTTCAAGATGAGACAAACATTTATTAACTATGCAAAGTACTCATTACTTTGCAGAGGAAAAACAAAACCAAAACAGAGAGCAAAGATAATAATTTGCTGATTTAGGCTAAAAAAGGGAATGAACAGAGAGAAAGAACAGGTAGTAACAGAGAGGAGTTAGAAAAATTTAAAGAAAAAAACAATAATGAGCTTCTTTTAAATCGAATTTACAGTATTATACTATTCGATATCATTAATATATAATTTATTATATATTATTCTGTTTCACGGAAAAATACGTTAAATTGGCGAAAAGACCGACGACGGGTACGGTGCGGGTGACGGGGTGAGTGTGCCAGACGTTAATTGACATATAACCGCGCGTGGACATATAAATGCGCGTGGAGACTACGTTCCAGTCAAAACTGAAGGATGTTGGTCACGCGAGTCACGAGAGAGTGTGTTAGTATTTTTGTCGTGTAGTTGTGATAGAAGAAGAGTCACTGACATAAGTAGCTGTGTTTTGACGGTGAAGTGTAAACTTTACGATAAATTTTGTTTTCTGTTAAAATAAGGAATACACTGAATATTATTTTTTTCTTTCGTTTTTTTCTGTCTAACTTATTTAATAGAATAACCGAAAAATGGTAGACAAGACAATATGTGATGTCAAAAGAAGCTACGAAATTTTGAAGCCATGCAAAATATAAAATTGCATACATAATAAAAGCAAGGAATGTTAGAATCAGTTCGTTAGAGAAGCCTAACTAACAAATCAGATATAAATAAGTGATTAGTCGGCAATTTGCTTTCCTATTAACATGTGATATTAAAAATACCTAAGTAATTTTTTAACAATCAATAGACTGACTAATCAAATGTTAAACTTGAAATCTGTTTCAAGTAATTTGGCCAAAGTCAAAACTTTAAACTATTTGGCCAAAGTCAAAACATCCAACTATCAAAGTGGTTTTTAGCTTTAGACGTTTAAACTTTAAACGATCAATCTTTAGAACTATACTCAAACTTATATATTGTGTCTCTTCCGTAAATCAAACATAATATTGAGTTCAAAACCAAATATGACACGATCTATATAAGTTTTTGTTAATTGGTTGAACTAATTATATTGGCGTGTCATAATAAAAATGTTACCATCTACCGTATTTGAACAAACCTCATAACAACCAAACCAGAATCATGAATAGAAAAATATACTAATATGATGAGGACAGACTTTTATTGTTAATGGAGGAAATCTGGTTAATTAAAGATGATAATGATATTATACATACCCCTTGATTAACAGAAAGATGCTAATTTGGTCAGGTCAAAAGGGTGGGTCACTCATTAGTCATTAGTATTACCGCTCTTCTCCACCAGTTTCATCAAGAAAGTAGAAATCTCTTTTTATAATTTTAATCAGCATTTTTCTGTTAGTATCCCATTCCCATCCAAACGTTATTATTGCTCTTCATACCAACTAATCAAGCTGCATACCAATTTATACATTAGTTTCTCTTACCAAATCTATTTTAATATAAGAAGTAAGATTAAGTTTAATAATTTATAAACTTGCTATTATTGTCATTTTACCTACATATTCGACGTTAGTTTTTTTTTGTCAACCATAATGTTTTTATAATGTTTTTATGATTACATCGTAGTCTACTTTACACATGTTAAAAACACATTAAAGTAAAGGTCAAAATCAAAAAATTTAGACAGCACATAATTGAACAAAATTATAGCAATAAGTTACGCTTACGGCTAAAAAAAGCTGCTAAACATTTACTTTGTTTGTTTTAAAAGAAAAATATGGCACATTCCTAACACAAAATGATCAAAACAAGATAAATGTATAACATAAAAAGTAGTTGGGCAGAAAAAGACAAGTAGAATCGGTTCAAGCTTGGGTGGGGTGGTAGTGAGATCTTTATTACGGCCACGCATATTGTACACTAAGCTTATTACCTTAAGACCTATTTGCATCAATATAAACAAATTATATGAAGAACACATTTTGTTTACATCATTTCAATATCTAATACTTACGGGTAGGGCTGGGCACAAGTACTTGATACTTGCTTAAAACCCGCTATTTGCCCCGCCAAACCAAGTACTTGCCCCGTACAAAGCAAGTAACAAGTCGCTTTTATAAATTACTTGCAAGTACAAGGCAAGTATCAAGTCTTAAAAAAAAATCATTACCCGCCTTGTTATGACCCGCCTTGTACAAATATTTGACATTTATAAAATTTGTATTTTTTTTATATATAATGAAAAAATAAAGTTTTTTTCTTGTAAATAAGAGATCCATTGTCATTAATTGACAACAATAAGAGTTTTTAAAAACCTACATTATAAATATGAACAAAAATTAATAGGCTTTTTCTAATTATAGCCCAAAATTGTGAAATATTTACTTTTATTTTTGTGTTTTTACAAGTTAGCAAGGCAAGGCAAGTACTCACAAATAATGAAAATATGAACAAGTACTTAAAGGAGCAAGTACTTGACAAGGCAAGGCAAGTCGCAAGACGAAATTTCAAATATTTTTATAAGACAAGGCAAGTCGCAAGTACACTGAAAATAGCAAGTACTTGCCCCGTGCCCACCTCTACTTACTTACGGGAGTGGTTACTTATACGTCTCCAAAATAATAACAATCTTTACGAAAACATTTGCTTTCTTTTCTTATCTGTATCTCCCAATATAATACCGCATGTGTGGAGACTGAATATTAAAAGTCAACGCCGTGCTGGATACAGTCGTGATACGATTATGGAGGAACATTATTAGTATCAGCTTTTTAATAAATCACATTGTAGAAAGAAACTTCATAAGTTAATTATCACATTGTTAGTTATATATAATGTCATGAAATAAAAGCAAAAAGGATTGTTAATGAGATTTAATACTGTAAGAAGAGGTATAAAATCACTATAATAATGTGCTTAACTTGCTTAGGATGCCACTGGGATCAAGTGTCTAATCATCCCATCTAATCATTTTCTTATCTAGTGGTTGGATTTGATAATCAATGTGGCACACCCAATTCACAACACAACAATCCTAAATTATTGGTTGTTTGAAAATCAACTAAACACTACAGTATTCGAAAATTCTCCGAACTGGAAAGGCTTCAAAAGTTTTGTTATAGCACAGCTCACTACTGCGTGAAAGTAATATACTAATATTACTGTGAAAGATAGGATTCCTTTAGAGAAAGCTTAAAACAAAATTCTATAAATGCCAAGTGAAATCAGTCATTTCTCTTTATTTCCACATTTTTTTGTCTTTTCTTTTGTCTATACTCCATATTACTTCTTCGGTTTCAAATTAGTTGTCATTCTGACAAAATATATCTGCAATTATTTGGATGTATTAAAACATATCCAGATATATCCAATTATCAGATACATTTTATCAGAATGACAACTAATTTGATTCAGAAAGAATAGTTATTTGTCTTTATGTTGGTGAGATTTAACAATTAAAAAGTTATACAAATTATTCCAGGATATTATAATCTGGCGAAGACAAAACCTAATGTGGTACAGTAAGGACAAATATTCAGAGTTAAAGTACCAAGATCATTTAGGAGATATAATAAATTCGCACATTTATGTAGGTGAAAATAAATTATTTGAGATGTGTATCTAGTATATCACATGCCTGGGTATGTCGCATCGCAATCGTCATTGCCTTGTGAAGCCTAGATCCACATGTATTATTATGTGTATGGATCGATCTATCCGGATATATATTAAACGTTCCAAAATGCAAGGGTCATAGAAACTTCTCTAACATACTGTATATATACATGTGTGTGGTATAATTAGTATCAGTCATCTCGTTCTATACTTCTATTAGACTATTACTATACAGTATAATTTTGGTTTTTGATTAGTACTTTAAAATTGATGAAACAGCGGAATGAATGAATCTACAAGTCCACAATATTTGACAAATTACATAATAGTGCAACATTTCGATTTGTATTATGTTATATCATTCAATTAAAGTTTTACACCTATTAATAATTTTATGATCTAATTTAGCAAACAATTTTCCATTTCTACTATTCAACAATATGAAAGGTCAAAATTTTTGACCAAAAATTATATTTAGATTCATCATATTTAAAGAGTTGAATGTATTTGCATTGAAGTCTTATAAAATTCCAAATAAAATCTTAAATTAACTAAAAATGCTTAAAATAAATTTTGAAAGTAGGAAGATGCCTATCTGATGTGTATATAGACCCTACATGTCCTCATATCTCCATATATATACATACTCGATTATTTTTGTTTGTGCTCAAGCAAAAGAAGTAGATAAGAAGGAAGAAGAGGTACGTGTACCTGTAGGGTTTAAAGAGTTAAGGAAGGGTGAGAGTAAAGGACATGAGCAAGTATGTATCCAACAAGCTCCACCACTTCCCTTTCTTCTTTATTTGTCACCATTTTAACTGCCAAAAACAATTCATAATAATCATATAAAAAGATATCATGAGAGACAATTTGAGATAATTACTTGAAACTATAAAGAACTCCTTGGAAACTACTCATAACTCAACAAACATCTTTGGTAGAGTTTTGTCTGAACCTCCTAGATGAAAAGAAACAAAGAATCGGGCTTTAAGTGAAAGCAAGAACAATAAAAAAGTCAAATTAAACTCAGAGATGGAGATAAAATATAATCTAGAGCAACTACCATGGAAGTTTTTTCGTTCTTGCAAAATTTTAGGATTACTTAAAAATTTGAATTAGCTGTTGATTCGTAACACCTAATAAAAATGGATTTTTTTGTTTTTAAATTGACCTAAAATCAATATGGCAGATCGAAAGTAGGGTCCTATAAATATTAATTAATACACAAATTATATATCCCTACTCATAAGAATTGGGATCATCATTGCCTGCAAGTCTTAAATTTGTGTTGTCACTATTGTAGTCATTAATAGATATATAACAGAGTCATGTAATACAGAAGCAGAATAAAACTATGTCTAGTGCCTACTCTCTCCTAACCTTAGAAACCTCATTCTACTTCTTTCTAGTTTCTACAATGGTCCCTAAAAATAAGATAGGCCTAACATTTTTAACTTTATAGTAAAGATTCATCCCACATGGATATACATGTACATGTGTGTATGAAAAAAAAAAGTAGGTGAAAGATTTAGACATAAATCATCTCTTCTAGAATTTGGTATTGTTGAAAGAGATCTTGTTTGTTACCATGAAATGTGAAAACTGAGAAAAGGTATAATAGAGAAAATATTTAAGTGTAGACTCCATAAATGAAGAAGAATAAATATTGGAGAGTGACCCCAATGAATTAAATAAAAATAGACTTTTCTTCTTGTTTCCTTTTTTGGTGAGTGTATTACAGCTATAACTCCATGAAAATGAGGTTTGGTTTGGTTTTTCAATGGGAAAAAGGAAATGCTGACGATTGACTAGTGACTTCTACTATTACTGTCTCTGTATATCTATACGACTATACGGTCCGGTACAGTATTTTGAAGTGGCCCGGACCGGAGATTTTTTAGGTTTAGCAAACTGTGAAAGGACCACAAAGATTTGATTGGTCCGTAAACCGTATATTTGATTGGCCGGTGGTCAAAACTCTCAAGTCAACCTCGATGGCTCATAATCATAATGAACACACACAATGTCCAGTTCTAAGGGGAAAGATGAAGAAGACTTGAATTGGGAACAACAATGTCTCCTTTTGTGTGATGTTGAAATGCAAGACAGGTCAAAAAAGGAGAACATTGGGCCTTAGTGATCCTCTATGCCTATAACATGTTTCTAACGAATTCAATATCCTATGACTTGATTTAATATAAATCTATCTACCTATCACTGATCATTGATGGAAAGAGCAGGAAAATGAATGTTTACCCCATGGTAAAATAGGGAACTCGCACTGTTGTTTAGGCACGGTTATTAAGTAAGAGGAGACCTGTGGTAAAAGAGAAGAACACAAATTAGTTTCATTTTGATGTTTATACTTTACCAATTAGGGAATAAAGAGAGGGATATTAAGTAACCAAAATGGAAGCAGCCAGAGATGTTGAAGAATGATCAAGAAGGGATGTCTCCTCCTTCTCATAAAGAAGATCCATCAAGTCCATACATGCTTCAAAGTTCAAAAGTTCACCAGCCTTTGCAACTTCTCTAATAGAACAAAACATTCAATTTTTTTTTTAGTTTTAAGCAGAAGCTTGAAGAAGCCAGATATTTTGATAAGGATGAGAGAAAAAAAACTTACTTGAACTGAATGAAAAGGTCTTCGAGCAGTGTATAAGCTATGTTTAGAGTGCCAATCTCAAATTTCAAAACCTGCTTCTCATGTTCAGTGGTGAAGAGTTTGAATGAGCTTCTAGAGCGTAAACAACATACCACAAGTGTACAATGTTTTACCTTCAGAAAAATGAGTTCCTGCAAAAACCACCTCATAATTACTCATTGAAAGAATCTAACAAATTTCAGTCTTTAAAATTTCCAAGAGTAGCTTACTGCTTCAAGGAACTCCCGAGAAGTGAAGAGCTGCTCTGTGATCAACTTATCGCCCAAGAGTTTCATACTTTGAACCGATAAACCTCGAGAGCAATGCATCTGCAGAAGCAACAATTCAGCTCTAGCTTCACACAACCCAAAAATCTCTAGCAGAAGTGAGAGTAGAGAGGTAAACGCACTTTGCAAGAGATCCATATCGAGATTAATACAAACAGCTGCAGATTGCTTTCTCTCAGTGGTTTCAATAGCCGGTGCTCTGCTTTCTTCTTCTGTAGAAACCTACAAACAAACCCCAATAAAATCGAAAAGCTTTCAACAGACTTCCATACAAGAATCACAAACATGACTTGATTCCTATATTTTTCCAGAAAATATTTGACCCCAAAGCGCATTAACTTGAAGTTTCGCAATCATCTGTTTCCATAAATCTAATCCTCCTACCAATTAACAATGATCAAAATCTGAAGCATCTAGTACGCAAATAATCCCATAAGAAGCAACGAGAAGGAGCAATTACGCCGCCAAAATCGATTTATACCCTAGAACAAATCGCGAATCGGGAAACATTTTGAGCAGAAGAAAATCTTAATACCTGACTACTGAGGGACGAAATCGATCGAAGAAGAGCGATAGAGCTGAGTACTTAACGATCGGAGGAAGCTCGAGTTGCTTTCAATCGCCAAAATCAAAAATCGAAATCAAAATCAGGAGGAACAAAATTGTAGTGAAAAAACACCGTAGAAGACACCGATCAACTTACAGTAGTGGAATTTATCAGGAACTCGATCAATCTCCGTCGCAAATGAGCGATCTCTGTGGACATCTCTTCCCGATTTTGGAGCTCCCGGTGGAAATTTTGAACGTCGGGAACAATGGCGCCGAAACTCGAAAAGCCCGGTAATGTTTGTTCTATCGATCTTCCCGATAACTTGGGATGGCCTCAGGCCCATTATAAAATAGGCCCAGTCCACTAAATTTTCATAATCGCAAGTATTTATTTATTTAGCTTAATTTTCATAATCGCAAGTATTTATTTATTTTTAAGCTACTTCCAAGTATAGACTATAGAGTATGGGTTAGTGAAGAAAACAAATATGGCATTGATTTCTTTAAGAACTCTTGTTACAACAATCCATTTATTTATTATTTATAAACGAGATCTTCTGTGTTTTTATGTTTTTTTTTCCATTTTCATACAACGATTCATTTATTTAATTGTAATGAGATTTCGTTTTTGTTTATTTCCGATTTATATATTAGAGTTTTTATTTCACTCAATATTCATAATTTTATATTATCCTATTTCCAACAACTATAATTTTGGCATATACAAGACAACAACTCATATGCATTTACTAAAACCACTTGCCATTATAATGAACAGAACCATATCTCTCTTCTTTTTTTTTGTTAAAGAGAACCATATCTCTTTCTTTTACGAAAACTTAAGATTTGTTTTATTGATTTCGTATCATTATAAATATACCCAATTGTTCTTGCTCCACTACACATAACTCCAAATAAACCATATGGCTTGTCCATTCATGATTCATCCATAGTTCATAGTTGCTCCATTTATCATGTATATTATATTCTTTTTAAGCCCTTTAACGAACAACAGAAATATATTTTTAAAAAAATTCTTGTAACGCCGTGTAAATGTTAGTCGTGTTACTAAAATATTGGGTAAAGTTGTGTTGTTTTTTTTCTTCTGAAGAATTATTTTTCCAGAACTAGCTAGTTTTTGTTTTCTGACGTTGGAAAGATTGCTGATGTTGTAACAGCGTGTTCTTTTCTAACATCTTTAATTTGTTACTATTAGATCTAGATAGTATATGGAAACTACAATTTGTTCAGAAGCCAACTCAGTGGAACTCTAAAACTTGAATACTTTAGAACCAAACTCATAAGCTTTCTTGTAACAGCGTATTCTATCACTAAATTCATTTTTTTGTTATACATTTTAGTTTTTGTATCACTATTAAATTTCGAAATAATCACGGGTTACGACTTAGTCATTTATATATGTTAATGCATGGAAAGTCACCCATCAAATAACATAGAGTAGAATAACAATATATATTTGTAAAATTTGGAAATTAGCATATGTATCTATTGAACTACATAAACATTATTAATACAAGGATACAAAAATCCCCAACATATATTGTGAATCATGTGTTCAAAGTAATTTTTTAACAAAAAAAATATTGTGAATCATATTTTAACATATATTGTATATTTGTCAGTGTTTCACAAAAACACCTTCTTTTCACAAGAACTATAAACTAGAAACGAAAAAAAAAATTATAAACTATAAAACAATCACATCTTTTATAGTAAAAATCTCTAATTATATAATTGGGTGTGCTATATATGAACAACGATGAGATTGCATCCCAATTAATAAATTAGGTAGAAATCCACGAGCAGTCTTTCGATTCTATTTGATGATCATATCCATCAACCCTGTCTTCAAATCTGTCTGAGAAAAAGAGATTACGAATTTTCTTACTATATCGTCTAACTTTAACTTCTGTGGTAAAGATTGCTTTGACAGGTCTATGATCAGATATCTTCACTTCTCCTCTTGTATACTCATGTTGCTTCAATCCATTACCACACCATATTATTCGATCACACCTATTTAACATAATAATGTTAGCAACAGCAAATACAAAAAAAACTATAGTAAATAGCATGTAAGTATATATATACGAGACTCACCATGCAGGAGCTCGTTTTTTCTCGTCTTTTTTGTATGCAATGCATCCATAATATAAATCTGAATTTGGAATATATTTATACGTTGGAGCAAATTTGACAATGCCTTCTTGCCAACCTCTGAATATTTGTCCGTTCATGATCTCCATACTTAGCTTAATTTCATAATAATAAATAAATTGGTGAGTTTACAACTTTTAACATATGGGTTTAATTTAGTTGATAAAATTTTATATAGTAAAATACCTGATCATTTTCGAGTAAAATGTTCCATTCTTTTCGTTCAACCAATAATCTTGTCTTCTCCTCAGGTAGAGAAATTCTGTAATTCAAATCTCCCAGAAAAATCACTTGGCTGTTTAATTTGATCCAGCAAAAAGAAAACAAAGCCATATAATTAGTCAAATGGTATATAGATAATATTATCACAAGTTGATTTTTTTTTAACAACTAAACGAACCAAACTAGCCTTTTTTCCACGATATATCAAGACTTATTAAAATTGACCGGTCAACTTGCTTAAATTATACTACTAAGTTATGGTCTGGCTTTAACCATTTAATAATTACTTACAAGTTGAAAAACTTTAGTTTACAACTATACCAGATATAATGCTATGTGAATACGAAACACATACTTTGAAAAGTAAGTAAAAAACTGGACCAGTGAACAAAAGTAAATAACCAAATATATTTTAAAATGTCAATAACTTTATATTTATATAGTTAACTAGAATATATATAAAAGCTTACTCGTGATCAAGTATTTTTTTGGGCAAATCATCTAAAGATGTGCCTCTTGGAAAACTTGATCGCCCAAAAATCTCAGTGACATCGGAATTTCTATGCCTTTCATCTCGATCGCGGCCACCGGAAGCTAGATGGCAGCACACAAAGCACAAGCTCGTCTCGTGCAACCGAAATCTTACTGATACCGATCCCTAATGATTAAATACACACAAAGCATTTTATTATTTGCTTATCCAAATTGTAAACGCATGCGTAAATTATATTAGAATATATTTTTAAAACATTATGTCTAAAAATACCACAGTTTTAAAAACAGTATTAAAATATCACAAATTTTAGGTTTATAAAGCGGGTTTTACAAATGTAACAAGTGTTCCTCGGGCATTTAATAAACTCTTAGAAGCTCTCTTTGTCAACCTAAAGTTTATTGCAGTTTTAGTTATTTTGGATTTTGGTGAAAATTGTTTTAATACAAAATATCTAAAAGTAAGATAATCATACATAATTGTATTTATATAGAATTATATATACATGTTCAACCACAACCACAATTTTCTTTCTAATCCTTGTCAACCATACAACCACAAATTAAAATAATCTGCTATATATTATAAATTTATATAAGTTCAACCACATTCAGAAAGACAAACGTAACTATTTTCTATCAACAGTCAACACCTAAATCGATATACATATAAATATAACAGTGAGATTTGAAAAATATAATAAATTAACGAAAAGATCAAAGGAGTTAATTACCTTGTTTCCTAAGCAACCCATAACGCCACATCCAACGCAGGAGACGCTAGGATGACGGATGTGCGGCCGGAGTTCACCGCGGACCCAAACGGTGATCAGGATTCCGACCATCTGCTTACTTACGATACACCTGAAATCTTGTGAAATACCATTAATACCGTCGTCCCTATCGTCACGAGTTACCACTCTCTTGTTCAAAGTCTCTCTTATCAAAGAGTTCCATTTCGTAGAGACCTTGTTGTTTTCTGATCCCAAAACATTCGACGCTCGAAGAGGCACAATTTCTTGAAACCTATATACGTATATATATACATTTAACTCATCATTTTTCAAGACAGTTAAAACTTAAAACCATAGTATGATGATATAGTAGTGTTAATTACCCGAGCACATATATATCGCACGGGGTTTTATGCGTTTCCAAGAGATCATCCATGTCCAATCCATCGTCCGGCACGATGCCACCAACGTTCCATGTGCTTACAAAGACCCTAAAAGCAGATAACTAAAATATCAGTTTCGAATAATTTTCTAACGTTCCACTAAAGATAATATTATATTTGTAATGTTATAAATTTATGGAGCACGGGGGATCAATATATATGAAGAGAAACATCTGCTTGCACCAGTTCTTTTAGGTATGCATATGCTAATTAGCTTTCATGGATAAAGAAGTAAATAAGTAATATATATATATATATATATATATATATGTGTTACTTGTAGTTGAGATGAATGGTTTTGTGTTGATCGAACAAGATGGATTTAGAGTTGAAAGAAGGTCGTTCATCAATTAATCCAGATGTTTCTAGAAGCTTCTGATCAACATCTGGTGGAAAATCGGCAACGAAGTTGTTGCTCCCAACCCTTTTCCTTAGGATCTTGTTGGCCACAAGTCTTGGCCACATAACCTTATAAATATATATCATCATCATCAATACCATAGAATGATCTGTATATATTAATGATTAAGAGAAAATCGGATTACTCACTTCTCTGTAGCTTCCAAGCATTGCAAGAGAAAGTTAGAGTGAGAGAGAAGAGGAGAGAGAGAGAGATTATGGAGGCGTAATGGAAATGGAGAGGGAGTAATAAGGAAGAGAGGGAGATAAGGAGAAAGAAAAAAGAGCCATGCAAAGCCGGAGAGAAAAAGGTGAAATCCTGACGTGGACGATGATTATTCTATATATATTATATAGTTTTTATTATCATTATATTTTAATAACTGGTCGGAAATATTATAAAGCTAATTTTTAATAAAAAGAAACGAAGGTTGATGATTGGTTCGTTATTATTACTGGTTGTTGGACTGTTTAGACATCAAATCACGTTAATTACATTATAGACGTCCTTAAATCCCACACTAATTAGTTTTAAACCAATGAAACTTTTTGTCCTCCTCCGAATTGCAGTACTAATTTACAATTAAGCTTTGAAAACGATTCTTAGTTTTGAATAAGAGGACACGGACCAACTTGCAGTTTTGTAAAACGAGCTGACACCGTAGTGTGAAAAAAAGAGAAACCTGATAATCATAGAATTCTATTTTGGTCTTTGATTCTTATTGTTGTATCAAAAAATTCATAGATTAGTGAAAATAAAGATCGTCACTTTTTAGTCGGTCTAATCACCGTGGACACTTTAATTAATATATTCGTATATAATTAAATTAGAGCCGCTACAAATTTAATTCAAAAATGTTTGATAGTCATTTATTAATTTTCATATGTAGTTTGAATGAATTTCTCTACTTAACCAGCTTCTAGTTTTGATGAGGTAATTAATTCACCAACAATTGCTAGTGGGTGACCTTGCGATGGGAACATTTGTATGAATTAATTTGGTAGTATGTTGTAACTTGTAATTGGTAAGTAGTGATTTCGGAAATTAAGCAAATTATTATGAGTATAAGATGGAATGTATAATAACCGTGAATTGGTTGATTAAGAATAAAATACCGATAGGCGATTTGGCGATTTCCCCTTTTTCAAATCCTAGTTTGCTTGCAGTTCAATTTTCTGATGTCAGAGGCTCTGCCTTACCCTCCTTTCCCTCCAGATCCAAATTCTTCTCAGTCTGCTGAAGTGGAGATGATTGATTCTCCAATCATTCAAGGTTTTAATTCTACAGGCGGTGGTGGTGCAGCTCCGCCAACTTTTCCGACCTCAAGCTCTTTGGGGTGTGGCTCTGGTTTTAATTGGGCTAAGAACCTTAGCTCTACTAGTAAGATTCCCGAATCTGCAGTTCCAGTGACGATTTCGGATTCAGGCAGACCTCGGGTCAAAGTATCGAATGAAGTCTTTCAGCGCGGAGCAAAGCTTCACAGTGATTATGTAGTTGGTATCTTCTATGGGAAACCACCCTCCTATGGAAAGATTTGGGGTGTCCTTAATTACCTATGGGGAAAGGATAAACGAGTGGCAATTCACAATCTGACAAAGAACGCTTTCCTTTTTCACATTCCATCTCCATCTCTTCGAAGAAAAATCTTGCAACATGAGCTATGGAGGGTTGGGGACTCCCCCTTTTTGGTCACTGAGTGGCGTTCAAAGTTTAGTTTCAATCCACCATCTCTTGACCGAGCTCCGGTTTGGGCATCAATTAAAGGTATCCCTTTCGATCTAATTACACCGGAAGGCTTGGGGATCGTTTGTCGTTCATTGGGTAGAGCGGTGGATCACAAACCTTTTACAAGTATCAATTCAGCTGAGGTAAAAGTCGTGGTGGATCTGACAAAACCACTTCCTCCTGAAGTGGAGTTGGAAAGAGATGATGGTAAGATTTTAGTCCTTCAAGTGACTTATCCATGGCTTCCTCCTTCATGCTCTCTTTGTGGTGAAATTGGCCATAAGGACACTCTCTGCCCTCGTGTCTATGGTCCGGAAAACAAGCCCCGTGATTATGGCTCCGATAATAAGAAGCGATCCCAAGTGAAGCCCCGTTCTGGAGCTCCTCCTCATGAGCATTCTCAGATTCCAAAGAAGGAGATCATTTCCAGTAAGCAAGCTATTTGGAAGCCAGTGGATCTGCCTCCAAAAGATTCACCTTCTATGGACGAATAATCATCTTCTTCAGCGCTAGTTGTTGTCCCAAACACATCATCTCCTTCCCGGCTTTCTCCAGTGGTTCAAAAGGATCAGTCTCTGAAGGATAAGACTTCCTTGGAATTAGTAATTGTGGATAAGCCTTCTCGTCGAAGTCCATCGCCTCTTCATCAGAAACCTCCCTCATTACCCTCTCCCTCCTTAACCAAAACTTCCAACCCTTTTGATACTTCAGGAAGATAGTTTGGCTCTAGTTATTACTGATGATTCTTCCCATGCTGCTAAACTAGATTCCCCTTCGACTGGCTCAAAGAAAAAGAGGAAGGTTTCTGCTTCTTCTGGTTTCCCTCCGAGTGGTGATCACCCTCTTCCAAGGGTGATGGATCACACTCCATAATCTCCTTATGTCTAACATATTTTTTTGGAACGTGCGTGGTCTTAATGAAGTGTCTAAGCATCGTCCTCTCAGGAACTGGATGTATAGTAGATCAGTTTCCTTTGGTGCGCTTCTGGAGACGCATGTCGGCGAAGTAAATATAGGCCGTGTATTATCAGACCTAGGACCACAGTGGTCCCTTGTATCTAACTACGAGTTTTCGGAGCTGGGAAGGATCTGGCTTATCTACAAGGATCCTGTAGTAGTTCGTGTTCTCTTCAAAGATCAGCAATCCATTACTTGTGAAGTTCAGCTGCAGAATGAAGAACCTTTCATCTATACAGCAATCTATGCTTCTAACCTGGAGGATGAGAGAAAACTTTTGTGGGAATCCATTAAAGATACTCACATATCTTTCCAATTGTCCCAGAGAGTTTGGATAGTGAATGGTGATTTCAATGAAATTACCTATCCATTTGAGACATTTAATCCTTTCTGTCATCGGTCTACTCGGGAAATGCAAGATTTCAGGGATTGTTTGGCTGTCTCAGGGCTCTTTGATCTCTCGTTTCAAGGTCCGCAGTTTACCTGGTCAAATCATCGAATCGAGGACCCTATTGCAAAGAAACTTGATCGTTGTTTGATCAATGGTGCATGGCTTCATCGTTACCCGGCAAGCCATTGTTTCTTTGAATCTCCGGAATTCTCTGATCATTGCCCTTGCCTTATCCGGTTGTCCACTCCCTCTCCGTCTTTTGGATCCAGACATTTCCGGTTTTTTAACCTTATGACTAACCATCATAGGTTTTTAGAGACGGTTCATCACTCTTGGAATGAGGCAGGGGGTTTATCTACGAATCTCAGAGACTTCTGTTTTAAGCTAAAACAATTAAAGAGACCATTGAAGACTTTGTTTCGAGAGAACTACAGTGATATAGAGAGAAGAGTATCTGAAGCTTCTGCTGCACTGTCTTCTCTTCAATTGATCTCTTTGAATGATCCTTCTGAAGCTAATCTTTTGCTGGAATCTCAAGCAAAAGATCTTTGGATAAGCTTGCGCATGGCTGAAGAGAATTTCTTCTAACAGCGTTCACGCATCAAGTGGTTAGGTGAAGGAGATCTAAACACTAAGTTTTTCCACTCTATCACTACTGCGAGAAATGCTAAGAATTCTATCAAACAGCTTTTGAGACCTGATGGAACAAAGACTTCTTCTCTTCAAGAAGTCCACGAGTTGGCTGTTGATTACTATACAGCCTTCCTCACTACTATTCGAGGTACCTTCAGTCCGGACCTTCCGCGCTACTTGGAGAACCTGATTCACACTTCATGTTCAACTACACAGCAAGCATTCCTTTCTCTTCCTTATAATGTGGAGATGGTGAAACGGTGTTTATTTCAAATGCCTCTGAATAAGACTCTGGGGCCTGATGGTTTTCCAGCTGAATTTTTCAAGGCCACTTGGGATATTTTGGGTTCTGAAATATCTTTGTCTGTCTTGAATTTCTTTCAGGCCAGTTTCATGCCTACTTCACTGAATTCCACTTCCCTGGTGCTCATTCCTAAACGACCAGGTGCGGAGGAGCTCAAAGATTTCAGACCGATAGCTTGCCTCAACACTCTGTATAAGATTATTACCAAGTTGCTGTCGGAGAGAATCAAGTTAGTTCTTCCGAGTCTTGTTCTATCAAATCAGACTGCCTTCGTGAAAGATCGTCTGTTGTTAGAAAATGTGCTTTTGGCCTCTGAAGTTATGCAAGGATACCACAGAGAAGGCATCAGTAGTCGAATCACTCTAAAGGTGGATATTTCAAAAGCATTTGACTCGGTAAGATGGGACTTTCTCCTGAGTGTTCTCCAAGCTTACAAGTTTCCTTCTTCTTTCATCACTTGGATCAGAAGTTGTGTTTGTTCTCCTTCATTTTCGGTGAGCATCAATGGCGTAACTTCAGGCTACTTTAAAGGGAAGACTGGACTGAGGCAGGGGGATCCTCTTTCTCCAATCCTTTTTGTTCTGATCATGAATGTTTTATCATTTATGCTCAACAAGGCTGCCTTGGAAGGGCATTACGGTTATCACCCGGGTTGTGAGGACCTTCAACTCACCCATCTTTGTTTCGCGGATGATCTTCTAATCTTTTTGGAAGGATCCGAACGCTCTTTACGCGGAGTTTTCTCAGTCCTTTCTGATTTTGAGAAGATGTCAGGTCTTGGTATTAACCTCCAGAAGACGTCAATGTTTTGTCAGGGTCTAGATGGTGCTTCTCTAGACAATATCAAAACCCTTTTCAATCTGGAAGCTTCTTCCCTTCCTGTACGTTATCTGGGATTGCCGCTTTCATCAAAAAAGCTTTCGATTGCTGATTGTGACCCTTTGCTAATCCAGATTCAAAAAAAGCTTGACTCTTGGACGAACAAGCTTCTGAGTTTTGCGGGTCGCCTAACCCTGCTTTCCTCCGTCATCTCTGGGATTGTTGGATTCTGGACTAGCGCTTTCATTCTTCCCAAGAAGGTTATTAAACGAATTAATAGTCTATCTTCTTCCTTCTTGTGGCATGGTAAAACTGGAATCTCTGCTGGAGCAAAGGTTGCTTGGAATCTGTTATCTTCTCCGAAGATAGAAGGAGGGCTTGGCATAAAGGATATTGTGAGTTGGAATAATGCGTCAGCCTTGAAACTGATTTGGATGTTATTTTTCCGAGCTGGTTCTATTTGGGTTGCTTGGATTCGACGAAGATATGTTTCTAATTCCTCTTTCTGGGCATTGAACGATAAGAACTATTCTTACTCGTGAATGTTTAGGAAGATTTTGAAGCTTCGTCAAACAGCCATTCAGTTTCTTCGTTTTAAGCTTGGTAATGGGGATTCAACATTTTTCTGGTGGGATCCCTGGACACCATTTGGTCAGCTGTATAATTTCCTGGGTGAGGATGGCCCTTCCCGTTTAAGAATCCCTCTCTCAGCAACGGTCTCTGACGTCTGGGAGCACGGTTGGATATTACCACCTGCTCGTACGGATCGTTAGGTTACTCTTCATATCTATCTTCTATCTGTTGGATGCTCTTCTCAATTTGATAGTCCAACATGGTTACTCAAGGACATCTCTCAGCGTTCCTTCTCGTTAAAAAAGGTGTGGAATGAGATAAGGCTGTCCAAACCTGTGGTAGCTTGGGCTCCGTTGCTTTGGTATAAAGTTGGTTTATTCCGTCATCAGACAACAACTTGGCTTTTTATACTTAATAGGAACCCCACCTTCGATCGTATGATCTCTTGGGGTTATGAAACAGATGGGCTCTGTTTGCTCTGTGGTACTGAAATGGAATCACATAATCATCTGTTTTTTCAATGCTCTTTCACTGCTTTTGTTTGGAGAAATCTCTTTCTTCATCTCCAGCTTAGCAACGTTCCGATGGCTTGGGATCCGCTTCTTACTTGGCTCCAGGATATTCATTTGGATGTCACAACAAGGTTAGCGTTGCTTCAGGCTTGGCAAGGTGCCATTTATGAGCTCTGGAAGGAACGTAACAGGCGTATGCATGATGGAGTCACTCTCTCCCATAGCCATGTGCTTCGACTAGTTCTCTCTTCTGTTAAGGACAAATGCCGTGCTTTATGCAATTTGGGTTCTTCACAAGGAGATTTACTTCTCCAAAAGTGGTCTCATTCTAATGGATTTAGCTGATCTTTCTTTCTTTGTAGTTCTTTCTTATCTGTTTGATATTTAGCTACGTTTTGTAGTTCCTTCTTACTTATATCTATAAGAAAGCCCTTTAACAAAAAAAAAAGTAGTGATTTCAATTTTTTTTTCTATAATTGTTTTAGTGATTGGAAAAGTATTTTTTTTTTTATAGATTTTGGAGGATTAGTGTGGTTTTGAGCCTGAGAGATTCTTCGATTAAAAACATATATATTTGTAGATCTGTAATATCAATTGAATTATATATTCATTTCGTTATCTGGGGTCCCCCAAAACGTATAGCATGAATTAATCATATTATATAAAAGCATATGACGCTCCAACAGTATTCAACCTAACCTAAAATGAACAAGGACCCTAATTCGTTATGCAACTCGTATATGCAACCTAACCTAACTGGATAGATGCATTTATTACCTCTATATATATTATATAGTCATTTCCTTCCAACAATTTCTTAATCAAATGTTGTATTTTATGCTATAGTGAGAAGTGAAAACTCGTACTACATTGATATCACGCGAAAAGTTTTAGGAAGAAGAAGTATTTTAAAAATACTTTCCAAGTACAATGCGGTATTTCAGGGGTTTTATATGATTTTAAATAGTATTATGGATGAATAAAACACAAATTGTAGTTTAGAGAACTTCTCTCGACTTCAAAATAAATAATGGTATATGATAGATCAAAAGACAAATATCAAATTAACACGTTATAAAACTAACTAAAATAATTACGTTGGTTGTAATCATGTGGTTTCTTGTCAATGATGTTGATCAAGAACAAATTATAACTAAGCTAATTACTATTTGTCACTATATTATTATTTTAATATATGTAAATTCTTAATCTAATTAAGCAAAAGAAAGTGTTACTTTGATTCTTAAACAAATAAGTGTATCATTGTGATAATATTGTTGAGCAAGTTGCATGAAAACTAAAGTTGGGGTATGGAACTTGCACTTTGTACTTAGTAGTCCAGCCACAAAAACCATATATGTCCAATTGGATCCAACCATTCTCGATGGTGACTCCATGAAGACTATATTATATCACAAATGTATTATATAATATGTATATATATATATATATATAATTGTATACGTTTACAGACGCATACACATAAGAATATAGTTTGTCTAGGAAACTGACGAATACAGTTTAGTGTCGTTGTAAGAAATCCTGACCTTTTGTAGATTTTCGAATGTCACTCAACACTCAAGTGGCCTTTGAGATGCTGTCTCATCAGTCAAATTCGACATTACTTATGTGTTTCTACTAAAATAGTTGATACTTTTTTCTGAAGTTAAGCTGCACTCGCTTCACTCGATATATATAGTTAGATAATAGATGAAACCATAATTTTTGTCCCGAACTTTATATCGAAATCACGTTTTGGTTTGTTCATCGTCTTAAAAACAATGTTTCTATTACAGTGAATCATAGTTATAATTCGAAATTCAAACATGTGAAATCATGGATTGTAGACGAACTTCAAGTAAAATATATTGAAAAGAAATTCCACGAAATTATATATTGTTTATTTTTTAATAGTGAAGTTCACCAGTTAGTTTCAGATTAAAATTTGATATTTTTTGTTCTTTATAGAACTACTCACAAATAAAATTTCAGAAAATTAAATACGATAGCCCTCTCCCATCAGATAAATAAGGTACGCGATTGATAAAAGTGTATTACTATTATTTTTTGCTGTCTATGTTTATTAAGTATACGAATTTTGTAGAATTATAAGCATAGCATAGGTCAATTCCTAATGTTTTGGTGACAAGTGGACAAAAAATCCATCATCTCGTGGATTGGGATATAAAATATTCAGAATATATTGGGTTAAATTATCAAACTTATCGTTGTAGCTTCGAATTTTTTAACTGAAGTTTCTATTTGTTTTCTAAACAAATACATACACTAGTCAGGCTGATTAACCCATTAAATTATTTCATTTTTGCTGGTGAAAAAAAGACAAATATCCGGGTATAGACTCCCAGAATATGGGATTTAAATGAGGGTTGGTGAAAAAATGCGGCTATTAATATTAATGCGGCATGTAAGTCATAATATATGGGGGGATTCTTAAAGTTTTTTTTTTTTTTTTAATAAAGGATGCTTAAAGTGATAATGTATTTTTTTACAAAGGATTTTCAATTTATTAAAATACATACTACACATAATTAGTTATGTGTATAATTAGTTAACTATATGAAGTCCATAATTGCTATAGTACTGCAAAATAGAAAGAGAGCTGATCTATTGGCTGGTCGGTAAAGAGAATAAACTCATTTTTATTTATCTATTTACAATTATAACTATATATATAAGCCCAACAATATTTCTGGTAGAATTATAAAACTTCTTCCTACCGTACCCATATTGTCGTTGTATATTAGTTTGAAAGTGCAAATACTTTAGAAATCAATATTAAAAACATTTTCTTCTTCTTTTGTCCTATTGAAAATATCTGAGATACCATGCATTGCTTTTCTACGAGAGATATTTATTAATATCTTCGATGTTAAAAGATACATACATTTATTAACATCTTTATTATTTTTTTTTTTTTGCCAGGAAACATCTTCATTATTTCTAAATAGGTAGACCTATATTACTCAAAGAGAGATAAATTTGCATAAAAAAGTTATTAGTGAAAAAAAAAAAAAAAGTTATTAGTGGTTAAGCTAGCGACGTACATTAAGGTCATTAACATTTTGGGACCATTGATGACACAATAAAATTATTCATAGGTAGACCGTAGGATTCCCTTTTCGAACCTTTTCGAATATTTTATAGTCAGATGCAAAAATAAAAAGTGTGCTACCAAGTGCCAACTGTCAAAAAACTAGACTAAGCTAATCTTAATTTAATCTATAAAAACCATAGTTTCAAAAACAAAACCTGCAACATGAGATCATGAAAATGATCGTGGCCCGACATCGTCAAAGTTAAATACTTATGGGCTTATGGGTCTATGTGTTTTGACTGGATCTAAGACTTGCAGTTTTTAGTTCCTTTGATAATAATAACTGGATAACGTACAGAAACAAACATATATATTTCTACAATATACGAAGAACGGAAAATCAATAATCAGAATCATCAAAGAGTTACACATGCAGATTGCAAATATGCACCTACAAAAACTCCACTACCAGAACTACAAAAAAAAAAAAAAAAAAAACTTCACTACCATTAAAATAGAAACTATAATAAATGATTATGAAGAACGGAAGAACATAATCAAAAGACATGAAATCAAGAAATTGAATATGTACTTAAAACTCAGAGAGAAATAAAGAATAGTATGAAACCTCTTGCGATGATATCAAATTTGGATTCCGATTATAAGATATTTTGGTGGACAGTTAGAGAGATACAGATTCGGCGATGATATCAACATGCTATATATATGAAATTTTAGAAAATTTAACGTTTTATCTATGAATAATTTTATTTTGTCATCAATTGTTCCATAATTTCAATTTCTTTTTACTTTTTTGGCAATTTTGAGCAAATTATGGACAATTTTTTTTTAAACCAAGAATATTATTCCTTATAGATAGATCTAACTTATAATATCCAAAAACTGACCATCTACGAAGCTCTTTTCTCACTATCATGGAAATGTATAAGTCTCTAACAGCTCTTTTCTTTATAGATATATATATATATATATATATATATATATAGTTTTTTTTTTGTTTTTTTTTTTGAAACTTTAGATCCATGAGTAGCATGATCCCATAAAACCTGACCACTTACTTAATTTTTTTTCTTGCAAAAAAATAGAAACAAAAGAAAAAGAAAAAACAAAAGAAAAAAACAGGAGGTTAGAAAGTTACACTTTTGTTTCAACAAGATAGATCTAAACTATATATAAGGAAAGAGCCATTAGAGACCACATATATGTTCCATGAACGAGATGCAATAGCTTCATAGATGGTTGGATTTTTGATTCACAAGTTAGATCTAACAACAATTAAGGAAACTAAGAGCTATTAGAGACGATATCAACATATTCGTCTACATGAACGAGATACAAGAGCTTCATTAGTGGTTAAGTACATACTTATTGGCCTATGTGTTTTTATTGGATCCAAGACTTGCAGTTTTTAATTCCTTTGATAATGATAACTGGATAACGCAGAGAAACAATTCGCGATCCTTCTTATTCTATATCACACCACATACCCTCACGGCCTCACCACTATCGTGATCGTTCGGAAGCCAAATCTAGTTTAGATTTCGGATAGATCCGACATCATATACGTGGATGCTGTATATTGTAGTGTATTTCAACTATAGAATCTGTAAAATAATTGAGATGTTATTTGGAAGTTTTCATCGACTCTCACATGCGTTTTGGATTATTATCTTTTGTGGACATCGTAAGGATTTTATTAAGATAACAAAAAAACACATGAACAAAAAGACCAATAATAGAATGACAAAAAAACAGGTATGGGTCATAATTAAGATTCCGCTTGGCTTGTATGACTATTCGTATGGTGGATAATGAAGATACAACATTCTTGTATGATTCTATTGAAACTTTTATAAAAAAATCACATGGGATATCCAAATATTTAGGAACCTGATCTCGTTACAACACGAAATCAATATGTAGATAGTGTATAGATCCCAAAAAATGAAACAGTATAAATTATTAATCACTTGAAGCTATTATCAAAATGTTGAGTGTAGACTAACTCAGTATATGGCACGTTGCTTATATGTGGAGCATTCACGCCTAATCTCATCCACCGCTCCTTTTCGTTTCACGTGTTTAATGTTTTATCTGGTTTGAATTTCGTTTACGTGTTAACCTAAATTATACTCACGTAATTTCCTATAAGTCCATTTAATCTTCAATTACATGGCTAACTATGTAGATACGTCATCGTCATTTCAATTTCTACGTATTACAAATAATTTATGGAAATTTTATTTGAAAAAATGAAATAATAGAGGAAAACATTCAAATACACGAGACACGTATTCTTAACTACCTAATCAAAGATAAAACTATATGCGGTGATGGTAAAGATTCGATGAACTTTTTAGATACGGTAGTCGGTAAGGGAATATTACATCATATAAATTATTTTAAGTAATAAATTATAGAAGTTTGTGAGTTGACAAAAAAAAACTTGTATATAAACATACCATACACTATCTTTGAATGTTGAATATGTTGTACTAAAATGAAGTTTTTCTTAGACAGGAAATCGTTAAGAGAACAGCTTACTATAAACATCACAATCATTGGACTAAGTTTTCTTATCTTAAAAACAATTGTTGTCCACTTAAGGCCTATAAATACACAAAGCCACAACGAAAATCCACCATCATCATCCCTTACCTTGTCTCTCAATGGATAGTTTGAGAGATAAGCCCATCAAATTCATATATTCTGTTTTCTGCTCAGTTATTTTATTATTCGCCTGTAAGTACTCCACGGCGGAGCTACCACGGTTGGTCCAGCCACCAAAATCAGATGGTACCCTCAGTTTTCTCGTCGTCGGCGATTGGGGAAGAAGAGGTTCTTATAATCAATCCCAAGTAGCAATTCAGGTAGATTTTTTGTTCTTTTTTTTATGCAGCTCTTCAGGTACATAATAAACATATAAACATGTATATTTAGGTGTGTCTTCTGCAAAATCAATAATTACTCCTTGTTTGCGAAAATCAGGCTAACTTTTTAAGTTTTATTATGGTGTGTTTAGAATGATAAGAGAGAAGATGAAAATGATTAGATAAATTATATACTCCACTATATAGTATTAATGTATTATTATAATAGAAACACGGAGAAGCGTGTGTAATCAACTAATCATAGTATTATGTGTTTCTTGACGTGGAATGCATCGATCGTTGAGTAAATTACGTACTAATTAGGCTACTGTAGTAATCAATGATAATCGCAATCAGGGGCGGATCTACAGCCAATGTAGGTGTTGGCACGTGCCCCATACTGATATCAATATTTGTCTAGTAGACTACTAACAATATTGATTCCGTGGCCTAAATGGCCAAAAGTGCCCCATGTTAAATCTCAAGTGCCGGGTTCGAACCCTGTTTCACGCTATATTTATTTTGTTATTTTTATTGATCTTTTATAGTTTATACTTTTTGCTTGTTATTTCACTTATTTGTTCCCCATACATATTTTCTTCCTGGATCCGCCCCTGATCGCAATCATAATGCACTGAGCCACTGACTAGACATTGGCGTGAAAAAATTGTAGTAGTGTGTTAAATACATTTTATGTTATATTACATGTCTATGATTGGAGTAATTGACTATATAATTCGTTGCGTTCAGATGGGGAGAACAGGGAAGGATTTAAATATCGATTTCGTCATTTCGACTGGAGATAACTTTTATGATGACGGAATAATCAGTCCATACGATTCTCAATTTCAAGATTCTTTTACCAGGATTTACACAGCATCTAGCTTACAAAAACCATGGTATAATGGTACGTAAACTATCTTCTTCTATTGCAAGAAAAAACTTTTTTAATAAAAAGGTTTGTATAAAAAGGTTTATATTAATATTCCTTTTCTTACGTTTTCTTTATTTATCACGCAGTGTTAGGAAATCATGATTATAGAGGTAACGTCGATGCGCAACTCAGTCCCATGCTAAGGGATTTGGACTGTCGATGGATTTGTTTAAGATCTTACGTTGTTAATGCCGGTAATTAAATTAACGTACGAAAAAAGCAAATATCATTTTCGTTTAAATATGTATAATTATTTATACAGTCAACTTTTTGTGTAGATATCGTCGATATTTTTTTCGTGGACACAACACCGTTCGTAGATAAATATTTTGTTGAACCAAAGGACCATGTCTATGATTGGAGTGGCGTATTACCAAGAAATAAGTATCTTAACAATCTATTAACGGTACCTAGTTTTACACTCTTTTTAAAATATAACAAAAAAACAAAATCTATATTATCATAATCTAGTCTTGTGATTAAACTTACCTATTTGCATGGGGACATACTAAAATATAGGATGTGGATGTGGCGTTGCAAGAATCAGTGGCAAAATGGAAAATAGTGGTAGGTCACCATACAATCAAAAGTGCAGGTCACCACGGTATTACCAAAGAGCTTGAGAAACAAGTTTTACCTATCCTCGAGGTAAATATTTTATCATCATTAAGAGTAGACTATGTAATAGTAATAAAAAAATGAAAACGCAGTTAATTAGTTCTCTTGAAATTTAGGCTAATGAAGTGGATCTCTATATAAACGGGCATGATCATTGCTTGGAGCATATCAGCAGCGTTGACAGGTGATTACAACAATAATGTCGTATAATTTAATTAATCGATTAATTAATTATGAGGTTTGTAAACTGAAGTAAGGTAAACAAAAACGGCACGCGTGTTTGCTGTTTTTCTAGTGGAATACAGTTTTTGACAAGTGGCGGTGGGTCCAAGGCGTGGAAAGGAGATGTAGCTGAGTGGGACCCAAAAGAGATGAGGTTTTACTACGATGGACAAGGATTCATGTCGGTTAATCTATCGGAAGCCGAACTACGCGTCGTTTTTTACGATGGTTATGGTCGCGTTTTGCATCGTTGGAGCACTTATGAAAAGGGGCCTTATTCCGATGTCTAGCCGATGATCTGTTGAACAAAAGATGAAGAGAACACTATTTATATTTTTTTTGTTAAAAACACTATTTATATTAGTTGTTCAATTTTTGTTCTCTTCTTATGTTGATACTTCACGTGATATAATATCATTGTAATATTGTGTAATTATTTTCGTAGGTTCCGTTATTAACCGTAACTTTTGCTTCTTCTATTGCGTCTATGACTAGTTCTCTGAAATTCAAATAACACAAAACAAACCAATATTTTTTTTTTGTTAAAGAAAAACAAACCAATATCAAAAAAGAAATCTAGTTTTGAGTTTTTTTTTTCGTTTTTCTTGTCATATTTCAAAAATTCAAACCAAATGTACCAAATTTATGTAAATTGTATCAAAATGGTAAAATGGTCACTTCGTACTAACTGAACTATTTTTGTTTTGGTTGCATGTGAGATGAGAGAAATAGAAAAAGTGAACATCTCCGTATACTCTTCTAAAATTCTCCAAGCAAACTGAATATGCAGGCAGCTCTCCCTCGATGTAAAATTTTCTATTTTAATTTCGCTTACTTTTATATATATGAAGTAACCGATTGCAAAACAGATTAAAAAGTATTGTTATGAGGAAACATATATTCTACATTATTAATTTGGACCAATATTACATAAATTAAAAATATTTTGAAAACTAATCTCTATTTTAAAATGTTTGAAAACTAACCTTTTAATATACGAAATTACTAAAATACCCTCATTTTTCAGATACAAAATTGTTTGAAATTTATTTATTTATTTATTTAAAATTTAATATTATTTAAATTGAAAAAAAAATTGTTCTTCTAAAGAGATTCCTGTTTATTATTATTGAAAAAAATTCACATGATTCCAAAAAATATTTTTAAGAAAAAATTTCAACAAGAAAGAAATATATTATGAAGATCTGATTTGAAATTTAAATACATAATATGAGTTTAACCTTAAATCATCTCATAAGCCTTTTAGAGAGTAAAACATGAGTATTATATCTGTTACAAAATGATGCACATTTTTTGGAGTTTATACTTTATAGAGACAGAATGATGCAAAATGAATCATGAAATTTTGTGATGAATTACAAAAAAGAGGAAAAATATTTGAAATCAGAGATGAGAATGATTAATATTGTTATTTTAAATATATATGAATTTTGCCCTAAAATATATATATATATATATATATATACGAAATTTAAAATATCTAAAATTAAGATATATTTTATTTTCTTAAGTTTTCTTCTTGCTTTTTAATTATAATTTAGAAAAACTGAATAATGGTTTTATTGTCAAAGTTTTTTAAATAGGGGTTAGTTTTCAAATTAGGAAAAGTTTTTATAATATTGAACCAACTCTCCCATCCCTTATTAATTTCGCTTATTTACCATCAAAAGATAAACCATTGGTGTTATTATTTTTTGTAAAACTCACAAATTCATTAATAAATATTTTTTGTAAAGATAAACTCACAAAGATAAATTCATTATTTTTTGTAAAACATTTATTTTTCATAAATATTTGGATTTCTTACTAGTTTAATACTAATAAATAGAAACCAAATCAGTAATAGACATTAATAGCGAAAAATATACATAAATAGAAACCAAATTAGGAAAAATAAGAAACCATGCATGATGAAAAATCGCTTACCTAAACGTTGAAGGAACACGCAGCATCATGGCTCCCATACCTTAAATAAAATACTAGTACTAATGTTTACACTAGAAAGCTGTAAAGTCTTCTTCTCTTTTTGGTCAATGATATAAAGTCTTCTTTATTTATGCAGTAATATAATTATATGATTCCTTGAATAATTTATGGACCTCGTTTTTTCTTAGGGATTCATTTCATCTATATTACTTGTTTTCTAGCATCTCTCTCTCTGTGTATATATGCATTGTTTTCTGGATCTATCATAACAGATAAAAATAATTAAGAAGAAGATGAAGATGAGCGTCTTGTTTGGTGTGAGCTTGATGTTTCTATGTATCTTCTTCATCAAGGGTTCTTTGTCAAAGCTTGAACGGTTGGAGCATCCGGTGACGAAATATGATGGCTCTCTGAGTTTTTTGGTCGTCGGAGATTGGGGACGAAAAGGAGGCTTTAATCAATCTCTCGTTGCTCATCAGGTAACAACTATTATTGCTTAATAATCGTTTTATAGATCGACTAACCAAAAATTACGACTTTCGTGCTTGACAATGTAAGAGAATATGTGTTCAAGGCAGAAAAAACAAAAATAAAAACACGATTTTATGATCTCTTTGGATTTTTTTTTTTATTAAACTCAGAATATAATTATATGATTGCGACATTAATACAATATACAAAAATTATATGTTCTAGTCAAACAAATACCAAAAATGAAAGATATATAGATGATGAATGTTTGATTTGTAATGTAAATATATGTATTTTGTGTATATACTACCCAAATGATTAGGTTTGGTTTTTAGTGAAAATGTGTACTTAAAGTTAATCTGGTTATTTGTTTCATGTTCCATTTAATGTTGAAAGTTGAAACATGTAGTTGCGTAATAAAGAACACTAACTTATGCATCATATGAGCATATATTATTCGTATATATGTTGCGTCCATTTCTTTAATTATTTCTAGTAGGAAGTCATTCATTCTACGCAATAGATATAGATATTAAATTGATTGAAACAGCATATTCGTCAAAATGTCTTTGTAATTGACGAATTGATACGCTTCATATACAAAGCATATTCCTAAAAAGAAAATTGATGGAAAAGAAGTTGAAACTTCTATTCAATCATATTCTTTCATTAACCTTTACAAACCGTTTTTGTTTTGTTAGGCAACAAAGTAATAGACTATGATATGAGTAGTTTATTAGTTTGTGTGAAGAATATAGTTATGTCACTATTCAAATTCAAAACCACATATAATAAAACCTCTGTAAATTAATAGTTTTGGGACTTTTTATTTACCACAAAAAAAACTAGTATAGAATGTTTTCAATATTTAAAATTGATTTCTTAAAAATAATTTTAAACCTTGCTTCACCTACATTATAGAAATATTTTAAACTAAAACTTGACGTGAACAAGTACAAGTTTTATTTATATAAAAGAAATGTAAAAAATGGCAGATGGGAATTGTGGGAGAGCAACTAGACATAGATTTTGTGATATCGGTAGGAGATAATTTCTACGACGACGGCTTGAAAGGAGATACTGATCCTGCCTTTGAAGCCTCGTTCTCTCATATCTACACTCATCCTAGTCTCCAAAAACAGTGGTATTCTGGTAACTTTACTTTCTTCCAATAAATTATGTACTTTACATGTTTAATCGTTATTCACTACTTAATAATGTAATCTATGTTTAGTTAACCCCACACACAAATGTTATTTCAGTTTTGGGGAACCATGATTACAGAGGAAATGTTTCAGCACAACTCAGTCAAGTTCTCACCCAAAAAGATTGGAGATGGTTCTGTCGCAGATCTTTTGTCTTATCCTCAGGTTCCTTTTTTCCTTTTGGATTATGATTTATGACCAAACATTTCGGTATTTCTTTTAAGTTTAGTTAGACCACATTATGTTTGGTATAAATTATAGACTCATTTGGTTTATTCTTGAGTAAACACTATATATATGACCAGAATATATAACTTCATAAATTGTATTAACATCTATATATCATATAATAAGATGGGTTAAACTACGATATTGTGTATGCGTGAGTAGAAAATGACAAAAAAGAGCATAAACACTATATATATATATATATAATTTAACTGATATTTAATCTCATAATTGTTTTGGTGGTTATAGGAATGGTGGAATTTTTCTTCGTGGACACAAATCCATTTGTAGAAAAATACTTCACAGATCCAGAAGATCACACTTATGATTGGAGCAACGTCTTACCCAGAAAGAAATATATCTCAAACCTTTTACATGTAATACATTTCTTCAAATAGAAAATAATCAGAGAAATCTCCATCTTGGTCTGATATTTTATAACAATTTGAATTTTTTTTTGCTATCGGATATTTGTAGGATTTAGATTTACAGATGAAAAAGTCGTGTGCCAAGTGGAAATTTGTGGTCGGACATCATGGGATCAAAACCGCAGGCGAACACGGTGTGACCCAAGAGCTCGTAGATCAACTCGTTCCAATTCTAGAGGTAAATTAATATTTCATTATATAATTCCCTGTTATTTATACTATCATTTTCTTTTATCCTATTGAAATCTCTATCATTATTATTTGGTCGTAACTCTTTTTTTGTCGTAATTTTTTTTTGTTATCTTGAGAATTCTTTGTTTATTATTGAAGGAGAACAAAGTGGACTTGTACATAAACGGGCACGATCACTGCTTGCAACACATTGGTTCTGACGGGTAAATACCTGACATCTCTTCTTACACCAACTCAAGTTATACAAGTTTTTATAGAGGAACATTTTAGATATTGGTTCGGCTGAAAATAAAAGTTTTAAACAGAAATCTAAATTAAGTTTTTGCATCGAATTAGACCCAAAATAATTTAGTTTGTTTGGCTCAGCTAATTTTTATATTTTTTAGATCATCATTTTCATATCTGTTATATTCATAAGCATAACCAAAATCTATTTCATTTATTTTTGAAAGAAGATGAAACCAACTTTTCTATAAACAAAATTATGTGAATTTGATTGAGCTTACTTTTAAAAGCAACTAAATACTTATTTTTGAAATTTGTGAAGTGAGATTCAATTTCTGACAAGTGGGGGAGGATCAAAGGCATGGAGAGGAAATGTACAATCATGGGATCCAAAAGAACTCAAACTGTATTACGACGGACAAGGTTTCATGTCTCTTCACGTCACTCACTCTCAAGCTAAGTTCATCTACTATGATGTTTCCGGCAATGTTCTTCACCAATCCACATTGTCCAAAAGTTTCAAAAGGAATCATCCATTCTAGATTGTTTATCAACAACAAGAGAGATTTATCGATTTGATGAATTTGGCTCATGATTTTTAATGTTGTGTGAAGTATGGGTCTATGCGAGACCGCATTTTGATGTGTACACAGTACACACCATTGATACTTTCTAGCAATATTCATGATTGTGGTAAGACATCAATATCTTTTAAATAGTCAAATAAAATCATACTAATATTTCAATTTAATTTTTTTCTTCTTAAATTTCATATTCTTGCGCACTACACCTGCATTTAACGCAAGAATAATATATTTTGAGATGTTCAGACTGTTGCCAACAATAATCGCCGAGGTTGCAGTTGTTATAATGCGAATTTGGAGAAGCGAACAATTGTGGTTAATAGCGTTATTAAGTTGTTTGTTTAATTGATATAATAATTGGAAATATGTAGGATACTTATTATTGATTTTTTTTTTTGTTCAAAATAGACTTCATTAAATACGAAACGTACCTACTCATCCGAAATTAAATTTCGGAGAGATAGTTTGGCAATAGAGTCTGCTAACACATTAGCATCTCTAGGAACAAAGACAAACATAACAAGATGAAAACGAGAAGCCAAATGAGAGATGTCCTGAAGAACACTATAAGCTTCCGAGAGATAGATCCCCGAATTGATTGCGGAGATAGTCTGATTCGAGTCCGAGGCCACATGCAAACAAGTGAAGCCTAGATCTAGAGCATTCTGAAGCGCCAAACGAATCGCCAACGCTTCGGCTACCAGAGGTGAGGCGATAAACCTTTGGGCCTTTGCGTTCTGCTGAAGGAGGAGATGATTGCTGTCATGAAAGGTCCATCCCATTTCCCCAGATCTGTCCTGTTCACTCCATGCCCCATCCGTATGGCATCAAACACAATCCAATGGTAAAAATTGCCTTGAGGGTCGAAAACCTGACTTCTTCATCTTTGGTGAGTATCCTTGTGCTTCAATCCATTCTCTTGCTCGAATCACTGCCAGATTCATTGTTTCAAAAGCACAGTTACTTTTGTTGTTGAAGATCTTGTTGTTCCTGCTTAACCAGATGCTCCAAAGAATCCACGGAGCCAGGGATCCGGCCTTGATTCCAATTGGTGGTAGACTGATGAGTACTTTCAGCTTGGAGATCCCATCCTTAATGCTGGTGACTAGGTTTGGCTTAAAGTGATCCCTGAAAGGGGCCCACCTCCACACGGATTTAGCAAACCGGCAGTGGAAAAGAAGATGGATCGTGGTCTCGGCTTCCCCACAATGTATGCATCGTGATTGTACTAGAAGACCTCTTGCTGCTAGATTTTCTCCAACTGGTAAAGCGCCTGCAACTGATTTCCATAAAAAAAAGCTTTAACTTCGGGGCAAAATACCCATTCCAGATTTCAGTAATCCAATTGAAATTGTCATGTGACGTTGCAGGTCATGCGCTTCTTTCGGAACGAGCTCTAGCTGTGTAGTATGTTCTCACTGAGTACTCTCCCGTGACATTAGGTAGCCACATTAGCCGATCTTCTGAGTCGAATGTTCCAGGTATAATACTTAGAATCTCCTTTTCATAACCTGGTAAAATCTCTCTGATCAAGGCTTTATTCCAAGTTTTGGATCGTGGTAAGAACAAATCCGCCATTCTGAGATTTGTAAACTCTTATGTTACTGATCCCATTGGACCGATGGGTTCTTTTGTAGAGAGCCAGTAATCTCCCCACCTAAGCTGCATGGAACCGGAAGCGGGTACGCGGAAGCGGAAGCGTTAGGAAGCGTAGAAGCGAGTTTTTCAGAATATTAGGAAGCGGGAACATGTAGGAAGCATTTTATATTATAAAATACTTATATAAAATTCATATTATATTAAAATGTATTTAAGAAAAAAAAATAATACAACAACTTATTTGAAAATGGAAATAACATTTGGAATTGAAATCACATGTCGATACCTTCGTCACCCGTCTCATTTCCATCAGCTCCATCAAACACAACAACCTCCAACTCTGGTTTATCAAGAGAAAGATCTTTAAATTCAAGTCTCCCTATATTAATCTCATCCAGTATACCTTTATGCTTCTCCTCTAGCTCACAATTTGGGAAAAAACCAAAGTCTTCTTTGCTTCTAGTCTTCTGTGACTTTTCAATTTCTAAATTTCTGTAAGTCTCGTGATCTCTTTTGTTGAGATTAGTTTAAGGTAATTAGGTTTCTAGCTTTCAATAAAATAGGCTAAGTGATAGATTGGGTCACAAAATAATTACTAAGCCCATAGATAGTTGTTGACTTATTCAAGAAGTAAAACTTGATTCATCACTCCATCATCATCCACGCTTCCACCAACGCCATCACGCTTCCATCTCCGAATTGTACGCTTCCGTCGCACTCCCAACCACCTCATTCTCGGAGTCGCGAATCGGAGGCGCTTCCAAACGCTTCCGCTTCCGGTTCCGCTTCCGAAGCGAGAAATGTCTCACCGGCAGCGCTTCCGTGCTTCGTAGCTCCCCACACCTTTGTCTGCTTTCCATTGCCAATGACCATTCCTAACTTTTCTTTCAGCAGGTCGCGGCCGATTATAATTCCTTTCCATCCATGCGAACCTCCCTCTGTTTTCTTGCACTCTACAAAAGAGGTTTCAGGGAAGTACTTTCCCTTAAGAATTCTAGCTAGTAGACACTCCGGTTTTGATAGTATTCTCCAACTCAACTTTTTTAGGAGAGCGTCGTTGAAGTCTTGAATATCTCTAAGTCCTAGACCTCCATCTCTTTTTCCTCTGGTGAGTTTATCCCAAGCGATCCAACTCATTTTCCTCTTCTCTGGGTTTGCATCCCACCAGAACCTGGTTAGAACTGATTGAATTCGTTTGCTGAGACGTACAGGTAGTTTAAAGCATGACATCGAGTAGGTGGGCATAGAGGACAGAACTCACTTAAGCATGACCAATTTTCCGGCGCTTGAAAGCAATTTTGATGACCAGGAGATGGCTCTTTGTCTGATTCGGTCTAATACTGAGCTAAAAAGGTCCTTCTTCTTCCTTCCAAAAGCCTCAGGTAACCCCAGATACTTTCCTTGTCCTCCTTCTTGTTGAATTCCCATTAGACGCATTACTCTCTTTTTTGTCTCTGGATTTGTCTTCTTTGAGAAAGTTATAGCTGATTTTTGGCAACCTATCTTCTGTCCTGAAGCCTCTTCATAATTTTGTAGAATTTCCTTTAGCGCCTTGCAAGTTTTCTGGTTTTACTTACAAAAGAACATTGTATCATCAGCAAAAAGTAGATGGTTCACACTTGGACTTCCTGATGCGATTTTTATGCCTAACAGCTTGCCATTTTCTTGTGCTTTGTTGCAGAGCCCATATAGAACTTCACTGCAAAGTATAAACAAGTATGGTGACAACGGATCTCCTTGCCTAATTCCCCGAGTAGGTTTTACACTTCCTTTTGCCTTTCCCTATACTAGGAACTGAAAAGTAACTGATGTCACACATTGCATTATCCACCCTATAAGCTTAGGGTGAAAACCCATCCTCGTCAGTACCAACCTGATGAAATCCCACTCGACTCGATCATACGCCTTTGTCATGTCTATTTTTATCGTCATTGAGCCTCTCTTCTTTGCCTTTGAAATTTTCAGAAAGTGGAGCATCTCATGTGTTATCATGACGTTATCAGTAATCGCTCTGCCGGGGACGAAGGCTGACTGGTTTTCCGACACTAACCCATTCATAATTGGGTGAAGTCTTGCGGTTAGTATTTTGGAGATGATTTTGTAATACACATTGCATAGCGCTATTGGCCTGTAGTCTGCCATTGACTTAGGTGTTGTCTTCTTTGGGATTAGGCAAATATGTGTAGCGTTGATGCCTTGTGGTAACACTCCGGAGATGAAGAAGTTCTGAATTTCCCGGGTTATTCCTTCTCCAATGGTTTCCCAATTTGAATGGAAAAAACTGTCTGAGAAGCCGTCTGGTCCGGGGGCTTTGTCTGGATGTATGGAGAAGATTGCGGATCGTGTCTCTTCATCGCTTGGCGTCTTAATGAGCCTTTCATTGGTTTCGTTGGAGATGCTAGGGCAGATACTCTGGTTCACTATTTCATCTCTATCTCCCCGTTGAGTGATATAACCATATTTTACATGATTTTACTATATAATTACCTATGTTTTCAAACGGTTTTTGCAAGATTCTTTGCCTTTAGAGGTAGTTTTCTTGTATTTGTGGGATTTGAAGTCTTTGTAGGTGAAAAATCAAAAAGGATGCAAAAAGGAGTAAAAGAGCCCTAAATCAAGATCCATGCAAGTTTCCAAGTCAAGAAGATCATTTTATCTCCAAGTGTTAGTTCTCGCTAGCGCGCAGAACGAAGCTTCGGAAGTTTGGCCGCGCGCGGAGGAGTTCCCGACGTCCAAAAGTTACGATCTTGATATGGAAAGATAGATACTTGAGTCATGCATCACGTCGAAGTGGAATGAAGCCATTTGGATCAACTATGAGGCCGAACTTATTTTCTACCGAGACATGTCCGGTAAGCGAGTAAACGAAGCCCATGGAGGATTTGGAGTGTCTAATGGCCCGAGCAGCAGCGCCAAAGGCCTTGATCGAATAGAGAAGAGGCCTGGCTAATGTTTGGAGCTTTCCTTGGTACAATGTCGGCCCATACACGACGTGGAGAAGAAGGCTTTGCTCACGGGAAACTTTCCTTTTCCGGCATGAAGAAAACCCTACGCGACTTCGCCCATATATACATGTTTTTAGCCGCTGAAGAAAGAGTCGAAATTATCAAAGAGTGTACGTGTGAGAAGAGAGTTCAGAGGAGAGAAGCCCTAGGAGATCGTCCAAGAAGAAGGAGGCGCCGCTCAACTCTTGTTCTTTCTTTTTCATTGTTTCCATTTCTATAAACTTGATTTAAGAGTTTTCAAGGGAGAATCCGACTTTGTTCATCAATAGAGAAGCTTTCTTCATCCCTTTATCTCTTTTAATACTTGCATAATGTTTACAATCATGCTTTGCTTGCTTGTTTGCATCATGGCCGAGTAGATCTCTTAGTTAGGCCGAGGAGATCTATGGTGGCCGTGATGATTTGATTGTGTTGCAACTTATTGGGATTTATCTTATGGATCTTCACCTTTACTTGAGCTTAATGCATGATTACTCTACCGTACATCTAGTAATCTGATCTTAGAGAAATAGAACCACGACAGTGCTGAATCTAGATCTCAAAACTAGTATTTGGTGAGCAATAGATCATAGCCAACGAAAGCTGAGTTATGGTTTATTGTGAACAATTGAATCTTGATCACCTTTAATGCATGTTTGCAATTCTAATAGCCAACGAAAGCTGAGTATATTAGGTTGTTTTAAACATAGTGGTTGGAGCCACGACAGTGGAAAGACCATACACTAGTGATTCATGTTCAAGACGGCTCTACACACATCCCATGCAACTATCTTTTCATCATTGCTCCATATGATTGTCCTTTGCCTAACTCTTGTTTTAAATTGTTTACAACCTCACTCACATCTTTCTTTTGTTTTTTCTCATTCTAGGTCCAAAACCATCTCATATTGCGAGCTAGCTACAAACCAATCTCACAAGGTGTTAAGCGAGAACACTTCCTCCTCGTGTTCGACCCCGACTACAACACGGCTGTGCACTTGCAGCTCATTAGTTGGGTTTATAAATTGTGAAAATTTGAGGCAATCTAAACCCGCCATCATTGAGAGGTAAACATTTTCTCAAAATAAGATGTAATCACTTCAGCTATTTTCCCCTCATCATAAACTGCAACTCCTTGATCATCTTCTAACACCGAGATATTATTCCTTGCTCTTCTTCCTCTTGTTGCAGCATGGAAGTAACCACTGTTTTTATTCCCTAAATTGAGCCAACTTTGCCTGCTCCGTTGGCGCCAATACTCTTCCTCTGCTTTGTAAGCACTTTTGAGCTCTTTGTTAATTTGATAGATTTGAGATTCATTGGTTCCATTGTTGGTCATAGCTTCCTCCAGTTCTCTTTTCTTTTCCTCAATCTTCATTTTGCTATTTAGGTGTTGCTCCTTTTTCCATTGAATGATCGCTCGTCTACAGCTTGATATCCGTGTCTCTACCGAGGCTCTAGGGTAAGCATTCCAAGCCGACGTGACTAAATTTTTCACTTCCTCGTTGTTTCTTAGACTCATGTCATAACGGAAAAGGCCTCTTCCTTTCTTTTTTTCCGGGTGGAAGAGTGACAGTAAGGGTCTATGGTCCGAACCTCCAAAATCCAGGTACTCGCTTCTTCCCGACGGGTAAGCATCAATCCATGAGCTATTAGCCATTGCTCTATCTAATCTGCATCTAACTAGATGCTTTCCTCTTGTTCCCCTCCAGGATAAAAAATTCCCCGAGAACCTCAGGTCGTATAGATCGCACTCCGACATAAAGGACCTAAAGTCTACAAAAGAGCCCTCTGGTCTAGTCCTTCCTCCACTCTTTTCGGAATTATCTAAGATCTCATTGAAATCTCCTGTCAAGAACCATGGAGTTTCACGCCCTGCAGTTCTTCCTTTGATAGCTTCCCAGATTTCTGCTCTGTCTTGGCGGTCCGGTTCTCCATATACAAAGGTAGCCACAAACTTCTTCCTTTTATAGGAGACCTCTGTGTCAATGAAGTTATCGCACTGGTAGAGGATGTTTAGGTTAATTTCTTTTTTCCAAAGTAGGGCTAAACCGCCTCCTCCTTGTGCGTACGATGGAACCATAGCAATATGGTCATAGTTTAACTTGTTAAGCTCCTTGAGAACGAAAGAATTCTGATTTTTCGTCTCCATGAGGAAGATAATGTCAGGAAACTCATACTTCTTTTTGATTTCCTGTAGGGTTTGAACTGCCCACGTATTCCTCAGACCTCGACAGTTCTAACTGACAATTTTTAAGGGGGCAGGTGAGATGGATCCTGAAAATCCACCCTCCTTCTTGAGATTGCTGGGATCAGTGTATGCGCCGGAGGATCTCCTCTGCTATCTCCATTCGGTGATGTTCCTTGCCTTGAAGCATTTTTAACGGTTTATTGATTAAATTGGTTTTAGTAACGGTTAAACAATAAATTAACAATGTAAACACATTTTCTAATTATAAAAACATCAAAACATATTATTATTATAATAAATCGAAAAAAAATAATACAATATAACTAATCATAAAAAATTATGTGTATAACACTTACTTTTATTTTTCTGTTTTGCTAGTTTAGATGATAGTTATGATTTAAGGAAAAATCATTTATTTTGTAGAGGTTAATCTTAAATTTAGAAAAAGTTTAGCTTGTTAGATTATGGGGATGATTGGTAAGGACTGTAGTTGCTCCACACATCTAAAAAGTTATTTCACAGCCAGTGTTCAAACTAATCATGCTTTACTTTTAAAAAATAAACCTACAGCCAAAAAACTGAAAAATGAAATATATTAGCTCTATAAATCAAATTTTCTAGAGCAAAATATTTTTGAGCTTTGAGAATTCTCTCACTCTTCTTTCCTTATTATATTTTATATATCCTTCTTTAATTCTTTCTTTTTCTAAATCTTTAAAAATATTTTTAATGCTACATATATGATATTTAATGACACAATATACACAGAAAAAATCATGCATCATTAAAATCTAAAGCCACAACTAAAAAACCTATAGCCTATTTTCTAAAGCAAAAAAATTCAAAGCCAGTGATGAGAAAAAATACATTTATCAATAGAATTTTGGTGTATATATAATTGTAATATGTGGTTAGTGAATATTAGTTAAAAATGTTAAAATTTATTCATATTTCACAATAATAAAATTGAATTCTTATTTTTAAAATATTTATTATATATAATCTGATTTTGAATATAAAAAAAAAATTATATCTTTTTGTTATTACCTATCAGCAATTGCCAAAAACGTGAGGAAATAAGTTTTTGAATTTGAGAGGTTTGGAACGGTAAGATGGGCATGTTCGTTTCCCAGTAGCAGCTACTGCGATTGCGACAGTGACAGTAGAAAATACTGAGACGGAAGCAAAATAACTTAAAACAGTCGCTACAGAGGGTTGTAGGTCGTCGACATGTTTTATGATGGCAGGAATTTTTGGCGTCTCTTTTAATGCCTTGTGTTGCTGCCGCTGCGATTGGTTAAAGAACATGCCCGATGTGGTACAAAACTGATTATTGTTAAACGCCAAGAACCGATGTTATCATCGCAAAAAAAGCTGCATTTACTGGTAATAGGTGAATGGGCTTGTTTGGTTGGGCCAAATGGGCCTTGTAAGCCTCATACTTAAAATGATCACATATGGCCACATATACGCTAGTTGACATATTCAAAACTCAGATCAGAGAAAATAAAAATCCTCTGTAATCTACAATTTTGCCATCAACGATGTATTATTGTCCACACACAGGAAAAATTATCTTGCAGAGAAGTGTAAGAGAAGAAGCAGAGGAAACTGATGATGGTGGTGTTAGGATTACAGTCTCTCAACTGGTACGGATATGGAGTAATCACAGAGAAGAAGAAGAAGAGACATCTGATGCATATTCTCGGAGCCACTGAAAGAGACAATTCTTCTTCGTTCGAAATCGATAGAGACAAAGCTAGAGAAGCTCTGAAACAGCTTGATCAACAAATCGAATCTCAAGCCGATATAAAACCAAGACTACTCGTCAAGGCACCATCATCAGATGTTCTCAGAGACTCATCAAATGACCCAATCATGTTTGAAGAACCTCCTGAGATCTCCGGATCGTTCCTCGCAACTTCAGCTTTCCTTCTCTTAGCTTTCACTCTGTTCTACAATATTTTGTTCATCACAGCGATAAGACCATCGATAGATGCACCAGAATCAGTTCCAGCAGAAACCATAGCTCCAATGTCTGATTCTGACATTGTCCAGTTTCCACTTTCGTCTGAAAAAACCTTCAGACAGTAAAAACTACAAAAGTATCTTCTATTTCTTGTATATTATCAGATCTTGATTCTCTTTATTGCTAAAATGTTACATTTCTAATCAAAGAAGACACAAACTTTGTATACATTAAAGAGACATTGTTTGCTTTTGGAGCTGCAACAACCTAAACGAAGTATCACTATCCAATCTCAAGCCAGCATCTTCAACCTCTTTACATATCTCTCTACACTTCATCAATCTCCCGGAAGCTGTAAAAACACTAATCATATCGCGGTAAATATCATACGTCGGAGCAAAACCAGCTTCTTTGAGCTTGGAGTAATATCTCATCGCTCTCCCCAAATCATCCAACGCCACAAGCAGCTTAATGACCACTCTATAAGCAGGAAGATCAAGAAGACAGTTCGATTCCTCCATCTCCCAAACCAAACTCATCGCCTCCCTGTACTTCTCTTCCGAGTACCGGCTATGTATCATCGTAGTGTACATGACAACGCTCGGTTCTCTGTTTGATTCTTTAAACCAGTCGAAGAGAGACTCAACGACCTCGAATCTCCTCAGTTTCACACAGATCTTCATCACACTCGTGCAGTCTTGCTGGCTCAACCTCAGCTCTTCTCTATCTTTCAGCTCTTCGAGAAGCAAAGCAACGAGATGGTACTTGTCAGGGTTTTTAGCTATTTCAAGAACCATCTTCACGTAGACACTCGAGTCCAAGATCCGGTTGTTGCTCTTGGAGATGAGTATAAGCTTCCGAGCGAGGTTTAGCCACCCGCCTTCGATGCATCCTTTGATCATCGCCTCGATGACGTTCTTGCTAGCCAAGCTGTTGTCGAACTTGAGCAGTTTCAGCTCATGGTGCGTGGCCAAAACCTGGACTGTGGACGCGAGGATCGTGTTGTCTGGGAAGAGGTGAGGATGATTCTCCGCCCAGCGATACGTCTGCAAGGCTCTCTCAGGCAAACCCATGTGACCTAGTTCTCGAATCGTCGTGGAGAGCGATCCTTTACGCAAGAAGCTAACCCATTTGTTGAGGACGAGTGAGACGTTGGATTTGGGAGAAGGCAAGCTTTTGATCTCTCTAGCTAAACCGATGAGAAATATCGGATCTTTATGCACTTGCTTCGATGGTGATGAAGGTTTGATATTGCGCTTTGGAGTTGGGAGAGACGGAGGTCGTCGTAGCTTGTGAGGCTGAGGAAGTGGTAAAGGCCTGACTCGAACCGGAACCGGTTTGCTGGGGTTTTGAGGGATCCGTTTCTGGAAAAGAGATGAGATCGCCTCGATTTCGTTTGGTTCCCAGACATCTGAATCATCATCCGCTGGCTCGTGATCATCATCATCGTCGTCGTCATTATCCGATTGAGTGATGGGTTTTCTCAGAAACAGATTGACGCCGAAATCAGGAGGAAGCTTGGTGCGTCGTGGATTACGGAGATTCTTAGTGAGTTTCTTAGCGGAGACTTTCGTTGCTCTGATGCTGCTGCTCGGTTGAAGTTTCGGGTGGAAGCTAAGAGACCAAGTAACAGGACAATGCATTATCATTCCACGAAATTAGGGTTCTTAATTCTAAATTCGCGGAGAATCAAATCGAATCCAGATTAATTCCGATTGAGCCCTGAGAAATCTACAGTAGAACGGAGAGCATCTAGGGTTTTGAAATCGACCACGAACCTTGGAAATGGAATTTGATTTAGGTAGAGAAACGAAACCGCATGAAGAATCCGAAAGCACTTTATTAGTCTAATTCGATGAAGCTTACCTCCTTCTGAGGAAATCAATCGACAGCAAGAGCGAGGTTTAAAGCTAGAGAACACGACGAGGAAGAAGAAGAAGAGATTTTTTAAAAATTACCCGATCCGATAGACCCGACTAGATCCGACCCACCCGGTGCTGGAAATGGGTGGGGAAACAAAAAAGATATTTTTGTGAGAAAAGCTATTTTACCGGATAAGAACTAGTTACGTGGCAAAGCCCTTTGGAAGCAGTTAGAGGGTTCCAGCTGGAGAATTGCTGGCAAAATAAAACAAAACATCGACCTCTAAACACAATGAGAATGTGCTAAAGCCAAGTTTCGCCAACTCTTTCCCATAAGTCTATCTTTTAAATGGTCCCTAAATTGCGAAATCCGACGTATACATATAGATATACGTATATAATTTATTTTTGTTTTCAAAAAAGTTTGGTTGATGATTTATAATTTTGAACCAAATTCTGAGTCGACCATAAATTTGTTTACTTTACTCAACTCAAAACTTGTACAATGCGAAAGGTACTGTGTGTATGATTACATAAAGTTTCATTGCATGTTTACATATATGTATATGTAATATGTTGACGAACATGGCCACCCAAAATTATATGAAATAATATTCACTGGACCCATTGAATAAAACAAGCACAAGAGAGACAAAACTTTCGTCACAAAATACTCAAATCAAAAAATATAACTATATGAATATTGAACTGTGAGTCGATAGACCGAAGAAAATGACAACCAAACATCCAACAAAAACTGAAATTTACAATGCAAGTATTCGTAAACGACAACATTCACAAAAACAAGAAATATTCACTTTATCATATGGTATTCAAACACCAAATCTCTCAAATAAAAAAAATAATTTATTCTCTTTTTCTTATGATATTCATATACAAGCAACAAATAACAAAAATGCCCTCTCTAACTGTGGAAAAATGAAAAATGCAATCATAAAAAATACCAATAAATGGACTTATTATAGAAACCCCCACCCCCCAAATCTCATCCCAACACCAAATTACTGACTATATGTTTACATCGACTCTGTTCCATCAGCACGGCTTCTCTGACTCCGGTGTTTTCCGCTGCGGTGGCGCCTCGGAATACCGCCAAACGTCACCGGATCATAAACCTTAAGCCACCTAGCCTCCGCAGGATTCACCATGCACTCAGGTAAAGCAACATTGTACCTCTTCCGATCATAGCAGTAGGAGTAAGTCATGTGTTTCCTCCTGAAAACGTTCATTTTACCCCTCTGCAACGGTGTAACCTCCTGCGCCGCGCGGATATCCTCAGCCGCTCCTTCGTCACACTTCGGAAACTGCTCGATCGGGTCTACGGCGCAGCCGTGAAGTACTAGATCAGAGAACTGCGCTACGTAAGGGGCATATTTGTAATTTACAGCATACTTGCCCCCGTTAGTCGCCCATTTAGAACCGTCCCATATTGTTGTGTAGAGAGACATCGGCTTTGACGGAAAGTCACCGCCCATCGACGCCGTTCGCTTGACCTCTCTTATTGGAACATTGTCTACAAAGAATCTGCATAACCAACAACAACAAAAAAAAAAGCAAATTTTTATCAGTACCCACAAGATAATACCCTGGAAAAAACATTTTTGCATAGAAAGATAGCAGATTTTCAATGTTGATACTTGATCCATAACAAGAAAATTATCAGTCTGAAAAAGATACCATTTTTGGCAAAATTTACAGCTTTTGATTAACTGTGTTAGATTCTGTATGGGCAATTGATCACAGTTTTGATCAAGACCCACAAATTGTTAGCTTAAAAGGATAACATTTTGGGATAAAAATTCAAGCTTTTTCATGAACTTATGTAAAGATTCTCAACTTGATAACTGGACCCCAAAAGAAAAACATACTCTCTAATGGGTCTTTGTTGATGCCAAAAATCGAAAGCTGTAAACCATTTTGGGGGCTCACAAACTTGAAATTGACAGGAACAAAACAACCAGAAGCAAACCATGTCCCAAGCATCACAAAACTTTCCTCAACAAGAAAAAAAGAAAAAATTTAAACCAACAAGAAATTTTTAGCATAAAAGAAAAACAAAAAGATCCTCCCAAACATTAAACCCCACTTGAGCTTCCTTAAATAGAAGACGACATTATTGAATACCAAAAGACATTAAATCAAATTGGGTCAATAACCTAACCTCTCCTAATCAAGATTCCAAGGTTTTTGATGTAATAGCATCAAACAAACACAGAGAACGATGTTTAGAGTTTTAACTTACATGATGTGTGATTCAGACCAGAGGATACTGTATTGATGGTAATCTTCAGTTGGATCAAACCAGAGATTGTATCTCTCTTCTCTTCCCAAATGAGTGCTCCCATTTCCGTAAATGTTTGTCTGAATCCTCCATTCTTTTCCTCTAATATTCCCAAGAAACTCGAAATCTATCTCATCATGATTCTTCTCATACATATCTCCATTTGACATCTGAAAATAACAAATCACAAAAATAAAACGTAAAGATTAGTTAGACCTCATCCCAAATCAAATACTGGAATTAATCTTAGTTATGATTAAAAAGAAAGATCATTACTATTTGATTAAAATTCTGGCGGTTTTAAACTTACATAAAAAGCAACAACAACTCCAGCTGAATAATCAGAGGGTAATTTGATCGAAGCACTGAAGAATCCATGTAAGTAAAGATCATTTGAAACAAACCCAGAACCTGCAAAAGAGAATCAACCATCACTAAACCGAGAAAAAACAAGAAAAGATCAGGAAACAGAGGAACAGTAAAAAAGACAGTACCGGTCCTTTCATCGAGCGTTAACCGGACGGATTTGCCGTCTCTATGAACAATCAAGTTCTTGTCACCGAAAAGCTGCGTGTAACCTTCTTCGAACGATGTGATTGGAAGGTTTTGCAGAGCAAATCCAGAAACTAAACCGGAGAACAGAGACATGAAAAACAATAAACGACTCAGAGTTTCCATTTTTTTAAAAATCGTATATATTCACTACCAAACGCTTCTGTGTGTATATTAATTTGAAAAGCTTTCCGAGAAAGAGATAATAGCTCTGTGTAGGAGAGCTATGGAGGTCGAGAGAGAGAGAGAGAGAGAGAGAGAGAGAGAGAGACGAAAGACTATTGAGAGGAAATGAATATGAGAGGTTTCCAACTGGCTTTGCGTGGTTTATATTTTCGATTAACTAAAATTTTGAATTTATTTTCTTTCCATAATCTTGTTTATTTGATTTTATTTTACGCGGTGACAAGATCCTTTAACGAATACTGAATAATTTAAAAATCGTAAATTGATTTCACTATTTGTATCTTTTGGATATAATTGGATACGATTACCAAACAAAACAAAATTATACAGTATTTTAATACTATCCAGCACTATTTTAACTTTGTAACAACAGTTTAAACTTAAAATAAAATAAAAGATATCGAAGGACATAAACAAATCATATTTCCTAATATTCTTCTGTGGTTCTCTTTGTAGTAAAAAAAAGATTTTAATGTATTCGATCATTTTCAATCTTTTCATATATCGGTTGGAGTAGTTTTTTACTCATATCCATTAATCAAAAAAAGTGACATGTACCCTTTAGTTAATTAATTGTGAAATGTTTACTAAAAAAAATTTGACAAAAAAAAACTAATTGAGAAAATTAAATTTAAGTATGTTAATGGAAGTAATGATCCTAAAGCATCGGCATAATTACTTATTTTTGTGCCCATTCACTTTCTTTTACTTTCAGACGATCATCTCTATACTAATTGAAAGTTGATTTAATAACGAAATGATAAAGCATTGTAATCAAGGGGCTTTATAGCAAAAAAAACCCCTCAACTAAAAATGGATTGGATAAAAACCCTTCAATTATTAATGTAATGATAAAACCCCTTATGTTTAAATTTTTCAATGTTAAGACCCCTCCGTCTACTTTTCTCGTTAAAACTGGACGGACACAGATTATTAAAACGCTGCGGATAAAACAAAAAACGACATGTTTTTCATTGCAAACTTTGATTAAAAATTCTCAATTTAAGATCCAAAAATTAGATTTTAAGTTTCTTCATTGTCGAATCTTTCAAAACACAGAGTTTGAAATCAGGTCCATATCGATTTATTGTAGTGTATGTCTTATTGTAAAATGGGTTGATTTTGTTCTTTGGTTTTTTAGAATCAGAGCTTCCACTGCAATTTCTCATATATTGTACAATCAAATCACCAGAAATTGTTAATTGATTCAAAATTAAATCTGGGTTTCAATAGTTAGATTTATGGATTTAGGAATCATGGGTATTATCCGATTAGTTAGGATGTTTTAATTTCGGATTTTCATATCATGGATTATAGATACAGTAGTTATCTTCTTCATCTATTTATATTCTGAGTTTGTACTTGAAGCTTCTATGCATCTGAAATTTAATCGACTAAATTCAGTAACATATCTTTTCCTTTTTACTGCAGTTCTATAATTCTTTTCCAATAGAGATTTCATCAACCAGCTAACATGACAAAGCGAGGTTTCATTTTCCCAATCAAAGAAAGTTGAAAACTTTACCAATAATCAGTTTTAACAAATTCCAAACGAAAAGTCTCACTAAATTCCAAAAAGCATATACCAAGACAATCAGATTTGATGAGGAGAAACAAACAAATAATTGATCGAGAAGAAAAATGTGGGCATCTACTAAACAAAACTAAGAACCCTAAAAATTTAAGTTTTCTTCTGGGTACAAGCGTATTGTTTCCCATAAACATCCTGTTGTTTTTTTCTTTTTTCAAACGCAACGTTTTGATTAAACGGTGTTCGTCAAGTTTCAATCAGAAAGTAGACGGAGAGGTCTTGACATTAAAATATTTAAACATGAGGGGTTTTATCATTACATTAATAATTGAGGGATTTTTATCCGATCCATTTTTTGTTGAGGGTTTTTTTTTACTATAAAGCCTAATCAAGGCCACGATATAAACATACAAAATCGATATATATGTGAAAGAAGACGAGAGCAAAACAAGAGAAGCAAGAGAGCATGAAGAGCTTTGCTTCTTACACATGTGTCCCGACAAATAGTCACAGGTGCTGTGTCAGCTCTATTCAACCAACACTTCAAATCTTATTTTATTTGTATTTATGGTGATTACAAATTATGTAAACAAAAACCGTTAAATAAATTATATGCTTACAAAAATCTGAAAATGTAATAAATCGCCTCGTGGTGTAATCATTAATATGAAAAATTATTCAAATTACTGTTTCTGAATGTTCGTTTGCGTTTTTATGTGTTGTATAGGTTTCTTTGAGGAGGGATAAAGTGCAAAAAAAAACTAAAATCATAATACAAACCGAAAAGAAAAGAAAAGAATAAATTTGAGTTGTCTATAAAAAGCTGTGGACCAAAGATCTCACCTCGAAGACAAACGGGGTACATTTTAAGAAAAGGTGAATCATTAGGGTTTCAAAAACAATTATTTTTAGACTTTCGGGGTCAAAATTGAAAGGCGTATCATTGAATTTTCAGTTCTTAATTATTATTTTAGTTTTAATTAGTTGAATCTTCCCATAAAGCGCATAACGGAGAAAATAAAAGTCGAAGTGGTTTAGCCGCCCCAATACACCGTCCGTGACGATACATTCTCCAAAATACCCCTCTCCGTCAAACAAATTGACGGATTTGCCTCTATTTGCGAGACATTATCTAATGGTATTTTCGTAAATTTGTCTGACACCGAGAGGACAATAAGACATTTGCAAATTTGCAACGGTAAATGAAAAAAGCAAAATCGCGGCTCCATCAAATGAGAATCGCGTGAAGACGCGGGTCTTGATGACTCCCACGTGGCAAGTGACCTGTGGAGCGGGAAGTTAAAAACGCAACTTTTGGCGCCGCGGCTCTGTGCCAATGAATGCACGTAGAAAACGGTGTCGTACCGATTACTGAACCACTGCCGACGTTAAATTAGCTGCGTTAAAAAAGATGGGTCCTACCTTTCTCTACCTAATATCCGTGTTGAAAGTAATTTAAAGGGTTAATTTTGTTAGATTGACACTACTTCTAAATATTAGACGTTAATTTATCTATCTTAAAGTTAAAAGCCATCTGTTGGGTTTTGTGCAAAACAACCCTCAAACTAAATTCTTTTGCAAATCAAACCCTCAATTTAAAGTTGTGCAAATCAAACCTCTGAAGTCAAAATAACCCCGCAATATAAGACATCTCTATATTTATGACAAAATTTAAAATGATTTTATGCAAAAAACCGCGAACTATTTTTTGTGTGCAAATCTAACCCTCAACTTAAAAAATATGCAAGTCAAACCTGCAAAGTCGAAAGTCACTGCTAAAATGACTTATATGTATTTGTCCATTAACTACAAACGTTGACTCAAAACATCATGACATTTATAATATTTTAACCATTTTTATTAAAAATACTTAAAACAATAATTCAATATTTCTTCTCTTTTTTCTCCATCAATAAGGAGAGGGTTAGGATTTTTAACCAAATCCAAAAAAACTAAACCGTAACCAATCCAGAAAATCAAAACCGAACCAACTTACTCACAATATAATTACTTGGAAGATCTGAAGTCCTATGTCTTTATGAGCCTCTCTCGAATAATTCTATTGCGAGTAAATTAGTTCTTATCTTTGTCTCTTCGTCGTCATTAGTTAATGAGATCATGAAGAAAAGAATCAACTTATTCGCGATAAGATTACTCGAGATAAATTCATTAATAAGAGGAGAAAGAGAAAGGAAATTAAAGATTAAAGTTTTTTGTTTTTGTTTTTTTTTTAATTTACTTTTAATAAAAATGGTTAAAATATTATAAATGTCATGACGTTTTGAGTCAACGTTTGTAGTTAAGGACAAATACATATAAGTCCATTTTAGCAGTGACTTTTGATTTTGCAGGTTTGACTTGCATATTTTTTAAGTTGAGGGTTAGATTTGCACACAAAAAATAGTTCGCGGGTTTTTTTGCATAAAATCATTTTAAATTTTGTCACAAATATAGAGATGTCTTATATTGCGGGGTTATTTTGACTTCAGAGGTTTGATTTGCACAACTTTAAATTGAGGGTTTGATTTGCAAAAATAATTTAGTTTAAGGATTGTTTTACACAAAGCCCTATATTATTCATGTTATATAAATAACGTGACAATATTCTAATCCATTTGAAAAACTTCACAGGAACCAAAACATATCGATTTGGATTTCAAAAACAGTATAAAGTTTGAAAATTTAATTATAGACAATTTATTAATTAAAAATTATAATATTTTTTTTACTATTTCAATTTATTTTCTCTAAAAAAGTGAGTTTCTTTTCATGGTTAATTTTATATGACTTCTATTTATTTTCACAAACTCGATTTACCATCAAACTTAATAATACAAAATGTTCCTAATCCCTAAAAAGAACCCTTTCTTTCGTATATTTTGCTTTGAAATTTTTTATATGGTATGGGCAAAAGAATTTTAATACGTTTGTAAAGTAAATATGTGGTTTTATAAATTGAATAAAAAATATTTTAAAACATAACATCAAGAATATCGTACAGAAAGCTGACGGGGACAGACACATGTTTTTCCACGTCAGCAGATAGTAGGCGTTGGATCTTTAACGGACCCACAGTAAGATATCCTCTTAACGGACACATTAACGCCGTCAATTCCATTTTTTTTTCATATTTTTGTGGGGGTAGTGGGTAACACCGTAACAGAGCCGTGTCAGAGGGGTCCAATACTTCACGCGTAAATAAATATTCATCACTAATAAATAATAATAACGACTTAAACACTTTTTGTTTATACAATCAGTACTTCGTATTACGTATTTTCGGTTCATATTTGGTGGACAGGAATAGATTTATAGAAAGGGAAAGTTACAACGGTCATCGTTTCAACTAGTCGCGGCTAAACGCAGTTTAGACTAACGTGTGCGCGGTTTAGCATGTGAATCTAAAAAATGAAAGATCCCAATGTGGAATATTCACGTGAGTTTTTTGCATGAGTCTAATCCACACGGATCATTTTTGCGTCAGAGCGGATCACAGCCGTCCATATCTGCATGGGGATCATTTTGGCACAAAAAAAGATCCGACGGCTTAAATGGGAAAGAAAATTAAAATGATGTATAAAAACGAGGTAAATACAAATATTGTCCACACACACACGAGGGGCATGTTATTGACTTATTGTTTGATAAGTTTAATTTGATTCCACATTTCCACCTGTAATCAATAATCATCCCTAATTTAACTAGAGGAGGTGACTAAACGAATATATAGTGCCACTTGTTTTTCTGTTTTGTCAATAAAACTGAAAGATGACCGAAACGGCCCTGTCAGTGAAATCATATTACCTGTCTCCGTTGGATTCTCCCACTGCTTCCATACATGATACAACCAACGTCTTTGTCTTTTTGCGAATTATTTTTCCCTTTTCTCATGCAAGTTTCTATTTATTTTTCGGCTCATGACTCTACTAACAATAACTATTTGTTGAAAAACTTTTTAGTTCCGATGTGGTGCATGTGTAATTAAATTACAATCTTCGCGACTGTATAGCTACAAAAATACACACAAACGACGTACAAATGATAGAGCGAATAACCATGTGATTATATATCATATAATATCTAGAGCAATGTTTTATAGTGCCTCAGTTCATGTGAATAGTTATTGCTTTATTTAGCTACCATGTTCCTGATATTTAAAAAATAGTTCATGTAACAAAATGACGATCGGTGTTTTTCTCAAACGGTTTATCATTGTCTAGCTAGAGTTTAGGATAGTAGCATATATATACCCAAAAAGTCTGTATTTTCTCATGTCAAACTTCAAACTTTGAAAAAGAAGAATCGGCTCTATACATGAACCTAATTTCTTTGATTATGTATATGCAATGTGTCTCTCCCTGAGTATATTGAGCAAGTGGGTGGATATTAAATCATTAGATTCCGCCGAACCAATGGCAATGATACCAAAAGGTATGTACCATGGTGGGGTGGGGTTGCAATTTCGTATTTCTTTGTAGGTAATAAATGGAGCTTATATACAAAAAAGATCACTAAATTATTATTTTACTTTATTTTCTGAAGAATTTTGGTTCTTTCTTTGTAGGTCCGTCTCTCATCATATATTCCCGACACTACAAACATACAGTGCAAATCCTTCGGCGCAACCACTGCATCTGTATGTACAAATTAAAGTCATCATATACCAAATCATGTACGCAGATTGCTAAATATAGATTGAGTAATTATAATTTCTGATGATAATCAACTAATGCCTTTGTATAATAGAATCTTATATAAAAAGGTTCAAAATTAAAATTCAAGACTTAAGTAACGCTGTGTAGATGGTTTTGATTTTGAGAGGTTGAATTGACCCAAAAGCATAATCACCCGACACCCATACCATAATTATGAAAATAAGCAAATATTTTTGAAAAAAATATTTTATTACGCAAAAAAAAATACTCTACGCTACTAGTACTAATTTGCTTCTGCTTGTTTTGACTTTTGGTAAAGGTGTTATTAATTTTGCTGTTATAACTAGTTTTGTGTGTGGTAAATGTTATATTTATATACTTTTTTTTCTTTGTTGGTAAGATACATATATTTACGTTTTTTTTTTTTTTTTTTTCATTTACGTTGTTAGTTATAAAATATATATATTCTCATACGTTTGATTATAAAAGCACTACAAAAAAAGGATGAATTGTATCACTTAAACTGTATCACAAAACTGAGTGATACTATTTTATATCATTTATTTGCAAATGATACAAATATACATATTTTAGCATCAATTATACATAAATGATGTTATTATTAACTTATTTTGCATCAATTCAATAAACTGATATAATTTATATTAAATTGTATCACTTTAACAAAATTGATATAACTATATAAATTTACATCAATTAGATGATTGATGTATTTCTTGTTTTTGGTTAACATCACTTATTAAAATGATATAAAATTTACATCAGTTAAAATTGATGCTAAATATAATTATATCGATACCATAAATTATGTAACTGTAATTTTCTTTAATTAACATCAATTCAGCAAAAAATGATGTTATTTTATGTTAATTTGCATCAGTTCAAACATTTGATACTAAATAAAATTTTCCAGCCATATGTGGTTAAGTTATTGGCTTTGCGAATAATTAGTACCCACGAACAATCTGTAACTGATCTGAAGACTAATAAAAAAAGGTTATGCTTAAGTATGACAAAAAAAATTACAAAATCCTAGTTCTTTTAGTGTTCTTCAACTCCTCTCTCTTTTTTTGTTACTCTTTTTCTTTTGCTATCTTGCATCTCAGTTTCTTTCTTTTTTAGTAATGGATTAAGATAGAGAGAGCCGGAAAAATGGAGTGAAATTGATTTAGTTCTCTGTTTTCAGAATTTTCAGTTGATTGATTTGGTGTTTTTGATCTAACATCTCTATTTTTCCATTTGTCTCTAATTTTCCATGTGGTTTTTCGTTTTCGAATTCGCTACTTCCTCAAAGATCAGCCGGATCTAATTCTTAAAGCTTTCATTTTGCAGATAACAAGTGAGTTCCTGACACTGAAAATGTTGAAACATCCACAGAGTATCAAATTACATAAGGTTTGTCTTTGATTTTCCTATCCATTAATTTGTGTAATCACTACAAGAAAATATGGTCATTCCAACGGACGTATTCATTGGTGTTTTGTTGGAAATCACAATTTCCGTCGTGGTTCACACAAGCATCATTTGGTTGGAATTTGATTGTTGGAAATGCGCCTTTGTTTGAATGTCGTGGGAATTGTTTTCAACGAGTTTGATTTGTTGGCCATTTGTTGGAAGTTTACAACGTACTATTTGTCAGAAACATGTCAATAATTACCGTCAAATTTCCAATAAATGTTACCAACGAAGCAATTGTAGGAAACTCGTATGTATTTTCTGATGCAATGTTGTAGGATTTTTGTCAGTAAATTCCGTCAAACTTCTAATAATATTTCCCGACGAATTTGTTTGTTTCAGTCTCGTAGATATATACCGTCAAAGTTCCGTAGAAATTCCTACAACATTTTCCAATAAAATATATGTAGAAATTACGTCGGTTTGTTCCGTCGAAGTTCCTACAACATTTTTCGTTTCTTCCGTCGAAGTTCCTACAACATTTTCCAACAAAATATATGTAGAAATTACGTCGGTTTGTTCCGTCGAAGTTCCTACAGCATTTTTCGTTTCTTCCGTCGAAGTTCCTACAACATTTTTCCGACAAAAAATTAGTAGAATATTTGTCGGTATATTCACACAAAATTCCAACTCTACTTTCTGAATTCGTAGGAATTTTGATGATACTTTCCATCGATACTCTTACAAATCTTGATGAAATTTTTACAAAATTACATTTTTAATATATATTTTTACCCACGAATATCATGATAAATTGTAAATAAATTTATTATTTGAAACAGCAATATAGAAATTAAAACAACTAAACATATTAAAAAAAACTAAAAACATTAATTAAAACCCCAATGTCATCCAGAAAACTTAAAGAAAATATCAAAAGAAAAAAATCCAAAAGCTTAAACATAAAACAGCGAAAAGAAAAAATGCAAACGAAACAAGAGAACAAAAAAACTTAAAAACTTTGGTCTGGACTCAAAGTTGCTCTCATCGAAGGAGGAACTTCATCTGGAAACTTGTTTTGCATCATTGTATTCCAGAATTCATAGTCTTGAACCTTCAAGCTCCACTCCTCCATTTTCTTCTCAGCTTTGTTGAGTTTTTTCTTGTGTCTCAAGGTACAATTCTTCATAGAATGTAGGAGTCTCAATAGTGTTTGGCTCATCATCTATCGGAATTGATCCGTACCCAAAGTTGTCGTCTTCAGTATCTTTTACATTTTGTGAAATTGAAAACATTATATAGATATGTGTAGGATAAAAAAACAAGTTGGTATATTATTTAAAGAGATTTACCTTTCGAAAGATGACATCAATTTCAGTTGGAGTAAGATGGTTAGACTCGAGACCGTTCTCATCACATTGAGTCTTTTGAGTGAGAACTTGCTGCTCCATCAACCGACACTTCTTCACAATCCTCTCAGCTTTTTTGCACACAAATTTTCCATCTGACTTTCTCTTATGTGTCATTTCCATAAAGGTCACCATATCCGGAAGCTCACCCGTCACCGGATCACGCTAGTTGTTTGGAAAAAGAAACAACACCTCATCAAAAATGAAAATTAAAATGAAAGAAATCATATATGCATATAGTTATATATTACCATCTCTTCTCTCTTTCGGACATATGATGCTGACCCACATGTATGCTTAGACTGATCGCACTTCTTATTTGTAGAGTTGGTTATTGCTCGGTTGGCATTATGCTCATCTGTCCAGTAAGCAATGAGTCCAAGCCAAACAGATTTACGCATCCAATGAGGTTTCCCCTTCTCTTTTCCCTTCCCTTCCTTCCAAGCTTTTTTCCATTCAAAAGCCATTCCCCTTAAACTACTTCCACACACCTTATCAAACTCTTCACGGACAAGAGTAGTTTGTTCATATTGCCAATTGTACTTTTGCTACATTACCAAATGAAAGACAAAAATAAATAGTTAGATGAAAAATCAGTTATACATGACACAATTTTGCTATATCAAACTAAGCTAGTGGTGTTAATTTAAAAACTTATTGTCTCACGGACCTAGATAAATGTCATATTCAGAATGTGCATAAAAAAACTAATTATTGTAAAACATACCGCAAAAGCTTTGAACCATCTTAATTTAGAATCGTTTGAGACCGTAGACACGTTAGGAGCCGGTTCTTTGAAATCGCTTTCTATGATGTTTTTCACCGTCTTAGTTATCCCCTTAGTGTATTGAAACCTTGTACAAAACACAAAATAATATTTATGTAATTAGTTACTCTTAATAAAACTATTTAATCATAAAGAATTATCATTATGAATTTACAGGAATTACCAGCCAGCACCGTTCATCCTTCTCGGATCAAGCTTCTTAAGACTTGCACGGCCATCACTACGAAGCAGCTGGTCAAGTGTCATTAGATCTGCTTCATCAGTTGAATCTTCCTCCACTGGAAGAGGATCAGGAATCTGAGATGCATCGTCTAAGGATGGAATGGCTTCTGCCACTTGAGATGGCTGTGGAGAAAACGATCCAAGGAGATTTTGATCCACCATTCGATTATAAGCCATGTAGCCGTCCCATGTGCCTGCCATACCTACATAGATTCACAATAATATTTCAAAATTATCCAAAGTTAAAGTTTTAATTAACAATTGTAAAGCAAGTAAACAAAACGCTATACATACAGATTTGAATATTAAACTATGAAAGAAAACAGTGAGTTGAACCATACTTTCACAGGCACTTGAGAGAAGATGAGAGGTTAGAAAAGAAGTGTCGGCTAAATAGGAAGTAGGGCAAAACAGGTTTAGACTTTATATAGAAAAAAAAATTATCATTACTAAACCATTGGAAAATCGTCGGTTCGAGTCACGGGCGGCAATTTTTAATATTTGGGTCAATTAGTAGCGCCAATTCTTGAAACATTTTAAACTCACGTAAAAAAAAAAATTATTTTGTTGAGTTACGAATTTAACAAGTCGATTCACAAAAACTCAGAATTCAGTTTTTCAAGCTTTACTCAGAAACGAAAAGGAATATTTCGAGGCCTTTTCCCGGCGATATGCTTGGACTCAGAGCCTTATTATTATATCGTCAGAAAGATCTCAACCTAAGCTTTCCAAAACATACAAAATCACGATAGTCGGAGTTATATTCAGAGAGTTATATGCATTTCTTCTTCTTCTAGACTTTCAAACTTTATAGAGTTCATGTTTTTTTTTCGGACTTTACTTGACGTTTTGTAAAACGACTTCACGACGATCTATAGGTCACCAAAATTCGTTCTACATATCGTTTTGAAGATCTCAAACGCAACTTTTGAAATCTTCTTTCCCTTATCTAATTTGAGATATAATCTAGGCGCAAATTAGTTTGAAAGTTCACAAAAAAATAATCTATGTTTATCAAGTTTGCTTCTAGTTTTGTTTGAAGGTTTAATTTTGAGTGAATAATTTTTGTCATATATGAATGACATAGAGGATAGAGAAACGAACTATAACTTTTATATGAAATAAGACATTTACATAAAGCAGGACATTCACATAAAGTATGATTTTTATATGAAATAGAACTCTTACATGAAATAGGACTCCTACATGAAATAGGACTTTTATATGATGTATGATTCCTACATGTACATGAAGTAGACTCAGGTAGGATCATCACATAAAATATGACTTTTATATGAAATAGGACTCCTACATGAAATAGGACTCTTACATGATGTATGATTCCTACATGAAGTAGGACATTTACATAAGTAATATAAACATCAATGCTCGTTCTATGTATATATGATTTTCCTTTATCCAATTGTAGGTATAGTTCATGTCTATTAATAGAATAAAAAACCTGCAATTTCTGAGATTTTCCCTTCGTTCTTTTAGTGTTTCTGATTAAGGTTTTGGCTCAATGCTAAGAAAATTATGATTACACCAATTAGTATAGAAACATTACGAAGTCTATGACACACCATATAATCTAAAACTTTAAAAGAATAAGAAACTCCAAAAAAATATTTCAATCCAAAGCTTACATTAAAAAAGCAAGTCAAGTGTAAAATATAATTGAAAATTACTCTAATTCAGAATCTGATGAGTCGTTTGACAGACTAGAATCACTGGAGTCTGAAAATTCTCCTACATTGGAATCATCTCCCACATCAATGTTACCAAGTAAAGTATTTTCAACATCCACCAATATTGTATCTGCAAAAGATTGCTCCACCACACTAGTGACACCAATAGAGGTTTGTTGCAGGGGATCTTGGTCTTTCACTCCGTCTACTCTTCCTCTTGGATTAATCTGTGCAACTGTGATCCATGGATTGTTGATTTGGCTCACTCTGGGATATGGAAGGTAACACACTTGGTCGGCTTGAGAAGCAATGATAAACGGATCATACTTACTGAGTTTTCTGCTAGTGTTAATTTCTGTAACACCTGCTTTTGTAAGCTTTTCACCACGTTTGCTTGTAGGATCATACCATTTGCACTTGAAAACGACACATTTTAAGTTGACGAATCCAAAATATTCGACCTCCAATATATCTTCTATCACACCATAGTAGTCTGCATCTATCGTATGCACAACAACACCATAGTTCACTGTTTGCCTATTGTTTGAGGCGGTTTTTCTTGTGAATAGATACCCACGAGTGCAATACATTGGCGATGAAAGTGTTTCCGAAAGTGGTCCTCCAACTAACTCTTCGAGCCATGTTGGAGTGACTTCACCCCTTTGAGATGATGATTGAACCTGAAAAAAAAAATTGGTTAGTCCACTATTCTAAACACTTATAGTGAACTGTAAAACAGAATAAAACAAATTGGACTCACATAGTACTTCAGCCACGAGGTATATTCTTCTTGTTTCATGGTTTCTATTTCAAAATCACTTTTTTGTGGGTGCGATTTCTTGATTTGTTCAACAAATATGCTGATATATACCAAATGAGTTAACAACTAGACAAGAGCAATAACAGAAAATCTCATGAAACCAAATAACAGTAATAATTAACGTACCTCTCGTATGGAACAAGTTCTTCACAGTTACAAAGTATATATGTATGTAGATGGTTATACTCTTTGTCTGTCAACCAAACCGAACTTTTTTTGCCACTAAGTCGCCCAACTTCTGCAAAAATATCAGGAACGTGGGTGTGATAATAAGGCTTCTCCCCACCATCATCATAGCGACTTGGTTTTCTAGCTTTTGTTTGAACTTTCGGGGCAAAGTAGTACGAAGAGAAATTTTCTCTTCGTTTATGCTTTGTGCCACAATAGAACCCTCAACCTTGCTAAGATTTTTAACCTTTTTCTTAAGGTGGAACATGAATCTTTCAAAGGGATACATCCACCTATATTGTACAGGTCCACCAAGTGCTGCTTCGCGAGGAAGATGAATCGCAAGATGCTCCATCACATAAAAAAATGACGGTGAAAATAGTATTTCCAAGTTGCATAAGAGCAAAGTAATACTCTCTTCCAGACGAGCTATACCATTGGTTGTGAGGGATCTTGAACCAGGTGAAAAATTTGGCTGTGGCAAATACTCTTTCATGAAATCAGCTATTGCGTCAACACAATCCTCAGACAAGTTATATTCTGTTTTGATATTCATCATTCTAGTTGCTGCGGATAAACGTGAATGACCTTCTCCACAACCATCATAAATCGGATGTTTTGCTGCATCAAGCATATCGAAAAACTTTTTTGCTTCTGAATTTGGTTCTTCAACGTCGGTTTGGGTTTCTATCGTTTCACGAAAAGCATCTATCACCATCTGCACAGTACCAGTTGGATCATCATGCAAATTTCCTTACTTTTCAACACTATTATCAATATCATGATCGAATTGATGATATCCATCTTCACCAACTTGATTACTAGTGCTTGCTAAAGTTTCAAAATCTTCTCCATGGGAAAACCATATATAATAACCAGGCGTAAATCCCCGGGTATACAAGTGCTTCCAAATAATTTCCACCATGATAAATTTTTCATTACCACATGAAGAACAAGGACAATACATCTTACCCTGCTCCAATGGAATCTCTTGATTTGTAGCAAAACACATAAATTCAGTAAGCCCTTGCTTATAATCCTTCGTTAACTCTCCGGTAGCTTCATCTACATGCTTGTACATCCAATCACGACTCATGTGTTTATTGGAAGCCATAGAAAACGATTTCTCCACTTCTCCTTTTTTTTTCGCAAAATCAATTCTGATTTTCTTATACCTAAATTTCCAACAAAAGTTTTGTCGCAAATTTGTTGGAAACAGCTCGAAGTTAAAATCGTTGGAATTGGGCCCATGTTTCGTCGCCAAATTGTTGGAGTCGGTTTGATGTTTTGTCGCAAAAACGAATGAAATTGGTTTGATGCGTCGTCGCAAAATCGTTGGAATCGGCTTGATGTTTCGTCCCAAAAACGTTCGAATTGGTTTGATATATCGTTGCAAAGACGTTGGAATTGGTTTGATGTTTCATTGCAGAATTGTTGGAAACGATCCAACTAGTCGTCGGAAAGTCGACAGTAACGATTCGTCAGTTGATGAAATATCGTTGGAACAAATCGCGGAGTCATCGTAAACTGGTTGGAAACAAATACATAAATAGCTACGGGTTTCCGACGAATTTATCGTTGATAATTTCTGACAATACCATCGTCGTAAGTAATTTGTGACGATGGTAATTTCGTTGGAAATTATCAACACTTTTCCTACAAACCTTGCGACATGATTCTAACCCTTAATATTTGTTGGAAATTTGTGATGTGTTTTCCAACGAATATAATTTACGACTGAAAGTTGTGAGATATTGGTTAGAAATTTTCCCATAATTTTGGTTGTCGAAACTTTTGTTGGAAATTCCATGGTTTAATTAGTTAATCAATAATTATGAACGCTTCTTACCTAATTAAGTACAGAAATTTGGATGATTTTATTTACTTAGCTTCCGTTTGTTTTGTATGTGACTTAGAAAAAATCAGAAAGCAAAGAAAAAACTCCGAACTAATGCTAATGCTTATGTTTATATTTATTTTTCTCTCAGGAAATAGATGAGGGTGCCAATGGATATTCAGATGTTGGAAAGCATGCAGGATCAACATTTGTTTAGCACTATTTTGCTAAAAACTTTGATTTATAGTTTTGATGAATTTGCACCATCAATGAATAATGTAATTTACCTTTTTAATGTAATTTACTTTCTAATACATTAATTAGTAATTTATATTTGATTTTTCGTATTTAATTAATTATTTGTTTCCCTTTTCAAAAAAAAAAATTAATATACAAAACATTTCTATTAATATTTTGTCGACAATTCATAAATAATGTGAAGCAATATAATATTTCAAATCGGTAACTGAAAATAAAATTATTATTAATTCTTTTCGGAAAATTGATATTATTATTTTTTATTAATAAGCAATATATATTATTCAAATCGATTATTTTAACTGATCCCAATATTAACATCATTTTTTTGCAATCGACACATATTGATATCAGTTGTTGCAATTGATTCAACTATTTAAATATTTGCATCAGTTCCTAATAAACTGATGTCAATTATTTGCATTACCACTTTTAAAGTCGTTTGTATAAGTGATACAAATAGACAAAACAAATGATGTTAACAACACTTTTTTTTGTAGTGAGGCGAGCTTTTATATATATATATGCATGGTATATTTTTGACATTTTGTTGTGGCTCCAATCTCCATGCATGGGGGATTTATTAGTTGCTTATATTAGAAGGAAGATATATTAGTATCTTGATTTAACTTTTTAATGCCGACTTATTTGTAGTATTGTAGTTTCTTTTTGCTTCTTTTTTATTGGCCGAGTGCTAGCAGATGAGGAGTAGGGACGTAGGGTTCATCTTCATCGTGTTTGGAGGATCCCGTAACAGATCATAAATTTGCTTTTTATTTCGAAAATAAAATTAACAATTTCATATCCTGGTTTTGTGAATTACGATTTCCCATCTTATCAATATATATAAAATATTGGTTGTTATAACAAAAATAGTACTCCAATATTTGTTGGCAACAAAACAAAAATAACCCCAATAGTGTTTATAAAAAAACTAAAAAAAATAATTACTACAAATTTTATTAAAATACTTTTTGCTGATCATTTTCTCTACAATATTTTCATTTTGTCTAATCTCGATATATACCCTGATTAATTGTTTCTTTTGTCAGTGTGAACAAATGATCATCTATAAACATGATAGTGTCGTTGTTGGTAGTTAGAGTTACGTGCAAGTAACTTTAATGAAATAAAATCTTTGGTATGGATATAGATAGGCAGACAGCTATAAGATAAGTCGTATTATGGATAGACTAGACTCTTTCTATTGTTTTGTGGATGTGAATTTGTTTCAATCTCAAATTGCCACATCATCTATTTCGAACCATTGTGTGGCAATATTGGAGTTATCAACCCTCGTGACGATTTTGATTTTGGAAAAGGAAAAAAAAAAAATCGAGGAAAGCGAAACTGATTACATGATAAACCAAGAACATAGACAGCAAGTACATGTGAAGAAGAGCTTCTATGGCAAAAGAAAAGGGCAGAAGAAGAAGAAAATATTCTTCATCAACAACAATAATTATATTTGTATAAATGAAAAATTTGTTTATCTTATCCATAGCTTCAAATATTGCTCGTGTGGACCAAAGACACCAATGGGCCCATTATATGTCCTAAGAGTCAAAACATCAATCCTCAAATTTGAATATCTTATAATTTATGTATTTGTACATATTTTCCCGTTATAATTAATGGTGATTCATGTCATCGTGATTAGTCTGAAAGTACCTTCTTAAATAGGGCAACACCTGTGATGACGCTGGTCCATCATCCATGCAGTTGCAGCCCAACAAACGGAAAAATAAAGTTTTGAAATATGATTATTACAGAATGTAGAAATCACATAGAGAGTATTTCGCACAACAACAAAAAAAAATAAAAAAATAAAAAAAAATAGAGAGATGTTACATAAACACAAGTATTATCTATAGATTGACTAGCTTTCGCAAGAAATTTATATTTAAATTTGATTTCGAAGCTCTGATGCAGAAAACACAAACATTATGAAACACAGAAACAAGTCATTCTTGTTGGAGAAAACTAAATCTTAAACGATCTTAAAGGTTGAAAAAGAACAATAACAAAATCTCAAAATAGTATTTTTTGCCTTGGATTTTTTTTTTGGAAAAAAAAATGATTAACAAAGGCACTATAGAAACTGAGAAGTGCTTTGAGATTTGTGGCAAATACAGTGACAACCACTATAAGCCACCTAAAAGTATAAAGTATAAACCACTAGTGTAAAATATATCTCTTAATTAATTAGCATTATGTATTGGCTCTAGTCATCATTTATATATCATCGTTATTCTGTTTTGAATTTGTTAATTGTTTCATATTAGAAAAAAATGTTAACATGCGGTTAGTTTCAACCAATGATGAGTAGAGCAAATGTACTGTTTCACATACCAAGGTATCCGAATTGAAGCCCGACAAAACTCGGGATGAGAGAGTGATCGGTCGAAACAATTCACTTCTCGGATTTTAACTGGAGCAAAGTCCATCTCAGATTGACCCACTTATATATTTATAGTACTTTTTCTATATTTATTCCATGCCAAAAAAATAAAAATAAATTCACATAAGATTGTAGACTAACATAAAACAACGGTAGACCACCAAACGACGTGAAACCACTTATTTTTTTCCACGTAGAAGGAATTGCTAATGTTCCTATAAAGTTTGCAACAGTGTACAGTGTCAGTAGGATAGGTTGTAATTTAACAGTTACACTTGCCCACCATTTTCAATTCGATATTTACTTCGTCTATGGATCTTTGGCCCATACACTGAGCCCATTATGGTACATATGACTTTCTTAAATAAAACATTTGGCCTATACTTTAAGCCCATCAGTTTGGTTTACTTATGATTTGTTATGAATGTTTTAAAGTTAACTAGGAGAAACCCGCGCAACGCGCCGGCGGATGTTTTAAATATTTTGATTTTGGCATTTACTTAGGGTATAATCACTTACATTTTTTTCGCACTTGTCTTCTAAATTATTGTTGTATCGTGGTAACGGTAATTTGTATCTTTTTTGGTTACTTTTCTACGTAAGCAAAAGCAATATAAAGTGAGCAAATCATACCTTCATCAAAAATTTATGATAAGAAATTATGATAATAGCTTATAGAAATCATTATAGTAGCTCTCGTCTTTTGCTGATTATGCTTTCTGGTAACAGCCTAGAGAGTCTTGGATCTTTTCTTCTCTGTTTATAATCGAACTTGTTTTCTGTAAAACATAACTTAGATTAACTTTATTTAACACTTTAATTGGATTTAGTTGACCTTAAGAACAGCCTCTTACTTAGCTGACCAACAAAACGGTCCCAGTAACCAAGTTTATGCCGCAGTAATCAAACTTTAAACTTAATCGGAAATAATAATCAGATTCAAAAAAGGCTTACAATATCTTCTCCATATATATGCAGAAAAAGAAGAGCAAGAGGCAAATTATACAATTTTCTACATAAAACAGACTGTTAAATGTTAATGATGCTACTCTGTTTAATCCTACGATCATGTTTCCTACTAAACCCAACACCACGACCATCAACCTATAATGAGCCTTGCGGTCTCAGCCTTAAGCTTCCTCCTTGTCATAATCTTCCTCATCTTCGTCTAACCTCTTACCCATACTCGTAAGCTGCAATGGATCGATATTCCCCAAATCCGAGATAGACCAAGCCGGATATTCCTCTGGTTTAATTTCACCTGAGGCTGTGGCTTCAAGCGGCTTTATCTCGATGTTGAACGACTGTGCGTTTAGATGAAAACCCCGACCCAACAATCATGAGTTTGTGTCGTTATTACTTTCCTTTGGACTTTGCATCTCTTGCTTTGGGTGGGCAGACCTGTCATCCACATCCTTCTTATTGATGTCTTGCAATGGTGATTGTTGTGGTGGTGCTACCAATACGGACGGTTGGCGCTATTTCCATCTCGCGGTGAAGAAGCTCTCTTTCTGCTGTTTTAGTACTTCGTCCACGTCCCCTTCCACGCCCTCTCCCTCTACCTCTTCCACTTGGTCCTGCTTGCCCCATCTCGACCTGCAGCGATCACACAATGAACGATCAAGACACATTCATAAACATGAGTCTCTCGGAACATCTTTAGGGATGTCCAGTGACATCTTTCTTATTTTAATCCTACATAAGAGCTGATATAAGCTTTTAAACAGCTCTTTGTCGAAAACCTGTGAATCATTTTTGATTATTTTCACACAAACCATAAGCAAACAAGGCCATTAAAAGTCTAATTTGACTCTAAATCATTGGAACTTAAGCAAGAGCCTTTAAAGGTCTAATTTGACTCTGAATCATTGCTTAAAACAAACCGTATACTGAATTATGATTATATATACTACACTGAATCCTCCTTTTCAAACAAATTCACAAGTCAGAGGTGATTTGAAACTCAAACACAGGTTCAAAGAAACTAACAATATCGAAGCAAACACTATTTAACATTTCTAGTCACGTTTGATTATAATATTTCATAATGATAAATCAAAATTTAGGAAAATGATTTACCTGCTTCAACTTTTCGGTGAGCTCAATCATGCTGGCTTGAATCTCTAGAAATGCCTGTTACATATACAAAATTAGGATTCCCATTCGGAGCCTTGTTATGATTTTAACAATTTGGAATCCTCCATTAACACTGTACATTGCAAGAAATTGAGCGAACCTAAAAAGAGATTTTAGATATATAGAGAAAGAGAAGTGCTTACACTTCTTGTTGCTTCGTCCGCCATATCTGCAGATCTTAAGATCTTCAAGCTTCGACCTGTAAAGTAAGTGTCTTTCAATTTAGGGTTAAAACGAACAAACAAACCATACTCTACAATAAAAAAAATACTCTATAATCCGATATGATCAAACCAATTCAGAATCTGGAAACAAAAACAGAGAATGAAAATTGGTTGATCGATCTGTATATATAGAAGACCGATGAGATTGAGGAGAAGAAGTGGCGGCTGGATTATTGGAGAGAAGAAGACGCCACTTTCTTTTGCTTCCTCTCCTTTTCTCTTCTTCTCTGCAATTTAAATTGGAAGTACGATGGAGTTAAATCTACAGATCCGAGCAGATAACGATCGAGCAAAAGAGTAGGGTTTCTTACCTTCTGATCAAGCAGAAGCATGACGAACCCGTTTTCGAGTGAATCGCCGTGGCCCCATAGATGTAGGAGGCGAGCCGTGATAGTCTCCGCAATCTGCCCTAATAGTAAATCGTCGAAATTGACGGAGGATGGTGGCCGAGCAACACGGTAACCGTCGACCGGTGAGGAGAAGAACCTGTGTTCGTCAGGAGAGAGGGTGACAGTTCGGAAGGGCTGAATTTCTTCTCGACCAAAGAACAAATGGGGAGATGAGATAAACGGGATGTGGACTCGTGCGCCGGACGGGAAGAAGAGAGGAGTCGAGAAGACGGAACCTTCTGCTCTATAAAATTAAAACCAAAGCGACGTCGTTTTGGAGTCAGTCACTGAGAACGAAAAAATGAAACGACCTCGTTTTGGAGTCATAGGGGTAAGGCAAAAAAAATAGCTTACATGGCACTCTCTAGAGATGTTGATGTGTCATGGAAAGTGTCACAAGCACTTTCAATTATATAGATTGATGAATATTTTAGAAACAATCATCCAATAGGCAATTAATAGATCACTACCCATTACATTTGAGAGTTGTGGGGAAATTTGTTTCTTCTTAGCGGCCAACAAACAAAATATTAAATCAGGGATTTGTCAAGGGACATAACAAGTTTAGCAGCCCAAACAAAATACTGTAACCTTTCTTTAGTTATGTATCTATATATATATATATATATATAATAAAAAAATCGTATCGCTTCATCAAGATTCAAAAATGAAACTATGAAAACAAAAAAAAAATCATTTGAAGTAAAAAACATTGTCCAAATATAATTTTTTTTGCATGAGGTTCTTTTTGATAAAAAACAGTACATAAAAGAATAAAATTATTGTATATAAGATGGGAAATGAATACCATTTAAATAAGTAGTAAAATTACCTCATTTCTGAATGACTCTGACAGTATTACAGTATTTTTAGCATACATTTATGAAATTCTAAGCTTTTGTTTCTGTTTTTTTTTTTTTTTTTTTTTTGTTTGATAAAAGCTTTTGTTTCTGTTGTTAGGTACATACTGGACAATGTTGAAAACAAATATTTTTAGTTTATGTGTCATTTGGGTACTATTTATTTTTATTATCACATAATTACATTAACCTCTATATCGGTCAAAAAATCATTTATAGATGTTGATTTATGAGAATTATAGTTTAACTGGGATATGATATTTAATGTATGAAGTTTATCCTATAGAGAATCTCTATAGAAGATTCTATTAGACTTTTGAATTATGATTGATTGAGACAGTAATTATTAAATCCTGATTGTTTATTTAACCTTTGAAAAAGGGGCGATTATGCTAGTCTGCTTTTTTGACTTATGAAACTTTGTGTGTGATGTGTGAACTGTTAAAAGTTATAAACACATACAACTGCAACTGCAAGATAGATTATAACTTACGAAAGTACAACTAATTAGGTGCTGTGACAAGATAAATATATTGGATTAATTTTTGTCGACGGTTTTGGTATTATGTATATAAATTAGTTTGTTTGTTTTTTTTTTTTTTTTATATCTCTGGTATATGGGTTCGAGGAGTCGACCGAATAGTTACCGACCAGTATTGGGCCCAAACCGATGGTCTGAGCTTTATCCAGCTGTATCCAGTTATTTTGAGGATCTAATCCGAACAAAAAACCCGACTATCCCCTCGAAAGGGGTCCAGGGCCCCAACGGAAGGAATGTTAAATCCGTTGTGGCCAAGTGATTTCGAACCCGGGTCCGTATTGAGACTTACCTCTCTCAAATATTAGTGGAATATGACCACTTGATTTAAACTAGTTAGTTGTTTAGTGATTGTCGAGCATGTGACCATAACATAATTTGAGAGTAAATACAACACTTACAAAATACTTTAAAAGCTACATAGAAGAAGATCATTTGTAACCACGAAATGATTTAATGATATAAAGTCAACCTGAATCTCACATGGCCGACACAAAACACATTTTTTTAGCACCACTTCCTTTTTGTACCACATTTTTTTCCTTTCCTCTTTGTGTACTACAAAATCCATATACATACTACTTTTATTATCATTTGTGCATAAAAATTTAAACTAGTAATCTGGTCGTAAAAAATTGTGTACATGAACATATGGGTGCTTTATTAAGAATCAAACGTCGGAAAACTAAACATATATCGAAATTCCGCATTTTTTTAATGGAGACTTGGAATTTCGGTGTTTTGGTCAAACATATAATCTTTATCACACTTTGGTCGAAAGAAATTAAATTACTAGTTTAGTATTTAGTAATTACTGTTGATGTCGGACCTCGTGAATTTGAACAATAAAGAATGGATGTGAATTTCTTTGACATTTACGTTATGAATAGTTGTGATTTACAATAAGAAAACAAATATTTTAGTTGTTAGAGTTTCTGCCCTTCTCAGATGATCAAGGTCGGTCGGCGGTGCACCCGCGAGGGATCCCGCCAATCAGCTTCCTTGCGCCTTACGGGTTTAATCACCCGTTGACTCGCACACATGTCAGACTCCTTGGTCCGTGTTTCAAGACGGGTCGAATGGGGAGCCCACAGGCCGACGCCCGGAGCACGCAGATGCCGAGGCACGCCGTTAAGGCGCGTGCTGCAGACCACGATTAAGGCAGCGACGTCTCCGCGAACGTATCAAAAGCCCGGGCTTAGGCCACCACCTTAATCCGCGTCGGTCCACGCCCCGAATCGATCGGCGGACCGGATTGCTCCGTTCCGCATCCGACCGGGACGCATCGCCGGCCCCCATCCGCTTCCCTCCCGACAATTTCAAGCACTCTTTGACTCTCTTTTCAAAGTCCTTTTCATCTTTACCTCGCGGTACTTGTTCGCTATCGGTCTCTCGCCCATATTTAGCCTTGGACGGAATTTACCGCCCGATTGGGGCTGCATTCCCAAACAACCCGACTCGTAGACAGCGCCTCGTGGTGCGACAGGGTCCGGGCACGACGGGGCTCTCACCCTCTCTGGCGCCCCTTTCCAGGGAACTTGGGCCCGGTCCGTCGCTGAGGACGCTTCTCCAGACTACAATTCGAACGCCAAAGACGTCCGATTTTCAAGCTGGGCTCTTCCCGGTTCGCTCGCCGTTACTAAGGGAATCCTTGTTAGTTTCTTTTCCTCCGCTTATTGATATGCTTAAACTCAGCGGGTGATCCCGCCTGACCTGGGGTCGCGTTGAGGACTTTGGGTCATCTAAAGCTTCGGACGAGAGCGTTCGACAGTATGACGAGGCTTGAATTCACCACCGCATGTCGAGACGCTCCCGGCGTCCTCAGCTCGGATTTTGGCCAACCGCGTACGGTAACACACGGGAGACCAGTTTCCGTCCTGTATCCTTAGAGGATAGGGGACGACGATTTGTGACACCCAGGCAGACGTGCCCTCGGCCAGAAGGCTTAGGGCGCAACTTGCGTTCAAAGACTCGATGGTTCACGGGATTCTGCAATTCACACCAAGTATCGCATTTCGCTACGTTCTTCATCGATGCGAGAGCCGAGATATCCGTTGCCGAGAGTCGTTTTAGACTTTAGAGCTAAACTGATATAGACGGAGAGAGAGAGAGAGAGAACTTCGATTCAATTGTTTACTTTTAAAAGCAATAAATCTCATTACATTTTACATTTTCTACAAAAGAAAAGAACACAAACACTAGGAAAGAAGACGAAGAGAAGAGCTATAAAATGGATTACCTTTGAATCTGTTAGGTGATGAGAAGAGATGTAGGGCTTAATAATGCAATGCTCAATCCTCTCACAAGTCATTACAGGTAACGAAATCAATTTTATCTTATTAAAAAGTTTCTCCATGTGCAAATTCTCGAAATTTTCGGGTTTTAATCATTTTTTATTTCTTTCATGGTGCTTCGTTGTTCTTCTGCTGTTGTGTTTTCTTTTTTTTTGGGTCAAAGCTTCTCTTGTAAACCAATTTTTAAATCACAAAACTTTGTTATGGATATGAGACAGTGAACATAGCTGCGTTCTTGTTCCGAGAAGAAACAAACAACAAATCAACAATAACATTATTCACGCCTGTAAAGAGCTTATGATTAGTGTCTTGTTTAATAATTTCTCTGACACTAATTAGTAAACAAAGAACAAAAAAAGTTTTTAATTGAATTTAATTCTTCTCTGTAGAAACCTTAGGAAACTGAGCAAAGTTTCATCTTTTGAGAACCATGCGTTGAGAAAAATTAGTTTTTTTTTCTCTTCCTTTTTCTGGGTTCTTGAATTTTGCAGAAACCTTTGCTTATAGGGTTTTTGCTTTCCTTTAATCTATTGAAAAAATCACGCAAAACAATGTTTTTTTATGGTAAATTCTCATCATAACACTATGCATGCTTTATATGTATATATGAATGAATGAATGAATGCAGAAAAGGCAATAACTTTCGTTTCCTCTCCATTGTTGTAGCTCAGATATGAACTGGGCACTCAACAATCATCAAGAATCAGAAAACCCAGAAGAGAAGAAGCAACGAAGAACCGAAATCTCTGAGTCGGCGGCGAAAAGGAGCGATTTTTATCAGCCGAGGAAAATCGATTTTTGGCGTTCAGGGCTAATGGGTTTCGCGAAGATGCAGCAGCAACAGGAGCTTCAGCATTCAGTGGCGGTGAGGATGAGCAATCACAATATTAACAATAACGATCAAATGGGTAATAAAAAGGGGTCAACTTTCATACAAGAACACCGAGCGCTGCTACCAAAGGCTCTGATTCTGTGGATCATCATTGTTGGGTTTTTGAGCAGAGGGGTTTACCAGTGGATGGATGATTCTAACAAGATTCGAAGAGAAGAGGTTTTGGTGAGCATGTGTGATCAAAGAGCAAGGATGTTGCAGGATCAATTTAGTGTTAGTGTTAATCATGTTCATGCTCTGGCCATTCTTGTCTCCACTTTCCATTACCACAAGAACCCATCTGCAATTGATCAGGTAGGTCTTCTTTATTAAAGCTCAAAGCTTTAGGGAAAATTTTGAGATTTTTGGTCATCTTTGGATTCATAAACTGAGAATTGACTTTTTTTCTTTCTTCCTAAACAAGAAGTTTTTGAAATTTTCCCTTTTTGGCTCTTAGCTTTGAATGGGATCCCACCCAATTCATCATATTACTAACGATAAAGAATGTTTTTGAAAGCAGGAGACATTTGCGGAGTACACAGCAAGAACAGCATTTGAGAGACCATTGCTAAGTGGAGTGGCATACGCAGAAAAAGTAGTGAACAATGAGAGGGAGATGTTTGAGCGTCAGCATAATTGGGTTATAAAGACAATGGACAGAGGAGAGCCTTCACCGGTTAGGGACGAGTATGCTCCTGTCATATTATCTCAAGATAGTGTCTCTTATCTCGAATCACTCGATATGATGTCAGGAGAGGTAATCATAACATAAACAGTTTCTGGTTTCCAATATTTTTGTTTCTTCTGTAGCTGCTGCTACACACAGCTTATGAAGTTTTGCTTCCTTTTTTCTGCAGGAGGATCGTGAGAACATTTTGCGAGCTAGAGAAACCGGAAAAGCTGTGTTGACAAGCCCTTTTAGGTTGTTGGGTTCTCACCATCTCGGAGTTGTGTTGACTTTCCCTGTCTATAAATCTTCTCTTCCTGAGAACCCTACTGTCCAAGAGCGTATTGCAGCCACTGCAGGGTAAAGTTTTAAATCCCATTTGGTAAAGCAAACGCCTTTATGTGATTTGAGGTTTCAAAGATCGGTTTTGATGCTGTAATCATGTAAAGAAAAGAGCTTTTTGAGATTCAAGATTGGTTTATGTGTAAAAGACTGATGCTTGGGGTTTGTAATGCAGGTACCTTGGTGGTGCGTTTGATGTGGAGTCTCTGGTTGAGAATTTACTAGGTCAGCTTGCGGGTAACCAAGCAATAGTAGTGCATGTGTTTGATATCACCAATGCGTCAGATCCACTTGTCATGTATGGCAATCAAGACGAAGAAGGCGACACATCTCTCTCTCACGAGAGCAAGCTTGATTTCGGAGACCCTTTCAGGAAACACAAGATGATTTGCAGGTAACAACCAACCACACATCTAAGATCTTTAAATCAAAAACAGATTCCGAGTTCTTGTCTCTGAACTTTTTGGAATGCAGGTATCACCAAAAGGCGCCAATACCGTTGAACGTGCTCACGACTGTGCCATTGTTCTTTGCGATTGGATTCTTGGTTGGTTACATACTGTACGGTGCAGCTGTCCACATTGTTAAAGTGGAAGATGATTTCCACGAAATGCAAGAGCTTAAAGTCCGAGCAGAAGCTGCTGATGTCGCCAAATCACAGTTTCTTGCCACAGTGTCTCATGAGATCAGGACACCGATGAATGGCATCCTCGGAATGCTTGCTATGCTTCTTGACACAGAACTTAGCTCGACGCAGAGAGATTACGCACAGACCGCACAGGTTTGTGGTAAAGCACTGATTGCGTTGATAAACGAGGTTCTTGATCGTGCCAAGATCGAAGCTGGCAAGCTGGAATTGGAATCTGTGCCTTTCGATATCCGTTCAATACTAGATGATGTCCTTTCTCTCTTCTCTGAGGAGTCAAGGAACAAAGGCATTGAGGTAAGTGTAAATGTGAAAGCAAAGTCCTTTTGGAGTTGTTCTTGTTCTTGCTACTGATTTCTTGGTTTTTGGAAATTTGGCAGCTTGCGGTTTTCGTTTCTGACAAAGTACCGGAGATAGTAAAAGGAGATTCAGGGAGATTCAGGCAGATAATCATAAATCTCGTTGGGAATTCGGTTAAAGTAAGATCCTTTTTTAATCCTCTGTTTTTGTTTCCCATGAAACTCTGTTTTTTTATTGAATCAAGATGTTGTCTTTGTGAACAGTTTACAGAGAAAGGTCATATCTTTGTGAAAGTCCATCTCGCAGAGCAATCAAAAGATGGAGCTGAGCCAATGAATGGAGCTTCTGAAGAAGAAATGGTTCTTGTTTCCAAACCGTCAAGTTACAACACGTTGAGCGGTTACGAAGCAGCCGATGGAAGAAACAGCTGGGACTCGTTCAAGCATTTGGTCTCGGAGGAGGAGCTGTTACCGGAGCTTGACGTTTCCGGTAACGTCAGGCTTATGGTTTCGATCGAAGACACAGGTATCGGAATCCCTTTGGCCGCGCAAGGCCGGGTCTTTATGCCGTTCATGCAAGCGGATAGCTCGACTTCGAGAACCTATGGAGGTACAGGGATTGGTTTGAGTATAAGCAAGTGTCTTGTGGAGCTCATGCGAGGTCAGATAAGTTTCATAAGCCGGCCTCATATAGGAAGCACGTTTTGGTTCACCGCGGTTTTCGAGAAACGCGGCGCGGTTAACGGTTTGAAGAAGCCGAATGTTGAGTATCTGCCGTCTACTTTTAGAGGGATGAGAGCTCTTGTTGTTGATGCTAAGCCCGTTAGAGCCGCTGTGACTAGATACCATATGAAACGACTCGGTATCAACGTTGATGTCGTGACTAACCTCAAAACCGCGGTTGCTGCGGCGGCCGCGTTTTCGAAAAACGGGTAAAGTTTCAATCTTTTTTGCTTTCGTTTGTGTTGTTAGCGGTAAAGTTTCAATCTTTTTTGCTTTCGTTTGTGTTGTTAGCGGTAAAGTTTCAATCTTTTTTGCTTTCGTTCGTTTGTGTTATGCAGAGCAACGAAAACGCAGCTTGATATGATCTTGGTAGAGAAAGATTCATGGATCTCAACGGAAGATATCGACGACGCGGAGATACGTCTGTTGAATTCGAGAAGCAACGGAAACGTGCACCACAAGTCTCCGAAGCTGGCTCTGTTCGCGACGAACATCACGAACTCGGAGTTCGACAGAGCGAAATCGGCGGGGTTTGCAGATACTGTGATAATGAAGCCACTGAGAGCAAGCATGATCGGCGCATGTTTACAGCAAGTTCTTGAGCTGAGGAAGACGAGGCAACAGCATCCCGAGGGATCGTCGCCTGCAACGCTCAAGAGCTTGCTTACAGGGAAGAAGATTCTCGTGGTTGATGATAATATAGTAAACCGGAGAGTAGCTGCAGGAGCTCTCAAGAAATTTGGAGCAGAAGTGGTTTGTGCAGAGAGTGGTCAAGTTGCTTTGGGTTTGCTTCAGATTCCTCACAGTTTTGATGCTTGCTTCATGGATATTCAAATGCCTCAAATGGACGGGTAAAGCCAAATTTTGATAAACCGGTTCGGTATTGGTTTAATTGGAATTGATTTGATTTGGTTTGATTCGGTTTGTTTTGTCAGATTTGAAGCGACTCGTCAAATAAGGATGATGGAGAAGGAAGCGAAAGAGAAGACGAATGTGCAATGGCATTTACCGATTCTAGCGATGACCGCCGATGTGATCCACGCGACGTACGAGGAGTGTCTCAAAAGTGGAATGGATAATTACGTCTCTAAGCCTTTCGAAGAAGAGAATCTCTACAAATCTGTCGCCAAATCAATGAAAGCTAACCCGAGCTCAGATTCTGTCGTCGTAGATAGCCCAGAAGGGAAACAAATCTGAAGAAGAAAGAGTTCTCTTCCGGCGAGTTTTTTTTCTTTTGTTCCGGTAACAGTCGGGAAATGAGCGATATATGACGTGGAATCTGCTGATTGGGACAAATATGCAAATTTAGTTCGTGTACATAAACCAGAGATTTTGAGAGTTTGGTTTTGACCAGTAATGTTGTTAAACGACAACGTTTGACTGTTCAGTGTTGATATTAATATGAAACCCACGCGGAGTCCAGTTTTACCGAACCAGACTTGGTTCGCCGTTTGTTTTTTAAAGACAGAACAGTATATATATATATATATATATATTACAATATGGTTAGCTGTTTAAACATCGTTTTCGTGTAATTTCTGCTAATTAGTTTCACGATAAACACTTTAACCATCAAATTCTTTCATGTAGCAGTGTTGAAATTTTTTATGAAAGTAGTAGTTTATACTTGGAGTATGATATACCATGAAAGTTGATAAACAATTATCAACTGGAAAATAGATAAAACAAGTGTGGTTGATGCGTCACTGACCAGACCATCTACATTTCGTGTGAGACCAAAGTATATGCTGTAGAATGGTTGGTGCGTATACGCCGATGTTGTTGTAGCTTACTCTTAATTCTCAACCATCTACAATAATAGTATATACTATATATTTTTAATTTATTTTGATTGAGACTATCGATCAGTGAATATAACAGACATTCAATACCATACGAATAAGAAAGAGAATAGTCTAGATTACCGTGAAATTGGTGGAGTAATAAATGAATCCACCAAACGACGAACAGATAAAAAAAAAGGTGACCAAAGACCAAAAATAACATTAAAAAGGTTACGGCGTCAAATAACGACCGTTAAAAGAATGTGCCGAATCAGGATAACGCGTGGCTGGCTAGTAGCCTCCGGATTTCACGGCGTCTATCTTTACAGTTTTAACCTTTTTGTTTGTTTGTAGTTTAACTTTTTTTTTTGTCGGGACTGCAAAATCACATTTATCTTGTTGGTCAAATTAATCATGAGAAGATAAGACCATGCAAATGACTCACGAAATTCCCACTTTCTTAGTATATTTGTTAAAAATATAAACAAAGAAATACGACGATTACTCACGAAATCGTGGCCCTCATGAGTCAAATAAATCAAAAATAAATAAACGCTGCATCTTAACACGTTACGATGAGTTTTTTTTCAATTGATTTGACCCTAATTAGTAGATACCACCGTCACCGAAATAAATGCTGTTTATCTATGTATGTACATGTATATTTGATATTTCACGAATTGGAGAGTCTGTCACATAATGATAATACTAATAGAAGAAATAATATCATACTATTATTTGCGAATTCATAATTTTGAATGGAACCACCACGTTAACTCTCAGCCTCAGAATTACATAACTACCCTTAATGAAAATCTTGACAATAAATTTTTAAAAAATATATATATTTTGATTTTAATTAAAGAAAAACATCTGAATTTCTCATTAATGGAAAATTTACTAATTTAACAATTTTGCCTTTTTTGTCTTATCAATTAGAAATTAGGATTTATATGAAACCCTAATAATTGAAACTATAGTACATATAAAATCTATATAGGTCACTCAACAAAAACAATGATATAAAGCGGAATCCTAAGGATTTTTGAACTCGTGATATCTACATCCCGACTGAATATAGATGAATTTATTGAGTTTGCAGTTTTGAAATCCGAGTGAGACTATGAATTCTACTGATTTGATCATAGCTATGCAGGATATTTTAGCTTGATGAGTTTACGTGTAAGTATTGGGTTTATAATGATTTTTGATTTGAAACCCTATCGCCTTTGCTCAAAGCGAGATAGACCGAAATTGAATGTGAGAATTGCTTGGGTTTGATGCTTTAAATCGACGCTCAACAATTGCAAACTTGCTTGGATACAATTTTGGTATGATTGGATCCTCAAAGATCTAGAAGATATGCTGGCGGTATTGCAGAGGATTAACGGGGATACATGATACTGATGGTTTCAACGATAATAAGTATATCATCTTACAACTAAGAGTGAGTTTAATGGTGATCTCTTCTTTGCTTGACGAAGAATACGTCTAGCTTAGTAGTTTTGATTTATTTTCATTGAGTTTGATATGTTATGTTTATGACTGTATATCTAATTTTATGATCATGCATTTTTTAGGTCATGGAAGGTTTTGAAACAGATGGATTATAAAAGATCGGAAGAAACAATTGTGTGAGAAAACCATAATCTCTTTGCGTACTTATTTTTGTTTGGTTTTACTTTTACCGTGTTTTTTTGTTTCTTAATAATAATAGTTCATCGTACAACCCTATATCTATTCCCCGGAAGTAGTCTCCATCTTTGGCATCCGTCGCTTTTGATCGTGGACCTCTTTCATCATCACTTGATAGATTCTCTCTGTTCTCGCCTTTATATTTCCATTTTTTTTTTCTTTTTCTTTGTTTTTCTTGATAGATTCTCTCTTATACTGTTTTTTTGTTTGTCTTTTGCTCTTTGATATACTTTGATCGATGCATCTTTGTATTTTATAACATTTTTTCCAATAATCCAGGTCTTGAGTTGATCGAACAACAGGTCCACGACCATATGATATGTTTTGTTCACTTTTCTTTTTTTTAATCTTTAATTACTTAATTCCATTACCTTTTGTTACTTTAATCTGAGAGACGTGGGCGAGTACCGGGTCCTTAAAAAAACAACGTATGCATGGTATTCTATCCTGGTATATCTTAATCTTCCTATTAATATTTTGGTTTGTTGTGGTTATAGTTTTACGGTGACTCTGTCCTTAGCTAATGGTTATTGTGTTTACGGGACTCAAGCCTTCCTTGAATTTTGACTCTTGAGTATGGATAACTGTTGGATCTTTCAATTGTATAATGCTGCTGACTGTGGAAATGTTTCTTCGGTTGTGTTTGACATATTTGTCTTCTCTGCTTTGTTGGTATTGTGTTGTAGGGAGAGAGGAGTAACGATATTGTGTGTATTGCTTTAGCTATTGATACATGTGATGCACCAAAAAATACTATGTCGAACTTTAGGGTTAGACTTGGAGATGTTATCTTTGTTCATCAATGCCTTGATGTGAGGTATGGGAACCGTGTTTACATTTTGTCCATATATATATATATATGATACCATTGAATGAGTTAGTTGAAATATATTTGATGCATACCTTAAACTTGAACGTAAGGTATATAGCTACAAAGCCAACATTGAACTCAAACAGTTTCACCAAACAAACCATCTGTCAATTATTTTCTCTCATTTTTTTAGTCTATGGAATTTTCATATTTGGCAAAAGAGTCTTATACAGACAAGTAGTTTTTTTTTCATTAATTGTATATGTAATTGGAGAGATTAGATGGATTGATTATCTTACAATTTGTGCAGAAAAGAAGAATGACGAAAGAGTTTAAATATCATTATAAATACCTTATCCAAGTGTGCACGAGTGGTGTGAAAGAGAGTTTAAATCTCATTGCTGCTTTTTTAGACTTTTTCATTGCTAGAAAATTATCTTATTACGTGAGAGGTGGACAGGTTGATTATGGAGAAAATCGCACTGACCATATTATTTACCTTTAATCTTTTATATTTTTTTGTTTACAATTTAGTTGGTTCTTAACTTCATTAACAAAACACAAATAAATAATCAATTTTTTTTTAAGTTTACTGTCGTTTTTACATTGTTTGATTTAAATTTAATGACCATTACAATTTTTTTTTTGATAAAGGATCATTACGAATTTATATGATTGTTTCAGTTATATTTTAGAATAATTTCTAAAATATAAAAAAAAATACAGTTACTTTGGAAAATGTCGGAGAAGAAGAAAGAGAAAAAGAAGGTGAAGAAGACGAATTAGAAGAAGAATAAAACTGAAAGGTGAAGGAGATGGAGTCAAGAATGTGAAAAATAAGAAAACGACCACAAGAAGAAAAAAACCCAAAAGAATAAAAGGTCAGAAGACGAAAACGAAGCCGATGAACAATATAATGAAGCCGATGAACAATGAAAGTGAAGCACAGAAGGAATAAAAAATTGGAAGAAGAATGGGAAGACAATTAAGAAAAAGAAGAATAAGAAGAATAGTCAATGAAGAAATAGTTGGAAAATACAATGAAGAAGACACAATAATACGAAAAAGAAGAAAATGGATAAGTCGATGATGATGAAGTCAAAAAAGAAGAACAGGAATAAAAAGTGAAGGAAAGATTACAAAACGATGCATAAGAATAAGATGAAATAGTTGAAAAATAAGAAGAAAAGCCAGAATAAAATAAGGAAGAAGCAGAGAAGACAAAAAAATCAGAAGAATCGAAAATTGAAGAAGATGAAGGTAATAAAGGAGAGTGGGTTAGTGGGTACCGTTTAGGGGCTGGGTTTATAATGTGGGGTTAGTGAGTACGGGTTAGGGGCGGGTTTATAATGTGGGATTAGTGAGTAAGGGTTAGGGGCGGGTTTATAATGTGGGTTTAGGGTTTAGGGTTTAGGGTTTAGGGTTTAGAAATGCACCACCAAAAATTAGATCGGGTTTAGATTGATGAGTGCAAGGTTTAGTTTTTGGTGCATTTTTAAAATTTTTGGCACACTAACATTTCCGATTTAAAACAAAAACAACAACAAGTACTTAAAGAAAAAACTAAAACAGTAAAAGCAAAGTCATATCAAATTTTTGATTTGGGGTTGGGATATACGGTTTAGGGGCGTTTATTAATGTGGAATTAAGGTTTAGGATGTCGAGTTTATACTGATGGATGTAGGGTTTAGTTTTTTGTGCATTTTTTAAATTCTTAGTTCTTGAAATATTCTAATGAAAAGCGAAATAGCAAAACAGCAATAATTTTTAGTCTTTTGTTCAAATCATATCGATTAAATAAAAACATTGTGTCTTCTTAAATATCATATGAAATTTTGAACAACAACAACAACTACACCAAATTAAGCCAAAAATATTTAATTAAAATTAAAAGAGTTGTCTATTGTGTGGTTATGGTGTACTGTATGGAAGGGGGTGTTTATTGTAGGGTTAGGGTTTTGAAGTTAAGGTTTATATTGGTGACAAAGATAGAGAGAAGGGGGGATGACGAAGAAGATAAACCGGAAAAAAATGTAAAGAAAATACAAAGAAAAAGAAAAATAGTAAATTAAAGGATATGAAAATACAAGAAAGGATTGAAGAACCAAAATTGGAAAAAGAAGAAGAAAAAAAAAATGATGACAAAGAATAAAAAAACGGAAGAAAAAAAAGAAGATGGGATCACTGAAAAAGAATAAGAGGGAGCAGAAAACAATCATTACAAAATTTAACTAATTTTTTTTGCTTTCACAATTTATAAGTTCATATCAAATTAAGTAAATGTTAAGTTATTACTTCCTTGGAAAATAATCACATTACAAAAATAAGAAAAGTAATTAAAAATAGAATGCATTAATCTAATATTAGTTGAATTTATGAATTAACAAAATCTAGACTATCGAATGAACTGATAAGTGAAATACAAAGAGTAGACAAGAACGAAAAACATGAGTAAGAGAAAAGAAGATGATGGAATAAGATGATGTCAGAGAATACGAAGATGATAAAGATAGAGAGATGGGGAATGAGGAAGAAGAAAAATCGGAAATAGAATGTAAAGAAAATTAGAAAGAAAAAGAATAATAGTGAGTTGGAGGATATGAAGACACAAAAAACGATTGAGGAACAAAAATTGGAAGATGAAGAAGAAGCGGAAAAAAGAAGATGATGACAACGAGTAAAAAATGGAAGAAAAAAGAAGAAGATGGGATCACTAGAGAAGAATAAAAGAGATAAAAAACAATTATAAAAAAAAATATAAATAAAATAAAAATAAAAGCAAATCAAGAAGTAATTTGTAATGTGGATTTGGGTTTAGGATGTAAGCTCTTTAATTGCGGGGAGGGGGTTTATAATATGGGGTTTGAGTTTAGGGTTTAGGGTTTATATTGATGGGTGTAGGGTTTAGTTTCTGATGCATTTTTAAAAACTCTAATTATAATAGAAGTATATAAAAATTAAAAATCACTGATTATAAATTTATATCTATCATTCTAATATACAGTCAAAAATAGAAACAAAGTAAAACAATAAAAGCAAATTCATAATCAAATGATAACAACACAAATTAAAAAATTCTTAATAGATCTCGACTATATAAAGATAAAAATTATTTCACGAATCCTTGAAAATCTAAACTATTGAATGAATTAATAAGTGAAATATAAGACGTAGAGAAGAAGAAATAAAAACATGAATAGAATAAAAGAAGACGGTGGATAAGAAGATGAGAAACTTTGAAAAGAAGAAGACAAAGAAGAGGAAAAAGAAAACAAAGAAGAAAAAAAATGTGAAGGGAAAGAAGACAAATAAGAGATATATAAAAACTAGAATAAGATAATGTCAGAGAATATGAAGATGATAAAGATAGAGAGAAGAGAGAATGAGGAAGAAAATAAACCGGAAATAGAATGTAAAAAAAGTTAGAAAGAAAAAGAAAAATAGTAAGTGGAGAGGATATGAAGACACAAAAAACGATTGAAGAACAAAAATTGAAAGATGAAGAAGAAGCAGAAACAAAAAAGATGATGACAACGAGTAAAAAAATGAAAGAAAAAAGTAGAAGATGGGATCACTAGAGAAGAATAAAAGGGATAAGAAAACAACAATTACAAAAAAAAAATATTATAAATAAAATAAAAATAAATTCAAATCTATAACTAATTTGTAATGTGAGAATCAGGTGTGGGGTTTAGGGGGGAGTTTTTTTTTTTAACACTGGATTGACTAATCTAATACACAAATATGAAAACTGTTACAAGACAATTCTACAACGGACGATTCTACCGTCTTCAAAGCTCCCCGGCCGACGGCTCCACGTGCACCATTCTGTAGATCTCCTGTAAGCTTGTCTCCAATAATCTGCATAAATTATTAGCAAATCGCATCCGCGGGGATTCGAAACCCAAACCTCTTGGTGTAGAAGCATTAAATCCCTTCAACCACTAGGCTAAGGGGATTCCACTAGGGGGGAGTTATAATGTGGATTTGGGTTTAGGGTGTAGGTTCTTTAATTAGGGGAGGAGGATGGGGTTTATAACGTGGGGTTTGGGTTTAGGGTTTAGGGTTTATATTGATGGGTGTAGGGTTTAGTTTCTGATGCATTTTTAAAAAAATGAATTAAAATAGAAGTATATTAAAATTAAAAATCACTGATTATAAATGTATATCTACCATTCAAAATACAGTCATAAATAGAAAAAACTAAAACAATAAAAGCAAATCCGTAATCAAAAGATAACAACACAAATTAAATAGATTGATGAGAAAATTCGAGGAGAAGAAGAAAACAAAGAAGAGGAAAAAAACAAATAAGAAAAAATAAAATGTGAAGGGAAAGAAGACAAATAAGAGATAAATAAAAACTATAATAAGATGATGTTGGAGAAGACGAAGATGATAAAGATAAAGAGAAGGGGGAATGAGGATGAAGATAAACGGGAAAAAAAAGAATGTAAAGAAAATTAGGAAGAAAAAGAAGAATAGTAAGTTGGAGGATATGAAGATATACGAAAGGATTAAAGAAACAAAAATTGGAAAAAGAAGAAGCAAAAAAAAAGATGATGACAATGAATAAAAAATGGAAGAAAAAAAAGATGGGATGAGTGAAAAAAATAAGAAGGAGAAGAAAACAATCATTACAAAATTTAACTATTTTTTTGTACTTTCACAATTTGTAAGTTCATATCAAATTAACAAAATGTTAAGTTATTACTTCCTTGGAAATATGAAAAATAATTAAAATAAAAATGCGTTAATTTAATATTAATTGAAAGAATTGGAATTCTAAAACATATCTTGTTCGCGAAGGCGCGGACCAACTACCTAATTCTTTTGTAGAAGCAGATGGAAATAATGTGAAGAAAAATCCAAGATCCATAGAAAATATTTAAAATAGGAAAGACAAATCAATATTATTATAGCTGTTAGTCGAAAAATGCCGAAAAAACTCAATCATAGAGAGATATATGCGAGGAAAATAACAAATCAAGACCATATTTTTTTCAGTAGATTTTTTTTTTCTTTTTCTTTTTCTTTTTTAGTACAACAATTAGGGTAAGATAGTTGACAATTTGATTCAATCAATCCTTCGATCACTTACTTAAAAAAACCATTACTACTGGTTATATAAAGAAACAAATCAAAATAAATTAAAAAGTTTTATAGGATGATATTCACAAACTCTGACATTGTAGTTTTGTTCTTTACAAAATAAACCTTAGTTTTAATTAGTAAGTTCTTCATAATTCTGATCTTTTTAAATCTACGTGTATGACAGATAATCTAATTTATCTGATTAGTGATTTTACGCCGATTAATACTGCTTTTAGCATTTAATTACGCCAGCTGTACTCATAACGTAAAATAAATAAAATCTGACAAAAAAACAAATAAAAGAAATTAGGAGTATACACTTGTTCACACACACTCTCTACACAAGGCAAAACTTTTAATTCCTCTTTAATTACGGTTCATCCATTTTTCTCCAGAAAGAATACATTTTTTGTTTTCATGAATAAAAAGTTTATGCTTTTATGATCTTGCTCTTTTTTGTTATCTCTATCGTCCCTTGATCTCCGCCGATTCCATCTCTCAATTTGTCTTTCCCTTTCTCTATCGTTTCATGTAAACAATCTCTTCTTCTTCAATGTCACCTTAAAACCCCAGAAGAAAATTTCCAGTCTTTGAAGCTAGAGTGGAGGTTTATCCTCATTTTCACTTTCTCGCCTAATTCCACCGACAATTTTCACAGGGAAAATGACGGAATCCCGTCTGGGTACTCTCTGTTTCTTCGTCTCCTTACTGGGTTTCGCTCATTTCTCCTTTTCGCAGAGCGGCGTCGACGATCCGACTATGCAAGCACTCAAATCGAGCCTGAATCTCACATCGGACGTCGATTGGTCTAACCCTAATCCTTGCAAATGGGAATCTGTTCAGTGCGACGGGAACAATCGGGTCACTAGGATTCAGCTCAAGCAGAAAGGAATCACCGGAACTCTCCCTCCGGATCTTCAGAATCTCTCTGAATTGACTGTCCTCGAGCTCTTCCTCAACCGAATCTCCGGTCCGATTCCCGATCTCTCCGGCCTCGGTCGTCTCCAGACGCTGAATCTCCACGATAACCTCCTCGATTCGGTACCGAAGAATCTCTTCACCGGCATGAATTCGCTCCAGCAAGCGTTCCTCGAGAACAATCCGTTTGCTCCTTGGGAAATCCCAGAAACCATCAAAGATGCAACGTCTCTCCAGAATCTCACTCTCTCCAGCTGCAACATCACCGGAAAAATCCCAGATTTCTTGAACTCTCAAACGCTTCCGAGTCTGACCAATCTGAAACTATCTCAGAATTTCCTCCACGGTGAGTTACCGGCGAGCTTTGCAGGCTCTTCGCTACAAACTCTCTACTTGAACGGTCAATTGGGTGAAGAGAAGCTAAACGGATCGATCTCGATACTGCGGAACATGACTTCGCTCGTTGAAGTTTCTCTACAAGGAAACGCCTTCTCAGGTCCAATCCCTGATCTCTCCGATTTGAAATCTCTCCGCGTATTCAATGTAAGAGATAATCAGATCACCGGCGTCGTTCCACATACTTTGATCGGTTTAAACTCGCTCACAACTGTGAATTTAACCAATAATCTGCTTCAAGGACCTACTCCATTGTTCGGCAAATCCGTTGGTGTCGATATATTCACCAACACGAATAGCTTTTGCCTCAGTGCAGCTGGTTCTCCGTGTGATCCTCGCGTCGATACTCTGCTCTCTGTAGCGGAATCGTTAGATTATCCGGTGAATCTTGCGCGTGCTTGGAAAGGAAACGATCCTTGTGTTAACTGGGTTGGGATTACTTGCTCTGGAAGTAACATTACAGTGGTTAATCTGAGGGAGAAGGAGCTCTCGGGGACGATATCTCCGAGTTTAGCCAAGCTTGCTTCTTTGGAAACAATCATTCTCTCTGATAATGAACTTACCGGGTCTATACCTAACGAGCTCACCACATTGCCTAAGCTTAGGACGCTCGATGTGTCTAACAATGATATCTTCGGTCAAGTGCCGAGTTTCCGGAAAGATGTGCATTTGGTGATTGATGGAAATGTTAACATCGGAAAGGACGGACCTAGCCGACCGGCTGGTTCTCCTAGAGGTTCAGGGGGAAGCGGAGGAGGTTCTGGAGGAAGTGGTGGTGGTGGCGGTGGCAGCGAGAGTTCCAAGAAATCAAGCAATGTGAAGATTATTGTTCCTGTGGTTGGCGGTGTGGTTGGTGCGTTGTGTCTGGTTGGGCTTGGAGTGTGTGTCTACGCGAAGAAAAGAAAGCGGCTCGCTAGAGTTCAGAGTCCATCAAGCAACATGGTGATTCACCCGCATCACTCCGGTGACAGCGATGCCATCAAGCTTACTGTCGCAGCTTCTAGCCTTAACAGTGGGGGAGGAGGAACCGACACCGGTGGTTACAGTCACAGCGGAAGTGCGACGAGTGATATTCACGTTGTGGAATCTGGCAATTTGGTTATATCTATACAGATTCTGAGGACTGTGACTAACAACTTCAGCGAAGAGAACATCCTCGGGAGAGGCGGTTTCGGGACGGTTTATAAAGGCGAGCTCGACGATGGGACGAAGATAGCCGTGAAGAGGATGGAGTCTTCGGTAGTGAGTGACAAAGGACTCGGTGAGTTCAAATCAGAGATCACTGTGTTGACTAAAATGCGTCATCGTCATCTCGTTGCGCTTCAAGGGTATTGCCTTGACGGGAACGAGAGGCTTCTTGTCTATGAGTACATGCCACAGGGAACACTTAGCCAGCATTTGTTCCACTGGAAAGAAGAAGGGCGTAAACCGCTTGACTGGACTAGACGGTTGGCGATCGCGTTGGATGTAGCTCGTGGTGTTGAGTATCTGCACACGCTTGCGCACCAGAGCTTCATCCATAGGGATCTAAAGCCATCTAACATCCTTCTTGGTGATGATATGCGCGCTAAAGTCTCTGACTTTGGGTTAGTCCGTTCAGCCCCTGAGGGCAAATACTCCATCGAGACTCGCGTCGCTGGCACTTTCGGTTACCTTGCCCCTGAATACGCAGGTTTGTTATCAAAGATGCATGCTTTCATTGATTTGCAGTGACCCAAATGTTAAAGTTTCATGCTTTCATTGATTAGCAGTCACCCAAATGGTAAAGTTTCATGCTTTCATTGATCTTTTGTTTTGGCAGTGACTGGGAGAGTGACGACGAAAGTGGACATTTTCAGCCTCGGGGTGATACTTATGGAGCTAATCACTGGTCGTAAAGCCTTGGACGAGTCGCAACCAGAGGACAGTGCCCATCTAGTGTCATGGTTCCGTCGGATATCAGCGAGCAAAGAGGAGAATGCGTTTGAGAAGGCGATCGACCCGAACATCAGCCTGGACGAAGTGACCTTAGCGAGTATCGAAAAAGTTTGGGAGCTTGCTGGTTATTGCTGTGCACGTGAGCCTTACCAAAGACCTGACATTTCTCACATCGTGAACGTGCTTTCTTCACTCACCGTCCAATGGAAACCGTCTGAGGTCGACCCCGAGGACCAGTACGGGATCGACTACGATACTTCGCTGCCGCAGAAGCTTGACCAATGGAAAGCTTCGGCGGGACATAGCCTGACGGAGGATGACTTGGGATCTTCGTCTTCGGTTTATGGAAGCAAAGACAATACGCAGACGAGTATCCCAACTCGTCCATCTGGGTTTGCTGATTCGTTCACTTCTGTTGATGGACGTTGAAGAGATGGAGTCTTGCGTTGAAAACGTTTTAGTAATAGAAGAAGAAGCTTATTGTGTGATATTTCTCTTTTCCGTCTTTCTTCTTCCTTTATTTATTCAGAAGCATTTTACTTGTGACTTTTTTTTTTTTTTAATTTATTTTCCATGCAAGCTTTTGGTTAGTGTATTATCTATCCACTTTGTAGTAATTTTGCAAGATAACGATCTCTTTAGTTATGAAGCACTTTCTTCAAGTTAATTTTCCTGCAAGCTTTTGGTTGGTGTATTCTCGATTCGATGCTTGTTTATAATTATACCACTGTTACTGCCTTAAAAAGGTTCACCTCCTCCGACCAGCTGAATCTGTGAAGCGTAAGCTTTCTATCAGCTCAATATATTTGTGGTAGGTAGTCATCATTCTAAAAAACCGCACATTGTTTGACTTCACGAGCCCATCTGCGATGAGAAAGACTGTTCTTGCAATAGTAGAGGCTCAGATAATTCCCCAAATGAATATTTATGGGTCAACCGTTCTCGCAGAAGTACATACCAGCCCAGTGAATACGACTCCAGAGAATCGTATATTATCAATTTTTTGTTGGACTAAGAGTATCTCCAATTTATATAAGAGGTTCTTGAAGTTTTAAATTATTTTCCTTTAGAATATATAATTAATTATTTTGATATTTATTTTTACTCTAAAATACAAGTGACACATATTTAATAAGAAATATAATTATTTAAGCTAATAATAAATTTAAAAATACAGGAAAAATACTGAAATTAAAAAAATCATCAAATAAATTTATTAACATAATAATGACTACATGTATAATTTTACATAACATAACATAATGACTACATGTGTAATTTTACATCTTATATATAATAGGAGAGTTGCTCTCTCCATCTAGAGTGTCCACATCAGCATAAAAACATTAAGTTGTATTTAAAATATTTATTAGATATATGACTATTCATATTTTTTTTACATTTATTCATATTTTAAATATAAATAAAACTAAGACAAATACACAAATAAATAAATTAATTAATATAAATTATGTGATAACTTGATGTTAAACATTTTATCAAAAAGTTGGAATATAAAATGGAGATAGAGTAAAGAAATATTCAACTTGAAATAATATGTATTTACCTTTTTATTCAAAGGATTTATCCGATTTAAAAATGTTATAATGTGTTTACAAGTTAAAGAGTTGAATATAAATTCATTATAATAGAAAGTTAGTGAGAAATTAAAGTTAGAGTTTGTTTTTTGAAACAAATAAAAGTAGGGTTTTTATACGTAAATTTAATTGCAGTGAAAAACATGAATATTTTAAGGATTGTGATATGTTTGTTTCAAAAATATAATTTATATTTACAAAACCAACATAGTAAAAAATACTCAATGGCCACGAGGCTTACATTCTAACAAAACAAAGTAGATATGTAAAAAGGTATACATATTATTTTTTTCATCTTATTTCGGGTGAAAATGCAATTTTACATTATGTTTACAAGTTTTAACGTTGAGTCAAATGCATATACATGTTTATAGTCTAATAGAAGTAAACAAAAAAACAAATTGTTCATATTTTTTAATGTTATTGGTTGGGTTAACTCAAAACATAACAAAAAGATGAAAGTTAACACAAAACCATCATAATTCAAATCAACGAGTATAAATCAAATTAAACAAAAAACTATCCCAAATAACCCTCGCTTGCACGGGGCTTCAAACCTAGTAACAATAATAAGCGAGGATGAGCGTGATCTCAGTGCACTAATTGAAGTTGGAAAAGAAGCTCCACCTCGAGAAGAAGATGAAATAGCTGAAAATGACGATATTCGGTTCAATAATTTTCTTTCTCGATTAAGAAAGATCACTTTTTAAAATAGTTTAATTGATCATTTATGGAAAAATATTCAAATCGATCTAAATAAAAATAAAATCAAGTTTGTGTTGTTATTTTTAGTCTTATAATGTATTATTAATATTTTAATAATTAATTATAAATAAATATAATAAATTGTTAAAATTTTGAAGAAAAAACGATGGGACAGTTTGTAATAATTATAATTTTACAATAAAAATTTAATAATTAATAAAAAAAATATATACATAGAATATTCTTTTTGAAGTAAAAAACGAGGCAACATGTTTGAGCAAAACCCAACTCCATTTTGAGATTTCTTCATTTTTGTCTAAATTCTCTAGTAAGATTGTATATGCGTCATTAAATATAAAACATTCATCTTTTTACACACAATAATTTTTTTATATACACAATATCTTGTCATTGTTTTAAGCTGGAGTAGCTATTAATCTCAACTAGGTCTAGGTGGTAACCGCATCCTGAACAGAGTGAAAAAATTATAAACTATTATGCTCCCTCGAAACTGAACAAATAAAAATTATAAATTATATTCTGTCCCAAAATATAAGCATTTTTCTCATTTTTACTTTATGACATATTGTGTAGCCACTTATATTCTATAGCTTTTTTTTCATGGTTAGTTAGATTATGATAAATGTATAATTTAAATAATATTTTGAAAGAAAAATTCTTAATTTTACACTTTTGTCTAAAAGTGCTTATATACTAGGATAAATGGAGTATTGAACATGTTTTTGAAATAAATTGAAATGACTGTAATTTAATGGGTTTATATATATCATATATAATAAGTTTTTCGAATGATATTACAAGGATGTTATTAGATGTTGTATTTGAAATGAACTGAAATAGGTTTTACAATCCATTAGATTTAAAATTTTTGTGTTATTTTAAGAATCAATATCAGTTGATTTTAAAATATCTCCAATATCTTATGGATTCTGTTTTTAATATTTTACTCATAGAACTCTATTGGAATTAATTTCAAATGTCTCAGTTAACAAAGATTTTAGAAGTCATTTTATTTTGAATAACACTAGATTTTAAATCTGGATTTGAAATCTTGATTGAATAACACTGGATTTGAAACTCTATTAATGATAGATTACAAATCAGATATCGAATAACAATAGATTTTTAAAACTGGATTTGAAATCTTGATTGAATAATACTAAATTATAATTCTATTGTATAATAATAATAATAATTATATTATTTGGTTTTATTAAAAAATCATATTAAACCAAAAATAATTATAAATTTGGATGCTTGTCAAATCAAGTTTTTACTCTTATGATTTCTTATCATTTTGGTTCTTATTATAATATACTTTTGAACTATCATATCTTCATTTTTAATATAGACTTTGAATACATATTTCTGTTTTTTTTTTATCATTTGAGTAATGATATTCGTTTAAAAAAATTCAAACTACAATAACTTGGGTACAAAAGTATATATTTTAATATACGGGCGTTTGATAATTTATGTATTTTTTCAAATTTGGTTTAACCAAAAAATGTACTATTTAAGAAAATATTTAATATGATATATATTTCGATAAGAAATAGAAAGAATGATAATATCTTCGTAATTAAATACTAAATGATGTATTGATATAAACTACTGTATTCAAATGACATAGAATGTAATTACAGTAAATATTAATGTTGGGAATTTAAAAATTTATTATCTTATAGAGTTATTATTTTATCGATAAAGAATAATAATTATTTTATAGCAATATTTTATCAAAAACAAGAAGTTTTATAAAAATATATTTTTTTCAGTTTTTATTCAAATTTTCCTTATACTTTGTTATTTACATATTTCATATGATGAACACACCACCATAAATTGTTGATGCAATAAGAAAAATTTGAGATGAACTTTAACGAGAATCCAACTTTTAGAAAAGACAAACTACATTGGAGTCATATTTTACCAAATTGCCTTAGATATATATTCCTAAGTTTTTTAATTACTATTTTTAACTTATTGTTCGGACTATATTTTTACATAGGAGTTTCAAAAATATTAGTATTATCTTAATCATCTTATCGCATTTTGCTATTTTTTACAAGTTGGGATTGGAGAAATTTATTATTTATAGTGTTTATTATTTTATCGAGTATTACTTTATAAAGATTCTACTGTAGTCTAATAATTGATGTCTTACTTAAGAATTGTCTTGAAAATCATTGCAGCGATGACACTTAAAGTATAATAGTTTGGTTAATAACACATGAAATGCAAATGTGTTTTCAAATAATATATAAGGGATGTGAGAATTATATCCATTTCATGCTGTTGCGGATTTTACTATAACTGAATTTAAAATTTAAGAAATTTCAGCTCGTTTTACTTTCGTCTTTTTCTACAAAAGATGATAACAAAGAATAAGTTAATTTTGTCAAGTTTCAGCTGGTTGTTTGTTCCGAGGTATTAGACTCCATAACAAGCATTTTTGACCCGTTTTCAAGTTCATATATGACTGTTTATATTTCTTGAATAGGAAAAAATTTCCGTTACATATTGTGTCCGTGAAACATCGTAGAAAAAGCCGCATCAAATTGTAATTTAGTTTATGTTCATATACACAGCTATCATCGTTTTACGTTATATCGGTTTTTGACTTTTAGTTTAACAATTTTAAAATGGTTGATGTTTATTTAGTTACTAAAATTTTGTGTAAGCAATTCACATTTTATTTAACTTTTAGTAGTTTTCCAGTTTTTAACTTTTAGTAACCATTTTAAAACTGCGGATATTTATTTAAATATGAAATATGGAGTAAGCAAATAAAAATTTTATCAAATATAAAACTATTTTGATAATACATATGATAATCTCATAAAGCATAAGTAATCTCTCTTTAAATATAGTGGTAGTATGTGCTGAATTTGAAATTGGCTATAGTAATTAATGTTTTAAGTGATAAAATTTAGTAAATTAACGTGTTTAAAACGTCAAAAAATTGATATATCAGTTAATTTTTTTCGTCTCTCTCACTAGTTTAGAGTCTTTAGACACATTTCAACTAGTTGTTATTTTTTTATTCACCAAACAAAAAAAAACTAATTGATATTTTTTTTTTCATCTCTTACTAGTTAAGAA